GTGCATGTCATTTGCTCTAGTTCTAGGATTCTCTTTGTTTCACTTGAGAAGGTTTTTACCCTGGCGCTTGAAGAGACAAGGTTTGCTTCTCTTCTCTTTCGGATGTGGTTATGCTGCTGATAATCCTGCGCCGGATCCGGAAGCTAGGGCTGAAGACGTCAACACATCTTTAGAAGTCCACGCCGGCCCTCCGGGATCTCTTCGCTTCTCTTCTTTCTGAACTTCTCATCACCTTCTAGCCATTTTCTCTATGCAGCCCCACTCCAAGTTATCTGTTGCGGACCCCAACGTCTGCCCCGGACGAAACAGGGCACAGTCTCAACCAAGAGTCTCTGCATGGTGAGCCAGTTGTAGTCGAAAGGCAGATACCATTGCGAAGCGAGCGCCGCTGCCATGGTTGTTCACTCAGCTCTCTTCACACAACAGAACTTATTTGGCTCTTGCTTGGCATGTCCTCACACTTATAATGATGACAATTCTGTGCTACTACTGAGGCACACAAGAAGGGACTCCTAAGAAGCTGTTTTGAGGATGATTACGTACTGGGTGGGTGCCACGCTGCGAAGATTCTTTCCACGCATGGTGCACACGCGCATGGCACGTAAACTCATCTGACAAACCGCTGCGGAAACGGTTTCAGCGAGGCTTCCACGCGGCACTCCACTGCACGGTACTGCTATCGCAAAATCGAATTCTCCAGGTACCTCGTCGTCTATTATATATTGACGTATCATATATAAGAGGAAAAATTCAATCCACAATATGATTCGAAATGAGATCGTCCTGCCTGGGGAATGTTGAGACGAGAAACTTCCGGAAGGTGTCGGAGTTGACCAACAACCCTAACATTATCGTTTTCAAAGTCATACTCCGCCCTCATCTGCATCGTACCCCTGGGCCCCTGCATGCCCCTGCCAAATTCCTGATGAAGGTGTCCGGCGAATCATGCTGCGACGGACTCCAAATGAGGGGGGGTGGCTCCACATCTTCACCGAAGCAATCCGCTTCACGTCCACTCTGACATCATCTTCTTCACTGAGCAAAAAGAGTTTCTTCGCTAGCTGGCAATGCCAAAAGTGCAGCTGTTGTATGCCCGAGGCTGCGAGGCGGTCGAAACGGCAACAGTGATTTCGGCACCACGCCCGGAAGCACTCTGCGGCGAGACTCTTGGGACGCTTGAGAAAGAAACACGGCAGCCCAACACTCACGGCCATGCCAAAGTCGGCTATGAAGAGTCAAGCCATCAATGCTGCATCCAACAAAGAGTGGGAGGAGTAGAGTGGAACACATTTCAGGTCTGCGGCAGGAGGTTGCTCTCATCTCTGGAGTTTGTACATAGGCTCCGGGCCTGCGGGAATGTCAAAACCAGTGTCGTCCTAATTCTTTGCCCTTGTGAAATATAATTTGCCGAAATCGAGAAGGTCGTACCGCAGAGTCAAATGCTGCTGCCAGGGACTAAGTGACTAATGCAAGCCTTTAGCACCGGGGCAACCAGCAGCAGCAGTAGCAGCAGCATCATCATCATCATCATGATCATCATGGCGGTCATCGTCTTTTCTGCTGAAGATGACTGCGTCTTCCTTCTGTTTTTCTGCTGCTCTTGGTGATGTGATGACGAAGACGATACGGGCCTATGGGTGATGATGGGGTTTGCATCTTCCCGACGCCTGCAGTGCTCTGTTATCGTGGCGGTGTGCTCCTAGGTGGAAAGTGCGAAGGAATCCGTTCAAGGCAGTCTTCGGAGCATGGTGTGGACGCGCCCAACGACACATTATTTTTCCCATTGCGTTGAAGTGCTAGGCTTCTTCAGCTCTGGATGAGGACAGCTTCCCTGCAGCAGCATCATAGATGTGGGACAAGGACATGTCCAGAACCGTGCATTCCCGCTTCAGCTAAGACATGCTCAGCCCAACTACATTGAGAAAACTGGTCAATCAGTTCACAACAAAGTCAATAATAATAGCTCAGTGGGGGTTTAAAATCCCAAGTTGAGTCCACCAGCTTCCAAGCCCTTATCGTCCAGCCTATAGCCTCAGCACCACAGCGACAGACTGGGCAAATGAGGTTGGAAGATGGGTACCTTCGAGTCGCCACATGTACTTCAGTGTACTTCAGTATTGCAAGTGGGACCATTCAGATGTGTTCGAAGGGGCTGGCACCAGATGCAGTGGCGATCGAGAACAACCAGGTGCAGGGGATCAGTTCCGAGCTACACTGCCGCCGTGCACTTCTGGGGTGGGCACGCATCTGCACTCACCCAACTTGCGTAGCATTCCGCATGCAGCGCGTGCCTGACAACTGAGGCATGTGGCTGATCTGTCCTTGCGTGGGATGACTTGACTCGATGTGAAAACATCTTAACACATCTTAACTCACGTGGACACGTGCGGACAATGAGCAATTCAGGTGCTCAGCGCCTGCAGGGTAGCAATGCGATCAACGAGTCTCTCGAATCAGACTCACCCAAGCAGATGCCTTGGGCATGGCAACGTCTCGTGCAAGTGCAATCAAGTCAGTGAAGTCCACAAATTTCGACCATTTTGCAGAGAGCCCACTGCAGCACTCTCAAGCTAGGTTTTCACTGCTCGTGTCAGAACATCTAACCGTGCACCTGGCCGAGACGGGCTCAGTGGCACTTACACGCTGGCTACACCTCTCTACATGTCATAGATCTCATCCCTTTTCATACAGATTCCTTTAACCTCATCCGGAAAAGAAAGGGCGAGTGCTCAGGACCCGGCAACAGGGCCCAGAGTCTCCGAAAGCGGAGTCGATCTGTGATGGTCGTCGTTGCAGCATGCGCCTCGGAGAGCGTCCGGTTTACACTACCATGGAAGGTGTCATCTGCATGCTATTCAGTCAGTGCAGGCTTTACCAGTCAATATCACTATCCATTCATCCATTCAGCCCTGGGTATCCTCAGCACGACTCAGCGCCGAGGTCCGATTTGGAGAGGTAGGCTCATCTGCTGCTGATCCAGACATTTGGAAATAAGCACCAGACAGTCTCCAGAGCCGCCGCCACCGCCGAGTGCAGTGAAGACAGCGCCTGGCGGCGTGCTCTACTCTTAGACTGGCCTAAACAGCATCATCTCTGCAGCACTTCCTGCTTCCTTCTCCCAACTCCCAAACAAACAGTCCTAAGTTGCAAGATCATGCCCCAGCCTTTGCACAACGACGATGAGGACCGCCTGACCCCGCTCACGAAAAGCTCTCACATGCTGCAGAGATGCTTCAGAGATGCTTTGCCGCAACTTGGTTGAGGTTCCGACAATCAGAAAGGACAAGCAGGCTATTGATGCCTGGCACGGAACGCCGGAAGCTTCGGTTTGGCAAGCTTCGGTTTGGACTGGAACCGATTATCCTAAGCTTACCCTCCCGAACTGGGATCTGACCCCCGCGCTGAAAGCGTGCCAAAGCAGCCAGGGTAAGAGCCGCCCCACCTAGCAGGGCCTCATTGCGTGCAGGTCTCACAAACTTGTTTGCTTTTCTTCTGTACCTCATTGGCCAATATGAGCATCAATCACCATCAGTCTCAACATTGAGGGTGCAGCGAAGGGTCCCAGGGAAGATCCCACCTCAGCTTTCCACAGACTTAAGAGGATTAAATGCTCCACATTTTGCCCCTGTGTCTCGGCATCATCCTTTGCAGCAACAATCCAGCGAGCCACGATGAAAGGCAAAAGTAGAAGCAGCCACGGCAACAGGAGCCACCTGCAAGGTTCGTTCAAGCAGCTGCCTCATGAGAAAGTGACTGGGCTGCGACCCTGAATCTTCTACACAGCCCGAGTTACGCTAGCCTCTACTATGGATGCCATCGCACGTACTTGTAGGACAAGTTCGACACACAATAGCCGCACATGCCGCACTCAAGACTCCCAAAAAAACCCTGAACAATCGCAGCCTCATGGGGTGGCCCTTTGGAAGCAGGATGCTCGAGGTGCTCCGCAGGCTCTCGGCGGCACTGGGATGTATCTGCACGGCTTCACAACTTCGCATTTGGTGCGATGTTGGGGTCGCTTTCCCTCACAAAGCATTTTCCAAAGGGCTAAAGGCCATGGCTATGCTACAGACGGTGGCAGATGCACTTGCGTTGGCAGAGTGCCTCATGCCAAAATAAATCGAGTCTAAGTCTATCTTCATGACGACGTTCAAAAGTATATACACAAACAACACAAACACACTGGCAAGCGATACGCGTCGAGACGCCAAGACATTAGTGTACGTGCCTGGAGGTAGTCTCGCGGCACCCGCGTCTCACAACTAGACGCATCAGCAGCATGCAAGGACCTTGTATTCAAGGCATGTATTATCCAAGGCTGGCTCTAAGGCTCCTCTGGAAGGGTGCCGATCCGTTGATACCTCGGAGCGTCGACAACGATGACTTCTCGCGCGACTTCTGCTGAGCTTGAAGCCGAGAGGCCGAAGCGTCGAGATGGGCTCCGAGGAGGAGCCCAGCCCTCGAATTCAGCAAAACAAACACTTCCAGCAGCTTCTCGTGACTCTTGGACAGACACCCGCAGACACGTGTAGAAAGGTGCACATGCATGAAGGTAAAGGGGATGGGTGTGGTGGAGTTGATGGGCCGGGAGGCTGTAGCAGCACGTGCTGGGAAAGACAAACGGCCAAAGTAAGGGTATCTCTTTTTCGGGGTTCCTACAAGCATTCGAGCTTTTGGCGCACATGTCATTAACGGTACCTCTATTGTAAGAAAGGCCCCATTCCATAATCATTTGAAGTAATCATGAGGGTGTTCGATATCACTAAGCTGCATAGCGCAGCACGTTCAGAAAGTGTGCTCCTCGATGAGCACGATCTGCGAAAGAACCGCAAACCGAACCGCTAAGAACCGCCATCCGGTTAATATTGGTTCTCTGGAACCCAACCGAGCCTTACTCTGACAGAATCTCAGAACTTTGCAGATCGAGCCTACAATGATCGCCAAAATAATCGATGGCTCTAAGACGGCTATCGTAGTTATTGCAGTGGTGGCATCCGCCCCTATGTCGCCGAGAATCGGTCTCTGGCATACTTGATCATCGTGGATGCTGGCTCCTCAGATCAGGTTCAGATCAGTTCGACAGATTCACCCGTCTTGCGTACATCAAAACGCGTGCTGCCGGTTCGAAAGGTACACTGGACAAGCCAAGGCTCCAAAAAGTCGTTGACAAGCGGTGCCTCCTGGTGCGTCACACATCTACATTCCTCCTCATTATGTCGTCGACTTTCCTTGTAGTAACTCATCTGAAACGGCTGCAGGCTTCTGCATCGGCTGGACTGAGCATTTCACCATTCGCGTATGATAGCACAAGCTTATGACTTATCGCAGTCCTCTGTTCCTTCGCCCCCAAGAGACGAAACGAGCTGGAACGCCCTGAACCTGGCCCTCGTCTTCCCAGATGTCCTTGTGGATGTGCACTTTCAGAGGGAACAGTTCCTGTGAGACTTCGCTCTTGTGGTCCTGCAAGCTGAGGTTTGCAGCATTTACCTGCCCTGGTACCGGCATGGCTTGCACCTCCCAGATGTCGCTATCACTCTCTCATCAGCACCCGGTCCCACTTGCGGATCAGGAAAGAGCCAAAGGAAGCAGCTCCGACCCCAAGCTGCAGCAGCTTGTTGTTGCAATCTCGGATGGTAAAATCTCGACCTTGCAAACCGAGAAGGTAGTGTTCGGTCAGCCAGGTGCAGCATGCTTTCTAGAGGCTATTTTTGGAACCAGACTTCACAACGATACGATCTTTGGCCATGGCTTGCCTTGTAGTAGTAGGGAGGTTGTTGAAGCTAGCAATGTGCGCAGAACAAAAAAGGAATTTGGAAGCAAGTCGCACAGTGTCAAGATTCCTGCAGAGCTTAAATGTCCAGACGTAGGCGAATGCGATGTCTAGGCAAAGGCAATCCAAGCCACCCTCTTTCTGTGGATCTAGCTGATGCGATCTGAGAACCTGCGTGATCTCCGTCTGGGGATCCTCAGTCTTTCTGCACAGCGCAGCACAAAGCAATCCCAGGCTCCATGTGAATCTTGCCTGGGACAAGTCAGCTCAATGAGCTAGTCTTCTCCCGAGCCCACTGAAGCCAGGAAACCTTCCAGGCAGAGTTCCACGAGATGTGGATTGTCTCGTCGTCTTCCGCATGCTCCTCTTTGCTTTTCTGATCGACGAGGAACTTTCAGCTTGGGATGCGGCATGATACGACTGACAAGAAAATTTTCGACGGACACACACACACACACAGAGACAAAATCACACGCACGCATGCACGCACACACGCACACACGTGCGCGAGATCCTGTTCGTGCTTCTGGATCACGCCCACTAGCAAGATGGTCAGGAGTGCCAAGCATCCAACATTCAGAATGATCCTGACGTGCCAGCTGACTGTCGAGCATTCTACAAATTTCTACAAGTCGCCGCTTTGTAGGGCATCGTCAGGCATCCTCTACTGAATTCATCTGACTGCCACCCTGCAGCATAACCCTGAGAGTTGAGGCATCGCACGACTTGCCAGTGCTCATTCGCTTCAAGTGAATGCTTTTCATTGCTACGTCTCTCAACCATTCTCAGCCGTTAGAAGACGAGCAGCAGCGCCAGGTGGGTGGCTTGCGATCGCTTCGGGCTCGTGAGATCTGTTGCCTTTTGCAAAGCCGATACTTGCGCAACTTGCGAGCAGAATGTCGAATGCAGATCGGTTGACCGAGCATGAGCAAAACAACGTCGTCTGCAGAGTCGTGGTTCCTTGCCTGCGCTGTGCTGAAAGTCCAAAAGGCCACCGGCACAGCCGAGCCTGGACATCTTAAAGCCTTTAAGTTTTTTGGGGGACAGTGGCTTCACATTGCGTTCCAGAACATGCAAACACCTCTGTTCCATCGGCTTCGCACAACTGAAATCGCCCGCCGTCCCGTAAGCCTGAAACCCTGTATTTGTGGATGGGCTTTGAGTGGCCTAGACATCCGATGGCGTACTCATGTACCGCCTTGGTGGCCCGTTGCGGTGAAGAACAACACGCTGCAACATCATCTCTGACCACTTCATCACTACAACAAACCCACCGAGCATGGCACTTGAAGCCAGGGCACTAAGGATGTCATAGCACAGGCATAGTCGAACACTTCAGCTGGCAGAATTGGCAAGCTCCGGGCCATGAAGACAATCTTCACGCCTCGGATGACAAGCTAAGCCAAGCCCCACTGCAACTGACATTTCGAAGCGGCGACTTCGACTGACGGCTTGGAGCTGTCTGAAGGCGGACAGCAGATGGCAGCAGCTCAGAAACGTACTGCCGCCAACTTCCTACTCCCTTCTTGCATAGGAGCTGCCAGCGCTGTCAATGATTCCTCAGTGAGTCAATGCGTGACAAGGCTGTCTCTACAGCATTCTACAGCATGATGTGAACACGATACCAACTGCCGCCGAGTGACTGTTCAGCCTTCGCAGCACGCGGCTGTGCTTGCCTCGGCCGGGAAGCTGACGCACGGGTGCTAGCACGTCACAATGCTTTTCCACAAGGTCAGAGCCCGCTGCTGACTCACTGCGCAGTCCGAAATACTCGAACAGGAACAGGAACACACGTACTAAGCAGCAAACAACTAGCAGGGTAGCAGCTGGCAGGGTAGCAGGTAGCAGCAACAGCTCAAATTCCTCTCATCTCGGCCGATGCGGCCCCGGCTGCGCTCCAACAGCTTGACAAAAATTTATGTGCCTTGGCTGGCTATGCAACTGCAGACGAGCTACTCGCTTTCCGCGCATAATCGTGCAACAGCGTCTTGCCCAGAGCAAATGCCAGAACACCTTGGCGCTGAAAGAATGCTGTGGAGTTTTGCTCTTGCAGACATGTCCAACCTAAACTGCCTCTTCGAACTTCGGACAACACCGACATCTCGGACATGCTTCTCGTAGGGCTTCTGCCGATGAGGGGATATGTGGGGATGGGGGCATTTTGGCCGAACAGCCACAGGATTAGGGCATTTTGGCCGAACAGCCACGGAAACACGGCACGGCACATGGCGAGATCTACTGAATCTCGACATGTGATACTACCACAGCTAGTCAGACATGATGTGCTGCTCTCATGACTCTCATGGCGGCTCGGCAGCCTAAAAGCAGCACTGCTGCAGCTGAACCGGAGCCGCTACTCTGTCTCCGACGGGCCACTGCCGACCCAAAGGCCACTGAAGACGACACCGAAAGCAATGGCTCCGCCCGTGATTGCCTCCGAAAATAAATCCGGAAAGGCAGGGCTGTGATTCAGGGACCACATGGCACTTCAGCTCGTACTGCAGTGGCTGTCGCAAACCTCCCCGTCATTCAGCTTGGTAAACAGTGGTCCAGAAAGTGCCATGACAGGGAAAACGGGCAGCATGATCACCTGAGCAGCAACAAACCCTCCAGTTACAACCACTCGAGCCGTTGCATGGCATAACAGCAATATCAAAGAATCTCAGGCTTGGCACTGGCAGCACTGAAGAAACCACGAAGAGAATCAGGGCTGACCACATCCCTATTTTCCGGCACCAGTGGACCAAACCTGATGGACTGGCGCAACACAGTGTCTGCAATCGTTGGACGCATGGTGCTGCATGTTCACTGCTGCCACGCAGCGCGACATGAGCCGACTGATCCGGCGATGATCGAGAATTCCATACCTTTCAATGCCATGGACCGTCAGAGTGAGCGTGAGAAAAAGGTACCAGTAGAAACGCAACACTTGGAGTCTTAGAGAACTTTTAGAGACTTAGTTCATCCGTGACGTTGCTGACGGTACTGACACTTGATGAAAATCTTGCCAGGCAGCAGAAAGAATGCGACAATCAGGCAGACTCCGATGACCAACCTGAAGTCTGGGAAACATGGCAGAATCTGGCAGACATATGGCAGACACATGTTCTTCTAACTCCTTCGGACTATGAGGCAACGAGACTGTCAGTGCTCAATGTGCCTGATATTCAGCTTCCCACTCTCCAGCACCCTGATCTTGGAGAAGTCCTACCATGTCAGGGCCATCAGTGTCGTGAGCGACATCCAACAAACATCGGTTGCAGCATGCGAGGTACCACGATATGCGTCAACAGGTCAAAATGTGGCCACCGCAATGCAAAAGGCAAATGGTGGCGGCAAGAATCTGACGCAGCTTGTATCACACTTGCTCTACTTCCCAACGATTGGATGCCTCCCGGTGTAGGATCTCATCTGCCGGGCTCTCCCGAATAAGCAAAGTGACGACCAACGTCTGGTGTTTCCCTTCGCTGTCGTCGATGACCTCCTTGTACATGTGAGCAACTCGCTTGTTCCGCATCTCTGAGAATTTCCGAGACACACATGTCACGCAAAGTCGATACCGAAGCACATTGATTGACATCCATTCACTGTGCCAAACAAAGAATCCTCTGCTCCACGGCCCCTCCCAGCCCGCCCGCGGCACTGCCTCTCCCAACCCCCCTCAGCTTAAACCCTCAACGAAGAGCTCAAATTCTGTGAGTACCGCTCAACGCTCCCTCGCAATGGTTGTTTTGATTTGCTTGAAGAGTCCTGCCAAAGACATCCACGAGGGCGGTTCATGGCATCAAAGAGCTCTGCGCAATGCTATGTGGGCGTTTGCATGAACCTGGCGTGCGCTTCTGCGTACGTCGATGCGGAAACGCGACCTCCACTCAGCCTTCAGCATACGCCTAAGAACCTGAAGCCTGAACCTAGACATGCAAATTGTCACGACTACCATAATGTATGAATTCGTGGAGACCTATCTCAGACCAGTTCTGTTTTTAATGCAGCACACCTTGCGGGGACCTTGGGCGGCGCTTGCGTGAACCTGGCATGCATGTTCGCACATATTTAACGACCGCTCAAAACCAAGACAAGGGTTGTGGATGGCGCGCAGGTAGCGGGACCTGGCCGCTGAAGAGTACTGTAGAGTTTTCTGTCGAGTTGAGGGTTGTTCTATATCCTGGCATGCCAATTTGAGACCTTTGCGCTGCGCCCTCGTGTGTCCCTTGCGCGTGCTTGCGCGCACGAGGCTTTCTCAATATTTGTGTTTTGTTGAAGCATCCCTATCAACCAGTTTGCGCCGCAAACCTTGCGCGAGCAGCGCACGCTCGAAGGGTGTGCGGGTTATTAAACGACCGAGTTTTCTCATAATCTTGTCACAACAGCCCGCAAAAAAACAGCCCTCAACTGCAACTGGGTGGCCCGAATGAGCCCATGCGTATTCCGTTGGTAACCACGGAAAGGCTGGATCAACTCGACCTCACTGCCTTCAAAGTGATGCTTCAAGCTGGCAATCTGTCCACCCAAACAGCGCTCTGAACATCAACTTCGCCAATGTTAATGCTGGTGATATACAGCGCCGCGCCTTCTTTGAATCTAGCGCCTTTGGCGTAGCAGGTCTCGGTTGCGAACGGCCAAGCTCAATCTGACTGCGTGGACTTGCTAAACTATCCCAAGCTTGCCCCAGGACACACAGACTCGCACTGATGGTGGTGAGCGCGTGGCTTGGCAGACATCCCAAACGCACCGCTCGCACGACCAGAACAACTCGCCGGCAGTGACCTTTCTCCTACAGAAATCGCAGACCTTAGAATCTCCTTTCCATGCAAGTCCACAGACGTGTCTGAGCAGAAGCACACGAGACATGTGCGCTGTCCAAACAAGTGTACAATCCAATGATGTCTTCCGACAGGAAACAAATCTGTGGCTCTTCTTCGCTTCCATCTGATGCAGCAGGTGGTTGTGGAGGCATCGGCGGTCATTCTCCTCACCTATGCCGACCTTGGTGCCGGAGTGCCGGAGCTCAGATCCACTGTTTTCAACCATCTTCAACCGTGGCTTTGGACTTTCCTTTTTGACCTTGCTCCGTGACCCCTTCCAAAACACGGCAGACAGAGATGTTGGAGTCGTATCACGTCCTATCCATACCATGATGGAATGAGCGACCACACATCGTCACTCCTTGTCCACTAGATACCGCTGCAGTATCATTGCTTTGGAGCAACGAGCTCGTACGAGTTCTGAAAGGAATTCCAGGAGCGAAAGCCTGCGTCACTGTCAGATGTGCACTGTCGCGCGTGATGCTCTTCAGGTTGGGGGTTTCAAGCTTTGCAGAAGCCTCGCTTGGCGTGGACGACTCCGCCACTCTCGCTGACTTGGCTGCTGACCTGGCCGTGTGCCAGCACTACAGAACACGAACAAGCACACACACAACGTAGTCTTCCCTACATAAACAAAAGTTCAACCCTCTCTGTGAGGCCAAGCGGCGCTCCGCTCCAGGCCGAGGCTGTCCAAGGTTCCACTCCGCGCCTGAGGTCAGAGCGACAGCGACCAAAGGAGGGCTCCTTCAGGTATCTTTTATGGCAATTGTAAATCGTTGCGACTCCCATACTCATAGGCAGGGGTCGTGGGGAGGGTGGAATAGCCCGAGAACGTCTCGGAGGGGCGGAGCAGTCACTGCGACCGCTTGAAAAGATCGGTCATCAGCAGGGGAGGTGGTAGGGCCAGGGGATGAAGAGCTTGCATGGCGACCTGCTTGCTTTTTGGTGCGGGGCTATGGCGGCTATGGCTACATGAACTGCAGTAAGGACTCATCCCTAACAATTAGAGGTCGGTGTTTCCAGGGAGAAGCTTCTTAAGGAGCCGCATGGGGGAACTGCGCCCAAGAAGTAGGACGCCTGCACTCTGGGCACGCCTCTCCTCGTCCCCCCCAAAAAGAAGGAACATACCAAACCAGGGATTGAAAACGTCACTGATTATCTACGGGCGGGCGTGGAGAATTGGTGTACTCCTTTACAGAATTAACGTATAATGATATATCATTTACATAGACTTGACCCGAAGCCCAGGTCCAAGCGGCCGTTCGGTCGAGGCCAAGGCTGTCCAAGGTTCCACTCCGCGCCTGAAGTCACAGGGAGACTTCAAAAACACCAAAAGGGCTCTCCTCAAGGGCCTCTTCAGACTTTCAGCATAACACCACATGAATCGACCGTATCAGTGGCAGTAGGATCCTGTCTGGAGCCTTATCGTCGAAGATCAAGCACTCGGAGTGCTCGGGCAGCGTTTGCTCGGCCATTGCATTGGTCTTTGGGAACGAAAAGATCTAGTGGCAGTTGACAGTCGATGGCATCTGTCCTTAGCAACCTGTATGGCTGCATATGCAAGATGCCCAATATTGACCCAAGCCTTCAAGAGACATGTCCGGTATGATGTGCCTAAAACCGAAAACGTTAAACATTGCCCCACAGCAATTTACAACTTGACGGCGTGCAGTTCTTGGACCTGACATAGTTCGGAGGGAGTGGCTAACTGGCAGCTCTTTCTCAGCTACGTGAGCCCAAACAGCGGCCAAATGGCGTCACACGTGACTATGCAGACAAGACCGAACCGCAAGACTTCAGAAAACGAAGTGGACAGAGAGATGAACACAGAGTAACAAATAGAGAGGCCCTGCTTGAACAGCCTGGCAAATCAGCAGCACCGCGTGGGTGGGCCCGATGTGCTGAGAGCCAAGGTCCGCCTGAGCTCACACTTCGAGGCAAAGGACACTCTAGTTACTCAAGGCTTTGCAGGCGTCTTCTTTGATAAGTCTTGGCCTCCGCGAGGATGGCTGCCACCTCTCTGAGATCAAATGTTTCAGAAGTGAGTAAGAGTGTCAGTGTGCGCATGAGCCAGCTCGTAAAGTCCTCCATTCTTAGCGAACACTCTCTTGGCCCCTGTGCCTTGCAGGCGCTGGGCATGACTTGGGCAGGCAGCTCGATGACTGTGTGAATTCCTCGAAAACGCTGGTGGCTACTATGCGCTTGCCAAACTGACCAAAGGCAGAAATGCGCGCTGCGGCAGTCACCTTGCACAGTCACGTTCGCTATCCTTGGCTGTCAGGACAGCATGTACCATCCGGACTCTAAACATCTCTTCTTCGCAAGGGTCTTGATGCACATCCTTTCGAATAGCTTTGCTGTGTTGTCCCGAGCCAGGGTTCCGGAACGGCTCGCCGGACACGGTGACATGTATTCGCGGGGGCCCGGTCAGCTTTTCCTCTGGGCTGTAACCTGGAAATCTGACCGTGAAGAAGTGAGAATAAGCGAGATAGCTCTTTTTGCTCTGGCCAAGCCGCTGAAGTCCAGGTTGCTCTGATTCAACCAGCTGGCCTTCAGCGTGGACATAGGATCAGAGACTCGTCACTGAGACGTTGACATGTTCTAGCAGTCTGCGGATCCACATTCAAAGCATCTGCGCATTGCTTGTAGCCAAGGGTCTACTTCTGGCACGATCGGAACGTAGAGCTTCGAGATCTGAAAGGGCACCGGTGATGCGGCATTCTGTACCTGGCATGAGCATCGAGGTACCAGCTTCAGTCCATGTGAACCTAAAGTTCAACTAACTTCGACACATTGTCATAGGTTTGACGGACTTCAACACTTTTATTGAAAAGTTCCTGCAGCTCCACAAAGTCCACGTCCATAAGGGGTAGCTCCGTCTCTTCGGCCTCGAACCCCAGGATGCTGGGCTCTTTTTCTGGCTCAGACCCTGCAAGCCCTATAAACAACAAAAACCATTTAAGTCTATAAGATTTCTCTGCGTCTCTCTTAAAGTAGGTCGGCCTCTGTCCCTGTACGTCTTTGTGATCTGCTGGGGTCGGTGGCCTTGTGCCCCCGGCCCAGCCACGCACAGCTGGCAGCCGACCCCCACGCAGCGGCGACAGAGATGGCTGCAAGCAGCGCGAGACGGCCAAGATGGCCAATCGCCAAAGGCCTCAAAAGGCTGGTCGACTGCACATGAAATACGCTGCGACCGCGATACACCGTTTATCCATGCTTTTGATGTTGCTTGATTTTGCAATGCTGAGAAGTGGAAACGCCGCGCGGTGCATCCATTTCAATCTATGTCACTATGGCGAGCTCGACGCGCTAGAAGTCTACTTGGAACACTGCAAGTTGCCAATAAAGAGCTGCTGCTGTGATCCCATAATTGCTTTCATTATCTCATGGCTGAATTACGCCTCAACTTATGCTAAATCTCTAGTACTGAAGCTATGGAATAGGAAACACTGAGATGCACGAGAAACCAACCTGCAACAAGTGCCCCAACTCCACTGATGGCCCCGCCGCCGCCTCAAATTTCTTCTGCCCCGCTGTCCTCGCATCCATCGCGATGGCCGCGCGATCGCTCCTCTAACCTGTCGATGCGGCTTCTCACAACAATAAAACATTTTCACAGAACTCCACGGGCACGTCAATCCGGACAACCATGTGCATGGAAGGAACATTGTTCCGCCAATACCAGGGAAAGGGGCTGTGCTGTCCCAACTCCATGGCGCCCGAGAAAAACTAAGAGGGCCTCTTTGAGGGCCACGGGCTCAGGGCGGACTGATAGTGAGTTGCGTCGAGTGGGCTCTGGGTTTTGGGATGCTGTGTCAAGGCATCGCGATAAACTCCACGTAGGGTCCAAACTAGAGTAACTAGAGTCGTACTCAGGAAGTAATTGACCACAATGCAAAGTCCCAGTATAGCATCTGAACCCATCACCTATCATCTGAAGGCGCACATTGGCCTGCTATTTCAAAGGGAAAGCTCCGAGCAGCAAGCAGCAAAGATTATTTCACGTTTCCTGCTGAAGATTGTGAGATTGTGACTACGTACTGCATCGAGGCGGTATCGCATGCATATCCACCCTCGCAATTAGGCTCTGGCTGGATACGAGCAACTCAGAGTGTCCTTTGCCTGTCCCTCTCTCTGCTCCACAACATTCCGCAACGGCTGTGCTCTTTCTGCTGCAGTCCCTGCTCTCTTTCTCATTAAACAGGGGATGGAGGTCGACAGCCAAGATCCCAGCAGCTTCACAGCGCAATCAATGCTAATCATCAACCGTTTCCTAGGGCACGAATATGTCTCTTGCCACGGCTCTAAGGGCAACTTGGCTGTTGGAGACCAACACACACTGAAGAGTATTTGTTGCCGGAGAGCTGAACCGCCTGAGTATTTTTTCCCCAGGGTTCCTCTCCATGCTGTCATTTCATTGTCGAAATCACAGCTCGCAGCTCATAGCACATCTTCTGTTGGCAAAGGTTTCTACAAAGGTTTCTGCATTCAAACTAGGAGCTAGCACTGGTTAATGCGCCTTTGCATCCAGAAGGTCTTCTCTGCGGAGGATGTGAAACACGCAAACTACTCAAATTCGATGAAAGTGGAGTGGAGCCAATGGTGAATCTTCAGCCCGCCTCGTTGACGTGCGCCTGCAGCTTGGCAAGACAACTCCTCAAAACTTGAGAAGTCATGTAAGTAATGCGATTGCATATGGTAGGATCTTGGAATGCAGATGAAGGCAAGTGACAGCTTTGCTGGTGGCCGATGGTGCCTTCCTTAGTTGAAATCAAAGACCACTGGTAAGAGAGCACGGCCTGTACCTTTATCAAGGACCCCAAAAGCCCACGTGCCTTGTTGGAGCTGCAGGACAGTGCAAGAGTGCAACGAGGTAGAGGGGCAGTAGCAGATCTAAACATGCCCCGGCCCCTATGACAGCAAGGGTGAGGGGCGTCCCGCCGCCGAACCCTGCCAGCTGGTGACCTCCCACTTCGCCCAAGGCCACCTGGACGCGGCAGAGCTCCACCCCTCAATAGAAAATATCTTGTAACACCTCTTTGCAATTGAATGAAGGGAATGAAGGGGCGCTCATGTTCAACGATGAATGCAATGTCGATGCTGCTTTCGACTCCATGCCCTCAGATCCCACCCTTGTAGAGCGGGGAAGCTCCAGCGGCGGAGGAAGTTCGTTTCCATCAGAGCCCCCCTCCTGCAGAGCGGGTTAGCATTTGTGCAGCTGTACGTCGACCAATGTCGACTTATGCCGACTTATGTCGACTTATGTGCTAGTGTGCAGAGCTACCCAGAAGCGGTCCTTCAGCAGCGGCAGTGGCTGCGAGACATAGCAGTTTGGGCCCGAAGTACCGACGCCGTTGTTCGGAGTGGTCGGACTTGTATTTGGGGTTGCTGGACCACCTGCAAAGCATGACTGGTGCACTTTCTGATGCTCAGCGAGGCTAACCGAAATGTCAGAAGTAGCCACGAGAGCTGTATGGGACAGGACTCTAGAAACAGCGCAAGCTTGCAGTCGACCCCACTCTTGCCAGACCTGAATCTGGTTGCTTGGCAGTCACTGACACAGCCGTTGACACAAGCGGCAATGCTTGTACAGGCCCCGTACCTGACAAGTCTGGTGTGCTGTTTGCGGATGTGGACAGTGGATGTCCAGCAAAAAGTGCAACGAACGGGTTGTACGTCTCATCTATCCCAGGGCATGAGCTATTCTGACAACTCTGGGGATCGTACGCGGAAGCTGTGACAATGTCGCCCGTCTTCTTGGAAGCCTTGATTCCAAGTCGACCCCAGGATCCAACTTTTCTACGGACCTCTTTAGACTAAGCCTACGTCCGGCTGAGCTTGTCCACTGCCCTTCAACATTCGTTGTAACAGTAGAAGCAGCAGAGAGACCTTAAACTTTCACCCACGGGCCTGCTGAATCGGCACATGCAGCCAAAGCCAAACATCGCAGCTCTTCTTCCCCCTAAAGCCACTTCCTCTACCAATTTATATTAAGGCTGTGAGTCTAAATGCGGGTATGTCGCGTTGTCCCACCCCCCGCCTCTGTTACATACGTTTGTCGCGCCCGTGTCATACGTTTGTCGCGGGCTTGTCGCGGGCTCCCAAACTCGCAAGATGGCGGTAAGGACGCGCTTGTCGCGGAGGTTTGTCACGCTGAGGCTTGTCGCAAGAGCATTGGCCTTGTTACAAACCCTATGTCCCAAAAAGACGCCCGGGGCCTGCTACACACCCTGGACATTTGACTCCCCGCCATACCCAACACTCCGACTCAGACTCGACGTTGATTTGCGAGAGATAATGAGCTAGTGGTCATTTGAAGATCACCATGGGACAACCCAGCAATTTCAAGCAACAGCAGCCCAAGACACTCCAAGTCCAAGAAGTCCAAGACCCACCAAGACCCAAGATAAGGGGCAGGGCCGCTTGCGGCGTGGGCTCTGCCTCTGGTGACGGCGGCAAGCTGTTGATCCTCGGCACAGGTGAAGGAGCGGCAGAGTGACCCAGAGCCTTCACCAGGTAGCTGCCTGTTGTTTTTTAGCACCAGCTTCCAGTCACATAATCAACCCTATAAAAACATTCCTGTCCAAGAAGCTGTTCCCTCACAGCTGCACGGTAGAAGCGCAGCTCGTTGGGAGTAGGGGTGGCAGCTAGATGCCTGAGTTTCACCTGTTCGCAGCCATCATGGAAAATGCAGCGAACTGGGGCATCTGCACGTTACCAGGAGCCGTTGGCTGTAGACGCTGTGCTTGCGTACATCACTGTCATGTTCCATGTAAAGTCCAGGCAGTAAAACCACCTCTCGGGTCCGGAACTGTCAGATCTAGAAGCCCGAACTTGCTGGCCTTGACGTTGCTGATGGCGCGCAGCCACAGCATCTTCTCGGCACAGGTTCTTGTGGAGAAGTGGTGGTCGCCAAGACTGAAGCAGCTGCAATCAATGCCCACCCGTTCACTAACACCTTGGATGCACATGCTTTGATGTACCTCATGGGACATTCATCACATCAAACAAATCAAACAAATCAAACAGATCAAGATGGCTCCGCACAGGTCTCTCGTACATGGAAGCATCAGGACTGGTGTGCGGCTGGGAGGCAGGTGTTCGTGTCAATTGCGAGGTGGACCACTTGCACCTTTTGTCCAAAGTTGTCTACGCGATGGCATATAGCAGTTGTGCATAGTTGTGGAGAACGTTACACCAGAGTGACTTCGGTATTCCTGCAAACCTTCTCAGCATGGTCTGGCACAGTTTTGCTGCCACAGGGCTTTGCAGGCGTCATCCTCATAGGCCGCAAAGCCTGCGGTGTTGTCGCAGTGGGCGTGAAGTTCGCCTCGACACGTGGAAACTTGCATGTTTATCCTTGAGGTCGCATGTGCACCAACTTATCTCTGTCTAGGACACACTTTTCGGAGTCTTCCAACTTTAGCAGGAGAAGGCAGAATTTTCATAAACACGAATGCTCATCAGCCCTTCAAGTTGGTTGGTGTACATGACGTGTACGTGTCTGCACAGGCGGCGCGAACGTTCGTCCCCTGACACTCACTTTGATCCGACAACTTTATGCTAAATCACATTTTGGGGGTGTCTATCCAAACTGTATACAAGATTGACGAATAGCCGTGAGCAGTTTATTTGCCCGTATTGAAGTGATATGCGCGCCCCGAAATACGTTAGATCGGAATAGAGGGTTCATTCGAAAATGTGAGTGAGGAGTCTATCATCCTGATTCTAAGGAGATACAAGATGTTGCAGAAGCTTTGCTTGAATGAATCCTGGGGGCGCATAAGAAATTCGGGCCTTCTCCAAGCATTGTGCAAGTTCATTCTCCTAAACACCTAGCTTGCAAGAATAGAGAAATTTGAATGGAGCCCGAGAGGCCATCAAACTTTGAGGCCTTGTGTAAACTGCACTCCCAAACAATGCTTACGGAAATACACGCTGAATGTTGAACATCCAGAATGTGCTGAACCTAATGGCGTTTAAGTTGGCAGGCGAGACAAGACGTTGTGTAGTTGTTCGTGAAAGGTGAAAGAAGACATCTAGCACGATTTAAGGTTTAATGATTCAACTGATTCCACACTCAAAGAATACATCTTCAAGGTGGGTAGCCGGGTAGCATTAAGGTAGCTTATATGTACAGACAGAGATCGAGAGAGAGGGGAAAACTAGAGAGGGGTCAGATACTGCCTGGATGTATGTGAACGTAGTACCTTCCGGCGAGGCGATTGCGATATCTGAAGTGTCTTCTTGGACGAGGCAAGCAGCCGTAGACCAGCGAGACGCCCTGGTCATCGTAGAGCAGCATGTACCCTGAAGAAGGGAAAAGGCTCGAGACCTCCCTTGATAGCAAGTTCTCTCGACTCGGCTGCCCGCTCTGCGCCTGCTAGAAGCCGCGTGGATGTCCAGCTTGCTCCAGGCAGTGGGAAAACCGCCAACTGGAAGGAGGGGAAAAGAGACTGCGTCAGGATCCGCAAAGCTCGCGACACCTCGGATTCCAGTTTTTCACTGCCTGAGACAGCATCGGGGCATGACCTTGCTCTTCGAAACAATGCTTCAGACATAGTTAAACCTTTTGCTTGTCCAAGGTTCGTCGGCCACCCACCGCGCACGTTCCGTGTCGGCAACAGGGCCATGTGTAGCGAAAAAATGGGTGATGCCATGGTGGAACACCGAAACCTCACAAGGAAGAATGCCACGGTGCAGCCACATCAAGCAAAATTTCATATCCGGTTCCATATACCTAACATACAATCCCAACTCGCCCAACTCGCCGCCAGGTTCATAAGCAGCGCAGGGGGTCTAAACCACACACAGGGCAAAAAAGATGACAAGAATGCCATCTCATCACACAAACAGGCTTTTGGAGGGAGGTAACTGAGGCAACCTATGCTGGGAAACTAGGGCAAACAGCGCTGTCCGTTCTGTTTTGGCACATCACGAGCCTTGAAAAGACGTAGCCACGGCTGCGATTGATCGGCCTCCGCTGATTCAAGCAGCCCAAGCACAACCACTCTCACAGAACACAACCCCATGTACAAACCGGGCAAGTCTTGCAAGTCTGCCTGGATCGTGTGAAGCCTGCAGGCTTGTACCAGGGAAAATGGCGACCACGCTATACTCATGGCTGGATGATTGTCATCCGGGTATCCTCAGGGTAAAGTGACGGCGCTGACACTCAGGCTTGGAATCGGCAAAAGGATGCGAGATTTGCAGTCAGCTTCGCCCAGGCTCACACGACCTTGAACTCCTTGAACTTCTAGAGTAGCAAAAGGGCCAAGGGCCCACAACTAAGCCCCAAACCCAAAACTCTAGACAGCCTCTTGATGGCAAGAGTCTTATGGAGAATCCGTTGGAGTGGATTGAGAGGATCACCTTCTCAAAGCTTTTCCCATCCTCTTGGCACAGATGCCATACCTCTCACAGCACTCGCATGAGATTTGGACAGCCTTGGGAAGCTTCTTGGAACTGAGGAGGGACTGCCCCTCAGCATCAACAGAGCTCCGGTGGCGTGCCTCGCCCGACCTCATTGGAGGCTCGGTCAATGGCCTCAAAGTAGCCAAGCGCGGGTTACTCGCAGGACCAATCAGGCAAAGTGGTAGCAAGAACACCTACAGCGGAGCAGCGGAAGTTCTGATTCCTTTGACACGCAGAGACGTAGTGAGACGCAGTAGTCCATGATGACTGTGCCGGCCGTGCGATTGTAAACAGCGTCCGACTGCACCGCCCGCGGGGAGGCTACAGGCGGCCAGAGGCATTAATTAGCAGCGTCTGAGCTACAAGTACTGAAAGGAGCACATCGCTTGCCAAAGCACATGTACTTTATTTAGACGAGCAGCAAGTCCATTTCAGCAGAGTAGGTAATCAGTCCTCGGTACAGCTCACGGTCTTGCCTAGTGAACTAGATGTGCGGAATGACTAGACTCGTGACATCCAGTGACTAGTGGTGGGCGGCACTGCCTTGGGCATGTGTAAGGCCGTTGCCTTCCCGTGGCCGACTTGGAAGTTGCGGAACTTCTTCCGGGGGCAAAGGCTCCTCTGCATCGATATCACCAGTCAACCCTGGACATGAAATGGGCAGTTGAGCAATTGAGCGCAGCTCTCGCGCAGCTGTCCTCCGGCGGCTCTCCGCAAAGGAAATACTCGACATCCGTCTCGCCGGGCATTTGTGGATGTGCTTTCCCATCTTCGCCGCCTCAGCTCTGACATGGCCGTGCCTGAGCCTGTTGAGTGCAGGTTGCTGACAATACGCCCGAGAGAAGCTGTCCAAATCTGTCCGACTCGCCCAGTCAAGACGATCTGAGGCCTGGGCCCTTCTTGTTCTCGCCTGCAGGGGTGAGCGTTTTAAGGCTCAGAGATATCCCTCTGCCACTTGCATGAACTGTATGCCTTCGGATCTAGGCATGCCCTCCAAGCTTCGCCACGCAAAGCAAAGCGAACTCCCCACTAAGTAGCACTGAGCCTACCTTCTAGACTGCTCAATCGCCAAACAGGTTGACCGACATCCGTGCCTTGCTTGCATCTGCAAAGCGTATTGATGACAGAAGCTTCGATGTCTGTCATGGACGATTTGTGCTACACCATGGCGGAATGCGCTTGGCGGTGAGCTCTGCTGCCTACTACCAGCACTCCCCGCTTCGCTTGCGCTGAATCTGGTTTGTGGATGTTGTGTGGGCGGGGGGGCAACTCGTGATGGGCTGAAGTAAGCCGACTGCCAAAGAAAAGGTTGAGTTGAATGTGAAGCTTAGCAAGAAATATAGTCGGCTACCAGCTCGCTGCAGACCATAGGGACTTCTCTGCAGTCACTGCAGGGCGAGATTGCCACTGAAGTTGTGTCTCTCCATGCTGTCACAATGATCAACACTGTGTCACTATGGCCATGTACCTTGATAGAACTGCGCATGCGGTCAGCTGATTGGTGGAATACGACAACAGACGGTGACAAGTGCTGTGTTCCGAAAACGTATGCCCGACGTGAAGATTAGAGTAGGCTACAAGCAAGGTGCTTGTTGCAACAACGACAAGTACGATTGCAAATTGCAAAGACGAAGTGCCCCCTTCCCTTTACATAGCTTAGAATGAAGCTGCTGCCGTGAGGTGAATTGGTCATTCATCTCGAGCTCGTCTTGGGGTTTAGGGCCTTTAGGGTTTGGATTCGAGTCCAATTGCAACTCAAGGCATCACCTGAGCCCGGCAGCTTCCTTCTTGACATTTTCAGCGCATGCTTGGCACACCCTGTAAGGCTCCCAAAAGCCCGAAATCTTCCTCGGGGCTGCGGAACTCCAGCGTGTGCTTTACCAGTCCTGAAGGAGAGGACGGGATACAATTGCGGATGTTGTTTTCATGCTTTGTGTCCTTAACGCAGGGAGTGTTCAACGGTGTTCAATCATATCAAGACCCTATTTACACCGATTATTCTGTGCGATGCTTTGTCATGCTCTGTGTGCAAGCAGGTGGCTGCCATTCCATGGATCGAGCTCGTAGACGGAATTCAGGTCCACGATTCGTTCTGTGTTAGCACCTGCAGCACCTGCCCCGCCACCTTCAGAGGCCCACTCTTCGGCTTGGCCGAGAAAGCTTCTTCCTGCCTGAAAGAGGTCTGTCTTACCCCAAGGAACATTGTCCTCAAAGTTCTGCAAGGCTCCTCGTGCGGCTTGAACTGCGCTCCGGGCCTGTTCTTTACCCAGAACACTCCGGGGAACCATTACAAGACGCCAACGAACTCGGAGGTACAAGCCAGAGTGCACCACATTGGTTACCTCGCTTCTTGCAGAAGTGCTTATTAGCTCCACACCTTGGCGAAAGTTGTCCCAGAACTGGCGGTATTGTAACAAGCCGACAAAACGTAGACCAGTTACCTGAGCAATCTCCAGCGATATGCCTGGATCGGACACGCTGGCTCCCGGGGCAATTCCAGGCAGCTGCGCATGGTCGCCCCTGACTGTATCAATGGCTTGACCAACATTGGCCGCAAAGTTCGGGTCTACTTGTGCCCGTCGTACGATTTGCTGCGACCTCCATACCCTCCAGTAATTTAGAGGCCCATAACTTGGCCAATAACTGTGATGCTGATTTTGATGGGAAGTGTGGTGGTGCATGCCGACCATTGGTGCATGCACATGCCTGGCATTGGAATGCTGGGAATGCAAGGTCTGCGTCGGGCGAGGCTTCGGTGCAGTTGCTTGGAGCCGGCCGCCTGTGGACGTTCGGCGCGGGGAAACAGACCTCATGCCGACCATTGGTGCATTTGTTGCTTTGGCCTTGTTCCGGCACTTTGCGCTGTTGGGTTTGGGCTTCCCAATCGCAGCTTTGGCTGTAAGCCGCCGACCGCCACCTCTATACTGGACGGCCCGGGGCTTGTGCTGCGCATGCAGCGCATGCGGCGCTTTGTGATGTGCTGTACCAGACGACGAACTCCCAGCACGGGCCCGGGCAGGTGAGGCCGGCCGCGGTCTACTCACCGTGGTCCGTGTAGAGCTGCGTGCAGAGCTAGTTCGCCCTGACGGAAGGCTCGCTATGGGATTCTGCAGCCAGCATAAACTCAGAACGGCAAGCGCCAAGAATTTACCACATGGCCGGAGCGCCATCTGCAGCAGGGCTGTTTGGCAGCTGCCAGGTTGCACGATCGCACTAGAATCTAGAACCTCACTAGAAAAATACAGAAGGAGAGCTCAGGCTGCAAACTAAAGACCGCCTAGCGTTGAGCCTAAACTTGTAAGGTTTGAATCTCTGGACGCACTCGAAGTCGATCTGAAACACGAAGTTCATCGGCCAAATACTGACAAATGTTCCTATCAGAGTGTTAGGGGAGCTTGAGGGAAATCGACGAATCCATCATTGGATGAGGCTCGATCTGGCCTCGACGGGGTTTGTCGTGAAACCAGTACCGTTTGCTGTTTCCCCCTCACTGTGATTCACGTTCTCATGTCGAACATCAGATCCGAAAACGCCATGGCTTCTTGCGGTCAACTGTTGATGTTCTGCAACATCTCTCATGGCCGCCAGCTTCATCTGGATACTTCGACAATTCGGAAGACGAAATGCGGCCCACGAAGACCCATTCTTTGATGCGTCTTGGGAACACCAAACTTCTTCCAACCACCTGAGGGCCTGCAGATGCCGAAGGCTTCTTACATGAGATGTTGTTCCGATTCAGTCCGAGATGCAGTCAATAACAATGTAGAGGGAAGTGCAGGGCGAGACTAATTTGCGTGATGTTGTCGCGGGTGAGGTCATGAGGAAATTCCTAAGATATGGCTATCGAAAGTCTCATATTTGAAGGTCAAACCAATCACTCAACATCTTTTGGAACGATGAAGCCACGCATCAATGACTGAATGAACTAACTACTGGATGCAACTCTCGAGGAAGCCGCCCTAACATGTTGACTGGAATTTAAGCCCTGGATGGCCACAAACAATACCCCAAAAACAAACGAAGAACCTCAATGCCAAAACAAACAATACCAAAACGAAAAAAAAAATCACAAATCGATTTCAGTATTGTTTTGTGCTGTTTGATAGTGACTGATAGTGGTTTTGTTTGCCGTGGCTGTGCTTTTACGGTTCAGTCAAAGCCTGCACTTTTCGATACGCTTTCGGAGGCATTTCTGGATACGGATACGAATCTGAATGTGCAAAAGTGCATCCAAAATAGCAACGCCAAACGTGTCCAAATTACAGGACGTCGTATGAGCCCAAGGAAAGCGCTCTCAAGTTGAATCGCCGGATCGTAACCGCAACCATAACAAAATCACAACACAAACAAGAAATCATTTCAGCAACCCTATCGTATGCTTGTTATGCCTTGATATTCTGCTGCGCGAAGCACACGACCAGTCTGCACCGACCGGTTTTCCAAGAGTATGCTGGCAGAGTGAAGGCAGGAAGAGGAGGTTGCGTTGGCACCAACCTCATCAAGAGATGGGGTCAGCATGGGTCAACAGGCTCGGAACCATCCCAAACATCCGAAACCTTTGGGGGCACAGATCTCAGACCCCATATCTCATGTTTAAAGGACTGTTGAGGACTTGAAGGTCGTGTACAGAATCAATTAGCTGAAGCCCCAGCAACAAATAACGTTTCAGCTTCCCCGAAAAAAAACGGAGGGGGCATTCTTTTCATCAACGAGCCGGCTGCTGTCTTTCTCCGCGCTTTCGCTTCAAGGGCTTGACAGAGGCAATCAGCGCGTGATGTCCCACGCGTGGGACTGTGCTAGTCGAAGTGGTCGGTATCAGACAAGTACCTCTTAGACATCAGAGGCTTGGCAAAGATTGGCCTATATTGGCCTATTGAATTGTAGAGACTCAAAGAGACGCCAGAACTGGAAAAGACCCCGCCAAAAACAAAACATGAAATCATCTGCTGGAAGTTCTGCCGAGATGCCATGCCATAGACTTATTCGGCCTCTCTGCAGAAAGTGCCGCAGCATTCAGAAGGTACTGGCGCTTAATGCTCCCCGTGGAACCTGAGGAGCTACAAACTCGATGTAATGCACTGGGTGGCATCCCGAGAAAGTCGAGAAAGTGAAAGACTGGGGCAAGGTAGGCGGAGAGATATTCATCATGAAGGCAGTCCGTTCAATGCAACGGTAGTCCAACGCGATAACTGCCCTGACAGCAAAGCCCAATGAGGCCAAGCGCGTTGACACCGACTTTGCCAGCCCGACTCCGAGGCTGTGCCCACAACAGATCAGATCGAGGAGGCGCTCCTCAGCATTCATTCGCCATCAAGTTCAAGGCTTGAACTCATTGTCACACCTCCGTCAGCAGCCGTGACGAAGAAACACACGCCAACAGCTCTTCCATGGGCAGGACTACGCACATGACGCCGTGGAACACCCTCGCCATGGCACAGAAGCTCGTAGCGATGTCATCTGCCCGACACGCCCCTGCCAGTGCAATCATTGACTGTACTGACAATATTGGTTACCAGCACCGCCGAGTGGACAGGTCAGACGGGTCCCTAGACAGAGTCCTGGATTTTTCCAAGTGCACACCACTGCGGCTGTTCTTGCTCGGCAGCATCTGCTGATATCTGCTCTGCTAATACAGTGTCGCAGACCTCTCAGGCGTTGCTGACAAATTAGGCACCACTTTGAAGCATCTCTCTCGGAATGAGCCTCTGTAGCGCTAGACTTTCACGGCTCTCTCATGGTAAGCTCACTTCTGCATGACGGCCAAAAGGCGCATGCAGCAAAGGATCGTCCAGAGCTAAATCACGCGAGTCGAAACACATGTGTCGAGATGCAGACGCCGCGCCAATCCTACTTCTGAGGGCGGCAAAGACGCCGTGCACCGCAGTGGAGGCAACTTAAGCTCGAAAGCTGTTGAGTCGCAGGTCCTCCACCAATAGAACCTGCTCTGCTGTTGTAAACTGTGCACATTATGAATTGCATTCTGGAGCATGGGACAGGCATGCTTTTCGCAGGTTCATCCCTTGCCGGATGCTCCTTGCTAATCCCAAGTGCTGCACGGACGATTCAATGGGGAAAAGGCTAGTAACGTTGCATCGCTGGTTTCAGCACATGTCAGCTGGTCAGCTGCAAATACAGACGATGGCAAGCCTTTCTTGCAAGCGAAATGGCTGATCTGGAGACACGTGCTTTATGTAGCGTTTTCACTCTTAGCTCAAAGCGCTCCGTCCAAACGCGAAGAGCTGTGCTAGGATATCTGCCGGTGGTCAGGCCGTCAAGCAGTTGAAGGCCATACGTTGCGCATTAAGGGCAAACGAACGTGTCAACAAGTCTAAAGTGATTCGCTGCAATGACGCTGCAGAAAAACAGGACATGACGCCGAACCGCCTGACAAAGTCTTCACGACGACAGTTGAAGTTTTAGAACTCATGTTTTTGGATTCAGGACCTCGGACCTAGGACTCAGGTGATCAAGAACATGGTGCACCTGGAAGCAATGAACAGATCGGCTGCCATCGAAGCCTTCTGCTTGCTGGTGAAGATATGAGACGAAGTAGCTTTGAGAAGAGCTTCAAACACGGCTCCGACCATCTTAGATGCTAGAGCCAGCCGAGTTCCACACAACGTGAGCTGCAGTGCCCATGGCAGTTGCCAAGGTCAATTTCATTCATGCTGAGCTCGCGAGCGGCTAGCAGACTCTGACTGGGTGCCTGGACTATGTCCAGTACATTCATGCCATCGGCAAGCTAGCATCATGGTGCTGCAAGCATTAAATTGGCCAGTGTCAACACACTTCTGTTCAACATTTCTCCGGGTCGGTCGACTGGTCTAATCAGGATATGGGAGCCAGACGAGGGCTGCGCTCTACTTCACGTTCCGAGCGGCACAGCGGAGCACGGCACTTAGTCTAACGCAACCACAAGTGGCAATCCCTAGCGCAAGGAATATCAAGGAATGTTCATCTCCAGGGAACTAACTGGCCTCGTTCGCAAGCTCACCCCATCTTGACAGGATTGCGGGGAGGAGGCTGTCTAGGACACAAAGCCTTCTCCTTGCATGCCAGCGTGTGCGTCGTGGTGCACCATGCTAGCAAAGCTTCACAAGGTCTTCGTGAGCCATTGTTGTGCTCTCGCGAGCGGTGCATGCTGCAATGGGTCAGTGGGGAACATATGGACACGTTCACCATGATCGGGGGCAGGCTTGCCTGGCTAGGCGCCACAAAACCAAAAACGAAGCTCAAGAGCGAAGACAAAGCAGCCTGACGAAGCCTGGACAAATACGTGCAGCCTCGAAAATGGGAACGGAGTCTGTTGGATGTTGCGTTGCCTGGCGTCTAGTGCAATTTCACTCATGTTCTGCTGATTGCGCTGGTAGCAGCTGTAGCACCTTGTGGCAGCTGGCCACTTCAGCCTGTCAATCCTTATCAGTCCTGTCAGGCTCCAAATGGGCTGGAGCACATACGAGCACTGGTGCCCCAAACCACTCTGCACTCTGCAGTTCACGCAGGGCACGTCGGCGACGCTCATTTCTCACATTTCAAACACATTCTGAAGATTTTTCAAGAAGTTCTCTCACTCCAGAGTCGTCCAGAGTTGACTCATGAGAGTGAGTTATGTGAGATGAAGCCGTGCCCTACAGTGGTTTACTGCTTACAAGTTACCCCTTGTGGTTGAAACTTCCTTCGGCATGGTGCAAAGCCGTCGTGAAGCGACCGCGTTGCTACAGGCAGGCATGTCCGTTCTGCCCCTCGGGCTTTTTGGGCTTTACTTGTTAGCCCTGTGAAGTTTTTCCATACTTTCATTCGCCAACAGAACATGCTTGACAGGCGCTGGACCAACGACAGGCACTTGACTGATTTAACCATTATAACCGCACGAGAAACTGTCGTCCTCAACAAGGCCGTTGAATCCGTTGATACACGCAGCGCTGCAAGCTGCGACCGGCTCTTAAACTGTGCTCAGCAACATACCAGGCATGGCGCAGGCATGGCGAGGTCCTGTCAATTACAGCGTTTGTTCAAGCTCGAAGCGAAGAGCAACGGTCACGTCCTCAGCGCTGTGATTGAAGAGGTAAACTGGAACACAGGAAAAACGCAGTTCAGTGCTTGCTTGGGCTTTTTTGGTACTGGCCTTCCCGGCACGGTGAGCCTGCCTAAGCGGTTGCATTGGGTTCTCTGGCAGCTTGCTTTTGGTGCGACTTAAGGATCACATGTTCAGCTTGTTCAGCTTAGCGGTCACAGCACAGGCATTTTTGAAAGAGATCGGGCGGAGGCGGAAGACGTGCTGACGCTGCTTGAAACATGCCATATCTTGCCAGGGGACTTTGGAGCTGCGGCGAGGTGCGACCTGGGAAAACCTGAATAAGAAAACAGAGCCTGTGCTTGGATGCACCTTGAATCGCCTTAAGGCCTTAAGAAATCACGAGTCGTCACTGCAGCAAAGGCTTGGGCTCGGCATGAACAGAACGAGCGTAACGAATAATGCCAAGAAGCCGCACTATTCACAGCCTAAACTTACTTCTCAGACACGCCAAACGTGCGTTTTGACTTGAGATTGTTGCCTGTCTGCCTCAAACGCTGGTGCAGCCGGACCCTTGAAAGCGGGAGCTGAAGGCTGCGATGGATCGTGTGAGCTGGACCTGACACACACGATGTGCTGCAAATCTCAGCTCAGAAGACACGTGATACCAGGATAGCCATTGATGGGAACACGATTGAACTGTGTTGTCGCGCACCTTACTTGGAGGGCACCCGGTTGCAAGCCAGCAGACAGCCCTGGCAAGTGATCATTGACCTCCTGTACAATGGTTCGTACAATTGCAGAAATTTGCTGAAAAAAGGCCTCCCAAGTCTGCTTGACTTTGATTTGACAAGGACTGGCTGACGGCAAGGAAGTTGGGAAAACACATGCAGACCCCATTCACTGATACAGCGCAAGCTGCAATATTGCGTACACTGCGTGCAACTCCCGTCCAGGCAGTTTTCCTGAAACTGTAAGCAGCTTGGTGTGCAGATCGCCAGCACATGGTCAAAGCATGTGGGCGGCTGCTCGAATCTTTGCTGGAATCTTCTCGCTAAGCACGCCTGGTGGTACAGCCGTTGCGAGATTCCGAGACTAAGTGGCTGGTGCAGGGGCGAGGCGCCTCCCTCCAACATCTTGCAACAAGTCTTGCAACAAGAGCGCTTGCTGTGTATCGGATCACGAGGGGCCTAGGTGACCTGAATGGCTCTGACTCACCAGGTGCACCCACGAGCACGCGAGTCATGAGAGCACACGGAAAACTGCTGACTGATCAAAACGGAAACCGTGGGAACGGATGGGCTTCTCAGCTTCTGCGTGGTTCTGCACGTTGGCTGCTTCTGCTCAAATCCTAAATCATTTGCTCCAGAATGCTCCCGGCCTTTCAGACTGCACATGGGCCGACCCTTGGTGCCTTGACAGCCTGGCATGAGTCCCTTTAGCTGGCATCTCAAACCAAAGTTGTTGGAACATTTGGTCCGGGGTGCCTCAGGCATTGGGACCCTTGCACATGCTGTGCTGCATGGCGCGTCGCAGTGGCTGCCTTGTGTTCGCGGAGAGCGACTGCACCTGGCAACCTGGGCAACCTTGGCAACCTCGGCAACCTTGGCAAGCTTGGCAAGCTTGCAGTAGCCGTGCGAGCCTCCCCCCCTTTCTCAGTGGCACTCCAGCAGACTCGGCAGGCCTGCTGCGGCAGATGTGTGATTTCACAGGTTGTATCAAAGGCGGCACGGGCCTCTACAAAATATGAATCCCCATATTTCATGCTGTCTTGGCGGGACAGGAGTTTAACGATGCTCCGCCCCAAATTGTTGCAAGCCTCATTTCGCCCAATGAGAATGTGTCTACTGATAGCCTTCCAAGACCTACCTGGTGCGCAATATGTTGGGCACTACATGCTTAAGCCGCCCGATCGAACATTATTCTGCTTGTTCAGGTGTCCAAGCTTGTGGACGGCGCAGGTGCCTGTGGAGCATCAGCACTCACAGGTATGCAAAAGACAAGCCGTGTGTAAGGCCAGTGGCAGGTTGGACAACTCCGTGTTCAAGAGACCGTATGCCCCAACCTCCACTAAATCTTGATCTTACTTGTGAAGCCTCTGAGAGCCAACGGCTTCGACATGGAAGTTCAAAAACATCGGGTCTCTCTTCGCTGAATGCCCAAAGCACGATGTCCTCCAACAGATTCCTAGTCTTCTCATGCATGGCCACTGGTCTCGGGGCTGCTTTTGCATTCCTAAAGCGTCGTTGATATCATTGAGCCGGACAGACCGTTGGGTACAGACGATGTCTGCTGCCCTCTTTGAACAAGAACTTGCATTGCATGCACTTCCGAAGCCCTGTGGCGGATAGATGGGGACAGCATGGAGATCGGTACCCAAAGCCTGTGGTACAACAGATTGTCCGAGGGAGCGAAACTAGAGGAATGCACTTCGAGGTGAAGCGTATTTGTGAAGCATGACAGCTTTTTGTTATACATTATGGTATGGTATTCCAGTGCACTCCTCATGGGACAACCTGTTTGGTTGTAGCACTAGCACTATCACTAGGGCCACTTTTGCAGTACATCAACAAATGCCGTGCTGTCTTGGACGGCTACAGCGCACGCTGTCGCCACGACTCGCCATCAATGTCGGACTAAGAGTTACTCTGAAGATCATACCCATATCCTAGGACATGAACCAACTCCGAAGCAAAGCTGCGCTTCGGTGAAAATGCGATCTTCATGGCGCATTGTCCGGGCGTTGCCAGAAGCCTGCGCACACGTGGCGGCACACCCCCAAAAGGTTCTAAGGTTGAACGGTTGAACTGAACGCTTTCCAGGGGTTGTGGGACCGGCCCTGACCTCCAACGCATGGCCGCTTTGTCGGTTCCACTCATTCGGGATGAGCTTTGCTTTGCACAAACTCTCCCTCCAGATGGTAGATGTCAGGCATGTTGCCTGACATGAACCAACTGGTTTTGGTCAACCTCCTTGGGTGGTCCTGACTTTCGGCGTACAGGCACACACACACACACACAGTCTTGTCAAAGCCCTGGCTACGATGGCCTACACGAGTCCAATCGAGCTATGTTTGCTTTTGGATATGGAGGTTAGAGGATGGGGGAAGGGGCACGGGAGGGAGCCCCAACCCCGAAACGAGAAGAGTAGAACATAAGACATAAAGGCGGCAAATGGCGGCAAGGAAAGCACAAAAACTGTCTGTGAAATCATTGCACGACGTGTGAAAGCTCAGATGATCAGGTCCACGCATGTCCGCGCTCCAGCTAACATACATCTCAAGCCTTACAGTAGCCCCGAAGACATTAAAGTCATGAGGCAACAAATTTCATAAACCAAAATGGAAAAATCAACACGCAACACAACCGAGGCCAGTGGTCACTGCAGCATGCCAATTGCCTTGCAGAGAGGCGCTACCGGGCCGTCACAGGCTCGGAGAGGGGCCTCCCTGAGCTTTCTCAATTACAAAGGCTCTGAACTGAATTGCTCACTGCAGCGCGGCCAAGCCCTCCACCGGGCAAAGGAGAGGAAGCTCCAGGCACCTTATGCTGCGACACACCGCATGGAAGCACGCCTGAAAGCCGTGTCGACATGTAATTTGCAGTCATTTGCAGTCATCTCCACGCAGTTCTCAGCCTCTGGGGTTGCCCACTGGCTCACCGAGGCTTTGCTGGACATCCCGGCGCTCCTGACAAAGAAACGTGTCAGGACATTCTGACATCTTTCGCTTCCGTATCTTTGGGGAACAATGCCAAGTCAAAAAAAAACAGCAGACAACAAGAAACTGCCATTGAGTCCCTCACACTGGCAGCTACCACAAGTTAACAAGCCAGAAGACACCAACCCGCGATGACCGGCGTCTGGACCTCAAAGATTTTTCTTCGCCCCTTTTCAGCTTTTCCCCTTCAAAAAAGAATATTTCAGGCGCCATCGCGGGCAAGCCTGGGAGGCCCTGGCAAAGGAGGTGCCGAGGAGTCTGATAGCCCGCCCGACATTCTGTTCGTGTTGCTCATGTTGTTCTCAAATGTCTCGAAATTTAAAAAAAAACTGTGAGTTTTCACAGGATCTCCGACAACGCCCTGAGGTTCTAGGGCTTGCCACTTAGACTTCATGATCCTCAACTGCTGTAGTAAAGCAGGACCTCCAATCTTTGTCAGGGGTGATTCAGCAGTTATTGAATACACCCCAAGACGTTGGGGGTAGCTTGAACTTTCACAGCACCTTTGTGTGCCCAAGACTGAGGAAAGCCATCGCTTCTCTCGCGTCGTGCACTCACTGACTCTTGCTTGAGCTACCAGAAGAGAAATCACAACAGGCCTTCCTAGCGCCCAGATGATGGAGCAAAGCTGTGAGAGCTGTCCCAGGCCTGGTCCGCGCGGAACCTCTGAGCCTCGCACAGAAGAAAAAAAACAGTGAATTACTGCATTGCGCGGGCGCTTGGCCGTCTTTCTCGAGGGTACTTCGCAGCATGTCGCGGCGGATCTTGGCCTCCCAGTGCTTTGCCAGGGTGGTGTCATCGCGTCGAAACCTCTCCAATTGTGAGTCCATCAGCCGCACCTGAGCTTAAAGCTTCAGCCAGCACTATCTCGCGCACTCTCCTAGGCTCTGCAAGTTTGAACTTGAACAGCACCTCTTCCTCGAGCTCCCGCTGCAGGCGGTGGCCCTCCCTCTCTTCGTGGTAGCATTCCTGTGGACGATTGCGCTGTGATGGGAGTCCAAAGTTTTGCGATTTTGGGGAGTGACCAAAATGTTTGCCTGAGCTCTGAAGCAGCGAGCAGCCTGCTTCAGAAAGCCGAGGCTGTTCTCAATGTCGACAAGACGGCTTCGTACCTTCCAAGGGCGGAGTTTGCTGGAGAATGCCGGAAGTTTATTTGCGCCTTCGTTGTTTTTGAATGGGTGGAGCTGCCCTCGAGCTGTCAGTGACTGCCACGACAAATTTGCACATGTACACATTTCCCTTCATTCGTCGCCCACTTATCCAATCCTCAAGGTGGTTACATGCAGTACAAGTCACCCGCTCCAGATCGTGCTCCATGTCCTCCACCCGCTGCTGCCGGTGGTCGACGTACTGCCATGAGCTGAGCGGTGTCTTCTCATTACTTACCTACTATACTCGTGAGCTCCGACGCGGAACTTCGACTGCTGCCGCCCCCCGCGACCACAATGCACGGGGCGGCGTCTTTTGGATTCTGGATGGGAGCGCAAGGCCTCATGCGGAAAGGACTCTCGTTCGAAGACGGGCGCCAGGGCAAGTGGCCGAAAACAGCGGCTAGCTGGCTTCTTTGGAGATGTGCAGTCTGCTCGCATCTCCATGCCAAAACTCTATACAGAGCCGAGAGGACACGCCGCCTTATTCTACACAAGACAGAACAAGCGTGTGCAAAATTGTACAAAGTCAGCCACGAGCGGCACCAAGGGCTCTTGGAGCGCGGGCCACGGACTCAGCGGCGTAGCGCCTTGCGCAGTGCGACGGCCGCGCGCGGCATTGCTTCCCGCACGGGGTTCGCAGGGCTCCTGCGCCATCTGAAGCTTCAGAATGGCTGCAAATGGTCAATCCTGGTCAACCTTCTTCTTTCATTTTCTCTTTGTTGCAAACACGGACTCTCGCGCAACACAGCGTCGCCATGCACTCCTACGAACTCTTAGGCCAGCGGGGTTCTGGATCGGCAGCGGGGTGGAAACACCTGAGCGCTCAGCGTCGGGGGCCCACACTGGATGCTCTGCTCACTAACTCGTCGGCAACACTTCCTAATCAGCTTTCTCAAGGCTGGCAGAGACTGGGCTCAACACTTGGTTTTGCGATCACCAGGGCGACTAGGGTGACTCTACGTGCTCGTAGCATCTTGTGGCGCTATCAGAGCAGGTGCTGGTGAGCTCCGGGCTGGAAAAACTTCGAGAGGACATCCGCATCGCCAGCGGATGAGGGCCACCGCCTCTCTCCGAATAAACCTTCAGCGAAGAGAATCCAGGAAAGAAGCTAAGCCAGCCACAATCTCCAACACTTCTCAAGGGCACAACAGCCAATGCGATCCCGGCACAGCCTCCCCAACGTTCCGTGCTTGCTTTACTTCTGCATCGGGATCCTGCCGGGCAAAAACAGGCGATGCGAACATCATCTGAACATCCCGAGAGAAAAGCTTCAGAAGCTGTCCTCAGAGTTCTGAGTGCCAGAAGTCAAGAGCAATGGCCTCGCAACAGCCTCTGCCCTTGACAATTCCGCTTCAGCTCTGCTAACCCTTTCTCGGGCATCGCCTTAGTGAGCTTGGCAGTGCCACAGCCAAGGCACATTCTGGCATCGTCTGCGTGCTTCGCAACAGTGGTACCATGCCATGCCGTGAAGCGCCTTCTGATTCTGAAACTCGGTGCTATCAGGCGACAGACTGCCATCCATCCGCCGCTTTGCTCCTTTGCTTGGGCCTGCGTCAAGAACTTTGAGGATCCCTGCGTATAGGATTGTGCTGTTCCAAGTGGTCCCGGCCCGTGTCAAGCCCTCTCCCTTCCAGTCACTTCGATATGAGCCACAAAGGCCACAAAGGCCACAAAGCCACAACGGGAGCCACTCAACTTGCCTGAATTTGCCCAATGGCCTCGGCAGCTTCGAGTTGCTCTCGGGCAGTCTGCAGGGTCGCCTTTGCCTGTTGCAAGTTCCACAAAAAGTGGTGTTTTTCAGTTTCGGTGGAACATGCTAGATGAGCTTGCAACACATCCCCGAGGTATGAAACGATGCTGCACGGGCCAGGTGAAAGTTTAACAACCTTGAGCCCCAACTACGAGTACCACCACAACGGTGCATTCCAAAAACCATCAGGGACGCTAATCTATCGGCCTGGGCTTCCGAATGACAGGCAACACTTGACAACACTGGACTTGCTTCAACAAGAAAAACACCACAAACAGTTTTTTTTGCAGCCTCCCTTTGGTTGATTATATTCTCCGCCTCGTCCAGCAGCGCAGAGGCCTCCATAGCGGATGTGGGTAGCAAGACCTCCAGCAGGGCTTTATTGATGTTGACCTGACATTTAGAACCCCCTCCCAGTTGCACTATCCTTCCCGGCCAAAGATCCAGGAAAGCAGCGAGTTCCTTCTTTGCTGATATCAAACCCCAAGAACCATATCGGGGGTAATATCAAATGAACATTCCCGAACACTCTGGCCGATCTTACGCTGAAAAGGACTCATAAGCCGCATGATCCCAGCCGGATGCACTGGTCGCCTGCGTCTCTTCCGCCACAGCCTCCATGCATGATAAAGTTCTGCTCCATGCATGTCATGCACAGGTCGAGGCCGACAAGGCCAAAAACATCCAAAGAATCTCAGACATCTGTTTGTTGAGCAGGACGCCCAACTGACGTTTGTTCCCTCTGCACAGACTGCTGAACTAAACTGTCAGGCACTTGGGTCTCATTGGGTGCAAAACAAGCGGCTAGAGTTTACACAGCGTCTCACCAAGAATCTCCAATCCAGGCATCTACCACGCTTGCTGACGAACGCATTTACAGGGGTGGAGGTATCGAGCCTGACTGCTTAGCAGGCATCCTTAGCCTGTTGCAAACGGTCGAATGGCTGCGAAGATTCTGCCACGATGCGTTCCCAAGTTTTCGTCCCGTTTGATCGGAACTTTATGCAGCGGCCCACTTGGAAGTGGGAGCGCATGAGGTACTTTGATAAGGGTGCGCTTCGAATTTTTTACATGTCAAAAGCGGTGACATGTCTCCTGAAGCCGGCGAAGTCCCTGTCATTGCACCGTCATCCCTTAGAGCCGGGACTGCTGATCTGAACAAAGGGCTTCATCAGTTTCAGCCGAGCAGTCTCAGAATGTCTCCGAAATCCATTTCACAACTCCAATGAATATTTGGTTGACGAGACAAACTGCTGCCTCGTTTCTCGCCCCTCTGTGCTTTTAAATTCGAGCAAAATGAGCCAGCTGAAGCGCCTGGATCTCTGCTTCAATCTCCGCGGCCACCCTGCAGGTTTGTCCCCCAGAATGGCAACCGTTTTGGCTTGTGGTGCTTGATTGGACGTCTTTTTTTCCACTGCGCAAGTCGAAGCAGTCAGCAGTCAGCAGCATCGAAAAACCGCTCAACAAAGCACATGTCGACTAAATCGGCGCAGATGCTGCTTGACATGGCACAATTACCCCTTCCCTGGCGACCCTGCTTTCAAAATCCGCCTGCCTCTCCGCAGTTGCTTCAGCTTCTAGACGCCGTGCCGAGAGCTCCTTGCGCACCGTGTTGTGTTTCAAACATCCTGACAAATTCTGACAGTAAGAGACAAGTGGGCCTCAGCTGGAACTTCGTCAGGTATGAAGTCGCGCACAACTGGGATCGTTTGCGCCACCATCTGGCAAATGTGCGACATTGTGCAGATGCGAAACACACTGAAGCTTACCACAATTGCCCCCGTCGCCCATCACACCTTGGCTATTTGAAGCACTGCGTAGGTCACTGCAAAAAGCAGACCTCGGTCAAGGGTAAAAGCAATGGAGCGACAAGCTTGGGAGACATCCCGTGCAGAAGAAACAGCTTCTGCCGATGGCATGAACAGATGCATGACAGCCCTGTCGTGGCCTATCATGGAGGCTGCCCAGACCATGCCCATGGCCAATCCCATCGCCGGAACCACAAAGAGGGCGGCTCCCCAAATCAAGAAAGGGTACCTCATCGACCGCGCCGAGCGAAAGCCAAACTCAATGAACCATGAATGAACCATCATGGAACACTGGAAGCGCGAATTGAACTCGGCATTGCCAAGGCACGGCATGTTTGGATGTCAAGCGTCGCGGATGGCGCAGCTTTCGCGTTGCTACATATGCTACTGCTGCATCGGGACACGTCTTCCTAATTCTGATGAACCATCGCAGATGGCAATACGTTATGAACGCTGTGACTGTGGCTGCTGTAATCCAGACTTCCAGGAATCGGACTTTGATGTATAGTCGTATACGATATCCGATATACAGAACAGCACCAGTCTACTTTTCAGGCTTCGAATGAGATCAAGAATTGCCGACGTCTTGAGTCTTGAGCCTTTTGAGCGTCGAGCTGCCACAAGCGAAGATTCAGGTAGCTCGTTCCTGAAACCCACGCTGCAACACTGTGCTTTCTGCCAACATCTAGAAATGGCGGGGGGGTTTATGGAAACACGCCACTTCAATACCCGAAAAGGTGCCTCGTGACCCTGGGCCAACTCGCTCCGTCTGCTCTCCTGCAGCGCTGGACGGTGAGACAGAAGTACACTCGATGACCAGGGACAAGTGCCATACGTGCACCATCCAGCCAACCTGGGCTCGGAAACTAGAAACGAGCTCCAAATCTAAACTTGCCTCGATCCTCATCTTCTCCTTCTCCATGCCTGCGCAGAAATCCACAGGTCGGTCGTGGGTTCTTCACCCCCACTATGTAGGTCGAATCAACGAAACGAATCATTCTCTCTGAAACTTTGAAACTTTCTGAGATTCACTTGCAGGGTTCTGAGACTTGCAGCCTCACCGGCCTCACCCGAAGACCCGTCTCAACTCCGGCCGCCTTCAACGCGATGGAGGCTTTCACTTCGAGCTTGCCTGCAGCAACTACGGCATGTCGGGCTCTTTACGGCTCTTTGCGGCTCCTCTTTGACACTCTGTGTGGTTTTTCTCTGCCGGCTTAGTTTGGCTCACCACAAGATATTGCAGCTCATCCACCGGCACCTCAAGGCTGTGGAGGCGAGGTCTTTCTCGCGCTGGCACTCCTCTTTGGCCTTGGGCCGCAGACTGCTTGCAAGCTTGTGCTCCCTAGCACTTTCTAGGAAATTGCCAAGAGTCCAGCCTGCTCGTGCACCTTTCGATGATTGAGCAGCACGGCTTCATAGCGCTCGCGGTCGGTGTAAAGGACTTGCACCTCACCCAGCTTCAGTGATGCATGAGAATTGCGACAATCTAATTCGTATTCCATCTGGCAGATCTGCAGCTCCAGCACCTTTTACTCAGACTGCTTGCACCCTTGCTTCAGGTCGACTCGAAGACAATGCACCGACCGAAATGCACCTCTTGCATGAGCAAATTATAAGCACAACAACTACCCTCAATCCTTGCAAGAAACCATTAAGCCATCGCATCGTGGGAATGTCAAGTGCGGAAATGTACACCTACAGACTGCAAGCCATGGCAGTCTGGCACCTGGTTCTCCAGGTTCCTTTCCATGACGGACAGCACCTCCGCAATAAACAGGGACGGAAACCCAAAAGTAGATGCCGCACCCCAACAGAAACCAGGAAAGTGGGCTAGAGCGGGTGCCTCGATGGCCTTCTGGCGCTGCGCCTCGGCCTCGCGATCAAAATTACGAAGCCACCCCACAGCCCTTCCCGTTTTCGTATGTGAGACATCTTGCGAGGCGGGCCCCTCCTAGTACATAGTCCTTACTGGTGTCTTGTATGGAAGATGGTTATTGCCGGTGCAAGAGACTTGCACTCAATAGAAATTGTTGCTGGCGCCGGGTATGTATCCGTATACACGTATCTTATATATATATATATATAGATGTATCCTGCCATATATATATATATGCATATGTATATATGTGACAACCCTCAATCAATTTCAGCGCAATTATTGTCATCAGGGCTTCGGTGCTCAAAGTGAAATAGTCATCCTATTTACGGAAGGAATGGAACTTCTGGGAATATACTCTTACGAACATTCATGACTTCCCCTTCAGGTTCACAGGGGAATACCTGAACAGGTTTGATTAACATACTTGGACGTCAACTATAACTCTTAACTAACTTTACTTCTTGGCTTCGCGTTGGGCTATTTGTGATTGTAAACATTAATCGACACCCTGACCCCAACTCTAACGTTTAAAAAACTCAGAAGCCCACATAACTCATGGTTCCGTTTCAGAGTCCCACAATCCCACAATCGCGATCCTAAACCCCGTCCCTAATACCATACCTGACTAACCACTCGTACCATACGGCCACACACACACCATAGCAAGTTCATGCAATTTTCTTTTACGTACGTTAACCTTGCGCCTCATAAGTTAGTCACTTTACCAAGTACAAAAACTCGAAAAGGGTAGTACTGTTGATGGAGCTGTCGCCAAGCGTATCAAGTCATTGTGCGATTTATTCCAAAGTGAGCCTTGAAACATGATATCGTCACTCCTCCGTACAGCTAGGGCAAAAGCCGATGGGCGAGTTTTCAGAATGTTCTTCAAGGAACTTCCCCCCTAAAGGAACAATTAGATTGTGTCAATTTGTCAAGTCATGCTGTTCTTAAAACGGCAGGGAGGCGGATGGGGGAGCTGGCTCCTCTATGTCTATTCTACGTCTAATTTAACAGTGATCAGCTGTTTAGCAAAATCAAAACTACTTTTTCTGCTCCAAACGAGGGATCGGGCGTGCATCATGGGAGGTGGCGGTGGTGCTATATCCGCCGACCCCAGCTTTGAGCGGGGGAGGCGCTAGTGAAGACCCCATGGCGTCGGCGTAACCCCGCCCGCTCCGCCCACCCCAGCCATGGCTCCCATAGCCCCATGCCCCTCATGGCATGACGCCCCCCAAAGGGCGGGCATAAGCGACGTGTCTAAGGTCGGGGCTAGGAAAAAGGGAGCTTAGGGGCCTTGTAAAGTGCTTAGAAACTTTAAGGGAGTCTAGGAGCCTCAAACGCTTAGAGATTTGAAGGGAGTTTAGGGGCCTGAAAATGCTTAGAAACATTAAGGGAGTTCAGGAGCCTCAAACGCTTAGAGATTTTAAGGGAGTTTAGGGGCCTCAAAATGCTTAGAATAGAAACTTCAAGGGAGTTTAGGAGCCTCCAACGCTTAGAGAAACCCCAACCCTGTGACGGATCTGCTCGCCCCGCGCTTCTGCCTGCGCTGCCCGCCCATGGGCGCAGCCCCTTAAACAAAAAATATTTTTTTTGTGCTACAATGCTACAACTAAAGAGACAATACACTACAACTTACAATAATGCATATCTGCACTTCCAGCAGACCATGAGAAATACACCGCAGCTCCCAGCATCTCGATGTTCGGCTGAGCCCTATCGGCCTCTGATGCCACTCGTGCCTGGGCAGGTTGGGCGACAGGAAGCATCGAGCAGGGTGTCAAGCAACCAAGTATAAAGATGCACAATGCTCAGGTTTCAGGATTCTGTACGCGCTTTCATGATGTCCGCGTTCTAGCTGCTCTAAAGCTGCGAGGCCCGCGCCCGCTGGTCCACTACTTCTCGCAAGCGCTCGCGGCAGCTTACCAGCAGCTCCTGCAAAGTCACACATGCTGCAAGTTTGCAAGCACTGTTCGAAGGTCAATCCCTATGCAGAATCTCCTGCGACTCCTTCAGCTGCGCTTCCGCGGCTGCCTGCGTCCGGAATGGTAGTAGCACTTCTGCAAAGACACCGACTCCCGGGTAGGCTCTCAGGTACCCGCACCGGGCAAGACCCTAGATAACACCCGTCGTGCTCTGCAATGGTCGAAAACCCATTTGGCAATCCCATTGGCGACACTCTTCCTTCCGTAGCTTTGCAGCTGAAAGGCTTCCATTGCCCTAGAACTTGCTACAAGAGTCTGAAGGGCTTTCAACAGAGATCAGGAGCAAGTGATTTTACTCTGAATCAGCAGATTCTTGCAAGGAAACCCCCGGTCCAGAGGTCCGGAGGACAAGTCTGAGAAAGTCATGGTTGTGCCAGCTTCCAGCTGTAGCCGGCCATGTGGGCCAGGCGGTGCACCGAAGACTGTTGCCAAGCTGCAGGCACTGAACTTGTTCCTCTAGATTTTCCAACATTTTTCGTTAATTCTAGTGCTGCTGGAGTGCATTCCTGGTAGAGCTGGCACAATGGAAGCCAGTCCTATTCTTGTCGTGTTAGCAGACTCTCTGATGAAGCCGCGGCTGGGTCCTGCAGAAGCTAGAACAAACTAAACTAGATTTAACATATTCTGGCACAACCACCCACAAAGGCCTGTCGCGTCGTGCTCTCAACTTCACGACCTGTGCAAAACATGAAGCGAAGTTTACACTCAGTTTCCCTGACAAGCCGCCAAATTTTGGGCCCTCAGTCAAACTTTGTCCTCCCTGGCCAAGGAGGCAGCTCATGATCGTGCGGCGCTTGTGTACCAAGTCGCCTGCACAGTGCCAACAAAACATTGAATGGACAAGTTGGGTTCCGATTGGGTCTGAATCTCAAATCTTGCACCTGAAAGTTGGCGAATCTCCTGCTCGAGGTCTTCATTGCAGCCACTCAGCACGTTGCACATGGCCTGAGGATGACTGCATCTTTTCAGCCGTTTCATGCAAGGCAGGAGCGGCCTGCAATGTCAGCAGCTCGCCGTTGAAGCTCTGTTTTGAAGCATTGAAATCTTTCTCAAGGGCCTGCAGCTGCATTGAAACGCAAGCAGTTACTGAAACTTTCAAGAGAACTCTGCTGAAGATTCTCGCAGCTCTCACAAGGTTGACTCAAGCCTCTCGGCCGTTGTTCTCAGTGTCCCAATGAGACCTGCGTCAGCTGGAAAGCAATCCTTGAAAGAACCGAACTCGGCAGAAGATCGCCGGAGTCTCAGCCTCCACAAGGAGATGTCTGCGTCGGAGGCCGCTATGTCTTGCAGCGCGGCCTACAAGAATGCGTCGAGGCTATAGACTCACGGGAGATGCCGTAAATTTAAAAATACTACAAGAGAAATCCAATTCAACCCACTGTTCACTTCACAACGATCGGGAACCTCATGGTCTTCCTGGAGCTTGAGCAGCTCCTCGAGAATCACGGGCGATGTCAGGCTGATAACGTGCAGGACTCTTGCAGGCTCGGAGACTCCAGAGCAACTTTTTTTCATCCGAAGTCAGTGCTCCAAAAGGTCCAAAGAAAACGTATGAGGTAAAGCATAGGGAGGAGGCGGATTCAAGAGGCCCTGGCACTTGCGAAGCCAGGAGACTGAAAGATATAGCGCGTTCTTTGATGAGATGGTCAAAACAGACAGTTAAGGTTGCCACGTGGCATGGCCTTTCTGTACATGTGCCTCCTCAAGTGCAAAGTTGAAGACGAGCATATACAAGAGCATGGCGAGCGACGGACCCAAAGTTGGTTCAAAGAGTGTAAGCGTCCTACGTCTTAAGTCATGCTGATTTCGACATATTTCGACGCTGTGTAGCTTTGACCTCAAGAATTTGTTCACACATCTGGGTCGAATATGCCTGTGCCAGAAAACTGCTGGTCTGCTGGACTTGGTCCCCACCTCTTGGGCTTGGACTTCGAAGCAGAACAAGCAGCAACAGCCAGGCATGTGCAAGAACAAGTGTATGAGCGAACACGTGCAGAAGCTTGAAAAGTGGCCATATACTGTGTGTAGGCCTAAGTGGTGAGAGCAAACTGCGGCAACTGAAGAGTCGCCTTGCATAGGGAAGCTAACGGCAGCTCCTGCTGCCAGGGAACCGTGAGCCCGAGGGAGGGCCGTGACAAACTCAAAACCAGCGTAGCTTCAGTAGCTTCCCCATTGGGGCTTCATCCAGCACGCCGCGGCGTCTGATCTCACCAAAGGTGAGCAGCGGGACGGGTGTTTGCCTCTCAAGTTCGCATGTCGCATGGCACGTTGTGGTTTCTCAATATACTTATTTCAATATGCTTCAATTCTCGCCTTTTGCTTGCCAAGCTGGGCCAAGCTGCTGTGCTCAGTACCATCCCTTGCTCTGGCCCTTGCTGCTCCCCTTGCGGCTGGAGTAGCCGCGATCCTGACACAACGTGAAGCAAGCAGCTCTTGCACGTCAAGAAGGCGGCTGCCTGGGCGGTTGACTTTGGTGAGATCCCTGGGGAACACTGGTCCTCGTATCCCCAGTCATTATTGTAGCTGCGACCGCCACTTCCGTAACTCTGGGTGCCTGGAGATCAGCGCCCGATATCTCTGAAGCAAAATCCAGCTTGCTTGGATGCCAACACAGCACAGGGTATGATTAGGGTATGAGTTTTCTCGCCAAGTCTCTTTTGCTCGTGCCCTTGCTCTTTCCCTTGCTCTTGCCTCCGTAGCCGTAATCACCATAACCTGAATCGTAACTTGAATATCCAGACCTTGCTTTGCCCTTGCCTCGGCTGCGCATCGCAGATTATAGCAAGCTGAGCTTATAACAACTTATACCATTAAACGAGAGAGAAGCTGATGCAAACCAAGAGCTCTGTCCTCCGTAGCTGTAGTCATCATAGTAGTCCCTGCTCTTGCTCGTCTTGCCTTTGTCCTTGCCTTTCCCCTTGCCCTTGTCATCTCGGCCCTTGCCTTTTCCAAAGTCCGAGCCCTTCTTGCCCTTCTCTGACGACTTGCCCTTGCCCTGCAGGCGCACAATGTCTGGCTTGAACAGATTAGCCAACAAATGAACACATGCCACGGTATGAGTGTCCTGTCCTTGCTTTTGCCTTTTCCACTGTAGCCATAGTCGTCCTCGTAATCATCATAGCTTCGGCTCTTTCCCTTGCCCTTGCCTTAGCGTGAGAAGGCAATGCGCGAACAATTCTCCACACAGCATGTATAATGCAACGCGCGAGTCTCGTGGGTTCGCCGTCAATTTACAACTTGTGTCCCAGATGTCTTAGTTTAGTACCATCTTCATGCCTCCCCGAGTGACCAGGGACTGGGCAGGCAACTGACTGTCACCAAGAAGCTGGAGCTCTTGCCTTTAGACTCTCCCTTGCCTTTTCCCTTCCCCTTGGAAGTGGTTGTCTTTCCCTGCCCATATGAGCTTTGATGCGAAAGTCAAATTCAAGGCTGCATAACAGTCTGACTTTGAATGCAGGGTGCCTTGCCCTTACCTTTCGATTCTCCCTTTCCCTTTCCGCGGCCCTTTCCTCGTCCTTTTCCTCGACCCTTGCCGCGTCCTTTTCCCTTTCCGCGACCCTTGCCGCGTCCTGGTCAATTAGTTCGTTGCGAGGATACGGTCCAGCTTCTCAGCAAGACCTTCCATGAGAAGAACATGCCTCCAGCTGGGCGATCATCCGGCGTGTACTCCTATGTGCAAGACTTCTGTCGTCCTATTCCATGGTGCACTCTGAATACTCTGATGGAGAGTCCGTGCTGTTAGCCCTTTCCTTCACAAGGGACTCGTCGAGAGGTGGCTGGTAGCCCTGAACAAAGATTGTGGCTGCCATGAGTGCGCAAAAACGAAGCGCAAATCACTGAGCTGGTCTTGCTTTCTTCCTGCCCTGCCTTGTCCATTGTGTCCAAGGCATCCTTTCTCGCTTGAGCTACACAGACAACCGTCACAGCAAAACTTGTCAACGCACGTGCCATGGCACGTGCCGCGGAAAACCTGGCAGCACTCCTTGGACAGCTTGATCTCGATGACGGACACGCTGCGCGTGTCGACGACCTTGTCCAGGCCTTCTTCAATTGGTTCGTACTCGTCCACGATGTCCTTGGCTGGAACATGCAGGAACCTGCATTAGCCGATAGTCAACTTAAACTCTGCCACATATGGCGATGTCTCTGTGCCGCCAAAACCATGGAATACAAGCTTATGCTCCTGGCTGGCGGCTAGCTCGGTAGTACACCTCGAACAAACACCGTTGTTACTCTATTTTGGGTTTTGCTGCAGGCGACGGTGGTGCCGATGTTGGTGATCTGGTGCAGACCTCAGATCAGCTGTTCAGCCACAAATGCTCGCAGCAACCTTAAAATGAAATACATATCTTGAGCTTGGCCCTTTAAAACCACTACTTCAAGCACTTTGATACAGTAAGCTACAGAAGCAACCCGCCTCCTCTGAAACCGTGCGCATCTTGGTGATTCGCACGCTTCGCTTAGACAAAACCCGCTCTTTTCAGAACTTTGTTGTATGTGTTTCTGGAAACAGCCTTGGGAAAACGAGCGTTGTTCGAATCTTCGTCGGCTGGCTTTAATATAAAGTTTCAAAAAACATGCAATCTTCTTATCAAAATTTTGATTAGGTCGAAAGTTTCAATTTTTCTGTAAAATTTCAACTTCAAGCAAATTGAATGCTCCGAATAATCACCTCGAAGTAGGCCGACGCCTCGAATTAATCGCTTGTTTTTCGCGCACTGTAGCGTGCACTTGCATTCTCGGGGTTGGAGAAGTTGGGACATTGGGGGTGGAGGCGGGGTTTTTCAAGCACGATGAGGCAGCTTGGAGAGCACGCAATTCGTCCTTTGCTCGTTTCGGAGGATTCGGGGTGCAAGGCTTTTTGTGCTTGGATGCCCTGTCCAATGTATGTGCTGGCAACATGGACATTCTTATCGTTCGGGCATTGGATGCTCTAGCCAATGGATGCACTGGACATTAACATGGGCGATCTGTATGAAATGGGTGCGTCGCCTCGGCCAACCACGAAGGCTTTCTACATGGAATTGACTTCACTTTGAACAGAAGAGACACACTGCGAGTCCATGAAATTCACTGTACCCTGCGACTGGGGCTGAGAACTGTGTCATTGCTGCTTGCCCTCTTAGATATTGATACTGCTGATTTCGAAAAAGCACGAACATGGTTTGAAAAGTGACATTCCTGAAGCCACGAATAAAGAACAGCAAAGACTGAACTGAAAAGAGATTTAATATTTACCTAAACTTGATCGTATTGAAACAAACAAATGATGCGGAATATCTCTTAAGTTTTTCTCATACAGTCCAAATTCACTTCTGGGCTTAGACGGTCAAGTCTGCGGAGGGCCTTTCTGGCTGTCATTTCTTGACCCTGTCTTGTTTTGGCGAGGGGAAGGTTGGAAAAGGTTGGCCGCTCCGGCCTGAAAGCAAAACTTTCTCAGAAAGGAGTGGGATGGGTGGGTATTTAAGCCTCAGGGCGTTAGGTCTGATGTTACTAAAAACTGGTGGGAAGAAACTGAAACTGCCCAGGCCTGGCACATCGCTTTCAAGATTATCCAGCGCTGTCACTGTAGCAAATCATGTGAAGATGCGGCTCTCTAGGGGATATCACCATGCGGAGGCAGGTGCTTGCTGCCTTCTCTGATGCACTTCAGGTAGCATTGCAAAACGCATACACATACACGCTTTTAACACGCACATACATACATGCATACATACATACCGACACGGCAACACACACACACACACAGACATGTACACACACATGTACACACACAGAGACACGCAGAGAGACACGCACAGACACAGACACACAAACAAAGACACTACACACACATGCACACCCAAACACACGCGCGCACACACACACACATACACGGAGACAGACAGACAGAACAGATGTCAAAATTCCCAGAAGAAAGACTCATCACTCATCATGAGAATTCAACGTTGAGGAGGGGACCCTTGAATCGGCGTTTAATGACTTCGGCAGTAGTGACAGCCTTCAACAGGTCACGCTGTCGAGAAGCACTTCTACTCCAGCAGTACCCGGCAGTGCTGGCCCAGTCCCGGGAGGTGCCTTGGTCAGCGCGTTGCCGGTCGCCTGAATGACGACCTCAGCTACCGGGTACATGGGAAAGCGTACAATTGAGCAGGCCATGAGCTGAAAGCCAAGCCACGAAGGACTTGCCTAGGTCGTTGAAGACCGTTGCAGCGCGGGAGACGTAAGCCTGGCCACATGGCCACAGCATGTCACTGTGTGCACACCATGGCACAGCGTTGCTGAGTGCTGGGTGTAGATTGGTCACACCTACCATCTGTCTGGCTATGATCACGACCTTCCCCCTTTCAAGCCCATGCTTGTCTCCCATCTCTGCGATTTGCTCTCCAAGTGGCTGAGACACTGCCAGCAGCAGTCACACGGATCTCCTCATCACTCTTGACAATCTCTTCCTGCATGCGCGCACTGCAAATGATGGAGGCTGCGAACTCGAATGCAAGCATCACCGGCATTCGCTGATCATTCATTCACGAATTTGGCACGCCTTAGCCTTTGGCACTCTGCGGTACTTGTCCATGGCCGAGGGCTGATGTTCGGCAGCGTGCGAAGCTCTGGAAGGATGCTGGGGATGAGCTGGCTCAATGCTGCGGCGGGCAAATAAAGAGATCTCATCTAAGCACACAGAAGATTTGCAGAACCGTGGCAGGCTTGAACCTGCAGTGACCACGTCCCAATCTACTTGTCACTTCGCGAAAGCGGGATGGGAATTGCTTCAGGGCCACTCCTCGTCACAGCTTTTGATCTCGTCCTCCATTGCCTGATTTTGACTGTGGCGAAGGGCATCATTAGGAGCCTGTGGAAGCTGTCACAGCTATGCCGGCTATGCCTTACACTGTTTCTAAGGTGAGGCATAGTGCTACACATACTGTTTTACTATGTTTTCTGGATGCCCGCATCTAACCATTCCGTACTTCAAACATGGACGTGCCCGGACTTGATCCTTCCAAGTCCTGCCGAGGAACTGCAACTTCCAGAGATGATTGAGAAGGTTCACGCCGCTACATGCCGCTACAGCCGCTCCATACTTCTCGCCTCGATCTGCTGCATCGCCAGGGCTGACTCCACCTGAAGCAACACTAACGGCAACAACAAAGAACCGGTTCCTAACTGGTGCTGGAACGCATTTCACTCATCGAAACTTGTCGCGTCACAAGATGGCTCTCGAAAATTGCGTACTGCGCGATGTCATCAGGTCCTAACTAATGCCCTGCGGTGGTACAGTGACAGCCCTGCGTGAAGCAAACATTGGTTTAAGAAAACGACGGGCTCGGCCGAGAGCTGACACCCAAGAGTGCGTCAAAAAACGTTCACGGTGCTAAGAAAGAACTCCAGGGGTGCCCTCAGATTTGGAGCAGAAGTTTCTGATTTTGGGGGCCTCTTGGGCATAGGGAAGCAAATAAACTCAGGGCGCAGTACCTTCAGCTTGGGCTTGAATCCTGGGATCTACGACCTCAAAAAAAATCCAGGGTTCCTTCAACCTAGGGGGTGCAGCTGTACATTAAGAAACCAGTGTCCGGCTGGGGTTGATTGAGTCTTGACCCTGAACCCTCGTATCCTGAGAGAAAGTGAGGGGCTTGTTTTCGAATTTCCATGCATTTGGGCCTGAAAATTGATTCTCCCTATTTGCTGATGGGTGGGCATGGGGACCATGGCCAACGGTTTCTTTATCATACGTGCCGCGGTAGCATGGCATTGGCATATCGTTGCTGGGCCAAGGATAGTCTGGCAACAACCGCCACAAAGACATCGTGTGCATTTATTCCACTGTGGCAGAACATCATTGTGATTTCGACAAGCTGTGGCACGAGTACAGGGTGCGAGGATCAGCAACGGTACATGACTTCTCACATGTGTGTTCCTAGCTGCTTCAAGGAGAGATCAACAGGAAGCTCCCGTTTTGCTATTGAAGCAGCAGGATCACCTCGTCCGCCCGCCGGTGTTCGGTGAGGCGGCGCTCGCAGGAGCCCCGACCTTGCGCCGCTGATCGACTGACGGCCATCCCTAGAATGTCGACGGTGTTTTTGGGCTGCTGTTGCTACATCAATAACAAGTTCCAGGAAGTGCCCTAGCACCTCATAGCCGCAGCTGCTTTACTCTGCTTCGGTCTGCTCATCTGGGGCTCCCCGCAGTCTGACAAGTCAAGGTTGTTTTTGTCCTTCGATGTTGATCAACTGAAAAAAGTTTAAGAAATCGAGCACCCCTGATGTTTAGGTGGTTTGATAAAGCGGGTGCCAATAGTAACCTGTGTTTCGCGCGTCCAGGACCGGATATCCTACATTCGGCCCGGCTGCATTTTTACCCGCACCCTCTGATTGTCTCGATCAAGAGGCCTGTTAAGGGGTAGCATTTGCGGATTTGTTTGGGGGCTGTTAAAGACTCGATGCTTTCGGCTCTGCAGATCTGGTGTCGAGCCTGGAGCTTGGTCAGGATTGATAATTCGGAATCTAAGCCTCCCCGAAAACTGAGTAACGACAGGAGAGAGAGAGAGACTGAGCGGGATGCATCTTTTGTGATGGCTGTTAAGGCAAAGCGATATGGGCGCAACCAGCTGAGGCACGTTCACATTTTGAGAATGCCTCTGATCAAGAAGTTGCTGAATCGCTGAACACGCTCTCAGCCCTTCTGTTTCTGTTGGATTGAAAAAAGCTGACGCGAGATTTTGTGAACAGATTAGGATTTCTCGTCCTGGGCCCTTCTTGAATTCGAAGGCTCGGAAGTGACTGGTCTGCAGAGCCAGCCGAAATCATTCGTAAAGCAAGCCGTTGTTGGCCCAATTAGTCTCTTCTCTGCAATGCAACCAGAAGAGGCCCGCCTGCGCCCACCGCCCCCTGATTTGTTAATCCAACCCCTATCTTGCAGCAAAGGATTTTTTTAGGCTCAGACCCAGCGCCAGAACAAGTCGCTTCTGTTCAAGGGGGGAAGAGTATTCAAGCGGCCCACGACGTGCACCACGTTCGTTACTGCATGTTGAATCTCCAAACACATCTAAGTGTCCTGGAAGCGCAGGCGCTGCTCGCTCAGCTGCCCTCGGAGATCTTCATTGCTGCGCACCTCCAAGGCCAAGTGTGTTCGACAGATATCCATGGCGCAAGCAAGCTGGCGTTGGGGACAAGATCTGACTAAGGCATCTGCTGCCGCCGCAAGGGCATCATCAGACTCGCGCATTTGCCGCTGGAGTTCAGCGGCTACCTCGTGTGGTTTCGTGGCAAAGCTACAAGGTGTGCGAGACCCGAATTGCATGCGTCGCACCCGCGGCAAAACAAATACACCAAACATTGCTACAGTAGCGACAGGAATCGGACGCTCAAACCGTTTTAAGCTGCAAGGTGCAGGCGCCAAAGAACATAAGTATGCCAAGTATTTGCTGCTCGTTGCCACGGAACCAGAAGAATCCTGGAAGAATCCCCAAGCAACCCCAAGCGGTCTGCCTGATCCAAACTTTGGGTCTCGCTGACCTGCAGATTGCTTTCAGAAATTGTGGACAGCAGCAAGTGCAGGACAATAACTCCAGAACGTTCCATAACCTAATCCCCCTAATACCCCCAACATGAGCCCAGAATCGCTGTCTGGATCCCACCCACAATATGCACGCTGCACGCCGCTGTGCCTTCGAGGTGTGGGCTGTCTCGGAGACAGCAACTTGGCGATGCAGCTGATCCAAACTCACCTCTTCACGAAGTTCACGATTCAGGGCCAGCCCAGGCTGAGTCTTTTGGGGCATCTGAACTGGGAGGTACCTAATACATTGTACATCTGAATAACGTCTCGGTGCAGTGGGAAGCCAAGTATGGCCTGCTTTGCATCCAATTGCTTCTCCTGCTCGCTGCAGTGCGACTCTAACCTCGTTCGCTCCTGGACAAGAGGCCAAACACTTGAAAAGGGCGAGAAGTTGACATGATTTTGACGGGTGCTACGGTGCGCTCACCACGGCCACATTCGCCTCGATCCACGCCTGCCGCTCATCCAGCTGCCGCTTTTCATGGGCCTGGCACCCGCAACCCACAACGGCAAGAACAGCAGCGACGCTGAATCGACGGCAATGGCCTTTTGCGACCCTCTTCAAAGCTGGCGCGCACACATCCCGATTCTTACAACAGCAGGGGTGATCCAGAAAAGGCCAGTCCCACCTGAAGGCGCGATTCGAGCTGTGAACACTCCCTGCCGGCACACTGCACTAGCGGCTGGGCATAGCACAAAGCAACAGCGAATTGATTACCGAACTACTGCCAGCTTCCCACAGCTGTCGCAGCTACATCCGCTTCGCTCCTGCTCAGTCGGGCTTGCAGATCCTCCTTGTCGGTCTGCATCTCCCTGGGCCCCGCAGCGTGTTGAAAGAAAAGAGTACCAAGATGTTTTCAAATCTTAGCATATGTTATCAAATTCCTGATGATGCTCAAATTTTGCACTCATGATCTTCGGCAAACTGTACTCATACCAAGCGGACCCAAGCGCCGAGCCCGTACTTCCGGCCCCAGTCCAAGTTGTCCTCCATGCGAAAGTCACGGGCATGTCGTAACATGTCGCAACATACTAATGACTGCTAGGGTCATCTCGACAGAGGGAGGGCGGGGGGAGAAGGAGTGTGCTGGTTTCGACTTGCGACCGGTCCTGATGTCTCTGCTCACGCTCGCTTTTGAGCTTGCTACGGAGTTCACCTGTTCCAGGGGCGAGAATCCAATCGCGCCACACTGCCGGATGCATCTCACAGTGCTACCCAAAAGGAAGCCGTTCGTAGTCTGTTGCAGGAAGCCTCACTTTTCTCACGACGCAGATTCTCAACTTTCCCCGGGCAACTTTTGTAGCTGCGCAGTGCAGTGCAAGGTTCTCACCAACCTTCCTTACAACGAGACAGCAAGCAGCACAGCAAGACAACTGACCGCAAGCCATACGCCAACAAGAGACTCATCAGAAAAATCGTGCTCTGCTGGGCTCGTAGTGTGACGAGTCAGGTTGTTAGGTATTGTTTGGTGCCTATGACAACCTTAAGCCATGTCTAGTCCCACATGTCCATATTCGTCCGACATGTCCAGTGCTGGAGAGAAGCAAACTGTTTTCGTTTCGCCAAGGTCTCTTGGATCGCTTCGGCAACGTCTTTGTCCCCATGAGCAACATGCTGGATGCGTTTGACGTCGTTGGGATTGATCCTGAACGGGGCAGAGTCTGCAATAATTCCCAGCAACAGCTGAAGGCATTATCTGCATTGTCTCATTTGACATGAGCGGACTAAAGGACAGAACGGGTCAAGCAAGCCACAACACCGGCATCGGAAGAGGTAGACTCAGCAAATCCTTTGTGCTGAGGAGTGGAACCTGTTCAGCTTTGCGGTACTCGGTCTGCCGATGCTGCATCCCGAGACGACCATGGTCAATTACGCAGGTGACAGCGAGCAATTGCAGCTATGTGGCCATGGCGAAAATGCAGTCGCGGTATCCTGCAATTGATTAGATACTTGCTCAGATTTGGGAAAACACGTGTGTCGGTATGTTACATTGTCACGAGCACGGGCCCCGCAAGTTGAAACGCTGAACATGACAATTGGAATGCAGCCAATGCCAAAGTCATGCAAAATGGCAAGTGTATCCGTGGCCGGCAGAGCCTGCATCTATTGCACGATCCAGCGCCGTATCGCCACTGTCGTCTCTATGCCCGCCTCCGAGAACAAAATGCGTTCTCTTCTACGCCGAACCGTCAGAATCAAGATACCAAAGCTGCAGGATATTGGTTTCGCTTATCTTTGTTTGGTGCGGTACTTGGTACATGATTGCCTTGTGTGAAGTCTCGTCGAGAGAGGATTGCCGCACAAACCTGATGGCATCTGAGTGCACATCTCAAGTCCATGTCTATGTCTAGCCGACGATGCAAACAACAAAACGACTACAAGAAGCGGAGCCTCTCTCCGTAGGGAAGCTGTTTTGCTTACAGTTGCAAGGCGATGGGAAAAGGCAAAAGGATTCTGAATGCACAACAATAGGTTTGCGCACCGACTGGCAGAGGCCTAAGAAACAGGGCCGACATCGGGCATCGGGAATCGGGACCTTGGCTCGGCCTTCAGTCTATTTAAGTACGCATGGCCCTGACATCTTCTCCCACATTTTTTGTTTGCTTGCGTTGCTTGCAGCGGCCCTTGGATGCCTTGGACTATGCAACACTGTGCAACCCCAGCAGCATCTGGCATGGAGGAATGCACCGCCCAGTGCAGCACGCTCCAGTTCCTGTCTGCTTTGATTTGCATCTATATCCGTTCACATTTCAAGCATAAAAATAAATAAACCTTCTTGTTTGCTTGATGGCATCTTGCCCTCAAAAGCTCAGACTCTATTTCGCGGTCCTGCGCCCGTCGATCAAGTTGACATGCTCGAACGCTGGGCAAGCTGCGATGCTGAGGCAGGCTGCACCGAGTCTCATGGCTGCTGCCATATGCAGAACGCCTGGGCAGGGAGATGGATACCAGTCCCTCACTCACAGAATCTCACAGATGATTAATTTCGACAGGAAGCTCTGCTGTGATGCCTCGGTCGATTCCCATCGTCTCCCTTCAGCAACTCTGTGAAAAAAAAAACCAACAGATGCCCAAAGATGTCCTCATGCCATGCCGAGACTCTGCATCCACATAGTTTATGAGCCTCCCCATTTCAGGAAGCTGCAGGAGGGCCAGGCACGTCCCTCCTTCGCATGTAAATGAAACTGAAAGCTCCGACACATCTCTGACTCCTGAGGCGTGTATCAACAGCAGCACAAGCAAAATTAAGGGCACCATGCTTTGAACAACTTTGGCCGAAAGTAGGAATGCTGACGGCTGATTCAATTCAATTCAATTCTTCCAGCACACGCACCCACCTCTGATTTCTGATATCAACCGACCACGGCAGATGGACAACAAACTTCCAGTTAGGGCGCTGCTGATGAACGCTGTCCTCTGCCTGCTTTGGCCTCAGGGCAAAACTCGACTCACAAGAACCGAATGCCAACACTCCTTAAGCACTCCTTAAGCACTCCTTAAGCACTCCAAGGACTCCAATGTTTGGATTCGAGAGGAGAGGGGATGTCTTAACTGCTACAAGTTGTGCTCGCGCGGAGCACTCCGGCTTCGTAGCATCACGGGTGTATTGTGCAGACTCACATTCGCAGAGCTCAGGGGCTTTGAGCCCTGGGATGCCGGTGCTCGAGAAGTCTGTGCACATGTTGGACTTAACGCAGTTGCCGGAGCCAGCAGCCCCCAAATGGAAACGTCAGCCCTGCAGGCCCTTCAGCGGTAGAAACATAAACCCTCATGCACAAACCAAAAGTTGAGCAGCCAAGCAAGGATGACGTACGGAAGCAACCGTGTTGGCGCTATGCTGCCTAAGAAATAACGAAAGCAGATGAAAGCAGAGTAAGCCATAAGCTGTGCTCTGGGCACACTGCTAGATGACACGTACAACTTGTGGTTCTTTGCGCTCTCAAGCTTCTTCACGTGTCGAGACTTGCGCTCTGCGGATTCGGACCTGTAACCCGAGGCTTCCTTAGAGTGAACGTATAGCCTGCGCCCTTAGAACATCCTTGAACTCCCACCATTTCCCACCTCTTCATAGAGCGCCTCGGGGTGTGGTTCCTGCTTCAGCAGAGTGAGATCGAGCTCCACCGCTCCCTGAGAAGGACGGTGACAAGCCGCGACAAGCCAATGCACGGACATCCATGCAGAAAGACTTAGTGCTAGGGCTTAGGGCTTTCGAGTGTCGAGCGTGCCTCATACCCTCAGGAATACTGCAATAAATTGCAATACCCACGATATACAAATGCATTAAGCGGAGAGTCGCCAAAGCACCAGGATGCACAAGGCAAACAAGGCGCGGGGCCTCAGGGAGCAGCCCGGCCAAGCTGCGAAAGTCTTGGTTCACATCCTGGGGTTCAGGGGGCTTTTCTCCTTCCATACGTCCTTGTCTTGTTCCCCTGAATTCTGCTTTTAAATATGCCGAAAGATGGAAGCCTTCCAAGCTGAGCAGGTTGTGCGTCTTTGAGACTCAAAGACTTGCTTGAGACGACAAACGTCGAGCAACTGAACGAATGTCCTCCAAGTCTTCATGCTTCAGCAGGAGACGCTGTGTGCATCTCGGGCGGTGCAGAGCCGCCTCCACCAGCTCCTCCAAAGTGGCACAACCAAAGGTTCTGCTGAGATGCAGAGAGCTTCACCGGAGGATGCAGAAAGTGCGAACGGAACGGAACGGAACGGAGGGGACCTTCAGTGTCATCACCGTCCAGCAACGATCTGCACGCGGAAGGGTGAGCCTTGAAGACAGCCGACAACCCATGTGTCTACCATTCATATTATTTCAAGTGTTTTTATCATTCTCCAAGCTGCAGTGTTTCGCCAGACATCGACAAGATTCTCACACGTACTGTACGTCCTGGCACCTGCAGAAGGCTGATGCTCATTGAATGCGGGGCCCTGTTCTGACATCCATGAGCTCCATATGCTTGAATGCCCTTGGCCTGGACCGATGAAGCTTCACTGCAACGCTGCTTCTTGTGAGATGGTGACTTGTCCTCTTCGGCACGGCTCATCCCAGAGGCATCGACGTTGGAAAGCAATTCCGCGCTGCTCGTCGTGCTGTCTGGAGTCTCAACGACGCAATCTCGCAGCAGCTTTTTCGAGGTTGTTTTGGAAGAATGCTCCGAGATCGGGCTTTGCATGCCTTGCTTAGAGTGGACTTGACCATAGGGCAATAGGACATCTTTGTCCGTTTCTCTCGTGTCGATCATGGGTTGTCGCAAACGCATCCTGTCAAGCCAAGAATGGAGCTTCGGAGTTCGGAATTGAGTCGGAATGTGTCACCTGTGCAAGTTCATCTTGCTGTTCAGGACATCGATTTATGTGCTCTGCATGCAGGGCTTCTGTGAAAACCGCTTTTCGATGATGTGTACCAGTCTACCAAGCTAACCACCCCTTGCGGCTCATGCCTATTCCTCGCTCCAATGCCACCTTCTGCTCCCGCTTCTTTTCGAAAGGTTGCAACAACCTGACGCCAAGAAGCACAGCGAGAGTGAACAGCGAGCGTGACACTGAGTGACACCAAGCTCAATTCCCATGGCATTTATCCTGCAAAATCCCACAGGGCTTTCTAGCTTTGCTGCACCAACTTTCCTACTTGTGAAGGCACTCAAGCCGGACGACTCAGGTGCAAGCTGCATGGGCACATCCTGACATTGGAAAAATCTTCTTTCGAATGGGGGGCAAGGCGGGCAAGCAAACACGCTCCCACTACGCGATTCTCACTTCTCCTTCTGAAGGCAGCGCAAGATAAAATACATGAACATCATGAACAATGAACAGCTTAGACTGCATCGGGGTTGCTAAACGTTGGTACGAAGCGGGAAACGTGCGCTTTTTTACGAGACATCCCAGCGACAGAGGAATCATACTGACCTTTCTTCTGAGGTTCGCGTTACCGCGTCCGAAGGTTTCTGCTACTGTTTCCAAGAGATGCTCCGACTAAGTCACACTATGCTCCTGGCCTTCTGCCAAACTTGCCACCAGGCACTGACTTCTCGAAACAACCTCGAGCATCATTGCTGGATGTGGCATTTTGTGAACCAGTGCAGGCTCTACCATGTCCATGCTTCGAAATGAACATGCAAGGGTCCTCCACAACCCCCATACCATGAGCTAATCATGATGCGCAGCACCAGGCATAAGCTTTAATTTTTGCACAAGTGCAGTATCCCCTCATACCAGCCAGCATGGTGGTCAAGGATTTGCTTCAAGAAAAGCAACCGATCGATCGCTCTTAGACTCTTGGTGACCAGTGCTGCCAAAGAAGCTCCGCGACAGCCTGCTGCCTGTCCTGGCCATATAATTAGCGCAACCAGACTGCTTAACCCGAACCAGGTACCAAAGAAGTATGAGCAAGCAACAATTCCACAAGACACATCACAGCTCTTCTTGGCTCATGCCAGTTGCGACATTCATTTGTTTGCTGCAAAATGTCCCCGATCTTGACCCCAAAAGCAAAACAACTACAACAGCCTGATGGTCCTCCCTGCACGTTTTGGATTTTGGGAGCGACCTGCCCCCCCCCCCCCCCCCCCCCCCCCCAACCAGCACCGTCCAGCACCTAAACCCACCCATCTCGTCACATCTAACAATGTAGCCAACAAAAACTTGAGTCACTCCTATGCTGAGTGCAACGGTAACTCCCCAGGACACCTGCAGATCCTTGCCGAGCTGGCCGACCCCACTTCGCAGCTTCACTGAGCCGTATTCCAGCTTCCTGGGCGATGGTCAGATGTTCGAAAATTGGCGATATGAGCTCATATGAAGATCTTCACCTTCATACGACTTGCAATGCCTTCGTGAAGGCTCAGGAACGAACTGCAGCTTGTCACTCAGGTGTCTCTGCACCTTCCATTTTGCACACTCCAGAATGCTGCACCACGCCCTCCCCAAACTCGTCCGTGTGCCTGCCACTGGCGCTCGGCGCTGGCATCTCGGAGGGACACAACCTGCAATAGCGAACGAAAGATCGGCAACAGGAAAGAGATTGAGAGAGAGGGAGGGGCACCGATGCAAGACTTGAACTTCAACCTTTGCTTTTTTAAGCTTCTCAACCTGAAAAAAGGCAGAGCCACGTGGCAAAGCATGGCCGTGGCCTGCTGTTGCAAGTTCTGTCGCGCAGCCTCGCGCTGTGCCTCATGCCTTTCGAGTTATGGGATGCGGTCTACAAACTGTTCAACTTGTCTTCAAGTTTCTCAAGATGTCACCGCGCGGCACTTGATTCTTTGAGAATGCAAAGCTGCTGCAAGATCTGCAAGCTGTTCAAACTTCAACAACTTCAACAACTTCAACAACTTCACAGCTCTCACTGGCCATCTGTGCCTCCTCGCAGCCGCCTCCAGGCGCTCCTCCGCAGCGAAGTCGCAGCCACAGCTCACAAGGCTGTCGCATGACAACCATACGTATTAATATCAATGAACGTGCTCCACAATTGTGTTGGCCAACGATGCCTGCTGAGACTTCAGTGCACTTCAAGCCGGCATCCTCGTCGGCAACTCGTTGCTGCATCATCTGCGCAATCTCTGCAGACTGCGAACCTCAGACTGGCTCTGAGCGAGTCCTGCTCAGCCCTTGATTCATGATAAACGCTTGAAGCACGTTTAGCTGAGCTCATGACGGATCTGTTCCAGCAAGCGCTTGTTCGCTGCCTTGTCGAGATCTCTGCGGTTCGGCCGGTTCGGAAACACGAAACACACAGCATGGCGAGCACTTATTGTGTCCAGCCTTGACTCCACCCATGGACTCAACCAGCTTTTCATTGGATTCCGCTTGCTGGACCTGCAGACTGACAAACAGTCCGGAAAATTGCCATGTCGGGTACAGAATCTAACGTGTTCCTGAGCGGCCGTTCATTTCTCAACAGCTTCTAAACTTCTAAACACTTATGGCTGAAAACGACCTCAGACAGGTTGTTTGCTTAGAAATCTCAGAAACACGGGCCCAAGACAACTGACATGCAGCTCCAACGTGCAGGCACCCCTGTTGCAGACGACCAATACTCTATTCCGCTGCTTCCCGACACTGACAGAAAGCCTGCACCGTCTCAGTTCTACAAATCTGTGCCACCGCCGCTTAGCACAATGAAGCAACCGCTCTGATCAATCGAGTGAATGCTGTGATGATCATTCAAGGGCGCACCATCTCACGATTCAGACTGTCGCACTGCCGCTGGGTCTCCTTCAGAGACTGCGTGAGCACCTCATGCGCGCTGCGTATCTTGCGGCACCGGCGTCAGGGTTCTAAAGGACATTTTGCAGGTGCTGTGGCAGCAAGCTTCTAGACACTGGCAAAGGAACTGCCAGGCCAAGGCACCGCGTGGTTGCTTCTGGTGGATGAGGGCTGAAGGGCTCCACCCTGCCAGCGTTAAGCAGGAGACATGGGTTGGAGTAAGACTACGGCGACCGATGATCTCACGAGCCCACTGTCACTCCTTCACTACAAACCACTACAATTGGCCGCACCTGCGAGATGTCTGCCAAGTCAATTGTAGATGCCTCTGGGCCGGCAGTGTTGCATCATGGTCACCCATCCAACATCATGACTGCAACTCTGCAAGAACCAGGAAAGCAGCTTACGAACTTGTGAACACGTGTGCCACTTTTCAGACAGGCGCTTTCACGGTTGAGAATGAATATCAAGCAGCAAAAGCCTCCCTTTTGCCCTTTTCAAGCCTCGGCTTCCAGGTCTCGAACCACCTCTTTGGCGCGGCTGATTGCAGCCACCTCCCCTGGCGACATGTCGCATCCCGGCACATCTGGGGCACACAACTTGAGGCTATTGACAACTTGAAGCTATTGACAGCATCATGTCTGCATCATAACAAGATCGTGACACGCTGAGCATTCCAGGAATCTGCGAGCTTTGCCGATGGGCACACAGTGTGAACCCAACAATGACATGCGCAAGGCAGCAAACAGCATCATGCAATCTGCATCCGAAAATGCAAGTGGCGAAACAACGATGTCGCCCATGTGGACGGATTTTCGATGTCGCCATACTCCACTTGAGCTTCATGATTGCTTCACAATGGCTTGGAAAGCTAGAGATACACAAAGCCGAACACAAACCTCAAATATGTGTGCTGCCATGCGCTTTTTTGTGGGGCTGCGTATCAAGTGGTCTTTCTGCATGCTTATTCACCCTTTTGCGCCTGGCAGAGTCGAGTCAATCCTCGTTTTCATAAAAAGAAGGACATGCAGCAGCTTCCCTGCAACCTCAAATTGAAAACAAATGAACACGAAACAGCTGTGGAGCTTTGATTGCCTCCACTGGAAGGTCGCGCAAGCAGCATCACAAGGCGCTGGCAGTGAACCTCAACCTTAAGGCATTATGGCCAAAAAACTTGTCAACTTTTAAGGGCACCGTCTAGCTGGATTAGGGCTTCACCCCGTGCAGATCTGCACGTGCATTGCGCTCAGGCATCTCTGAAAAGAAAAAAGCTCCAAGGGCCATCACCGTGGTGCGGAGGCGCTGGAGAGCGGCTCTTGCCGCATCCCGCTCTGCATCCTCCTGCTGCAAGCAGGTTTCGAAGGGCTTGAAGCTCACATCAGTGTGAAAGACTCTTTGCCCTTCCAGCTAGAGCCAACAACTCAAGAACGTGTTTCTCTTACATACGCAACAGCTTCGCCCAGCAATGCCTGCGTGAGCCATCTCTGTAGCTGGTAACTTGCCTCGCGCGCACCATCTTTAAGCAACGAGATATAGTGGTGAAAGCTTCAGCTTTGTGTTTAGGTATCCTTGGTACTGTAATGACAATTTGAGTGCGCTCGCCCCAACATCGTGATTCTGAAACCTGAAGAGTTGGCACACGAATATGCATCAAAGAGTCATTCGACCCGGCTTCCAATTAGGGGTTGGAGCCTCGCAATAAGGATTGCGAAAGTCTGTAGATCTTGATGCTGGGCAGCATGGTAAGCTGCTTGATTGTACTCGCCTTCAATTCCTAGCAAGAGCCCTCTTGCCCTCGGATGCTGAAAGGATCCCCAACATGGCTTCGAGCGATACCACGAACTCCCTCCCAAAGCTCAAGGCCTCCTCTGATTGGGCCTGGCTCAAGATGAGAGAAGAGAAGCATTAAGTCATTAAGAGCCATGTGTGCACACCCTCGGTGTCTCCAACTTTGGGAGTCGACAAAATGGCTTCGCCTGGCCAAGGCTTGTGGAGCTTCTCCCGGCCATCACAGCCTGTGCTGCACATTGACCTTCCATACCACGACACTCTTAAGAAATCTTCGGTGCCTCGTCTGTCTGGACATTCACAAGGTGCACAGGCCCATGGCAAGTTATGACACGCGATGCCAGCACCAAGAAAAACCACTTGACAGCACCTGCACCTGCAAGCACATGCTGCTTGAGGCTTTGGGCTTGCCTGCTTACCTGCTTGGGGCGTGCAAAGAATGTGCAAAGACCTGCATGCCTAAGGTGGGGCTTCGTGGGGCCTTGCAAGCTCTAGCCGAGTGTGTTCTTGTCAGCTAACTTTGAGCCTAAAGTCCCGCCCGAAGGTTGAGCTGCCACTCATGCGGAAGTGGAGAGGAAATTGCACAAACGCGAAGCCTGAAGCTACCAGTCCTTATTTGTGGTGCGCACATGCTGCGAAAGCCTTGTCGGCATTGTCTCAAAACGGAAGCACATGCAGGCGTACAGTTTCGTAACTTCACTTGCAATGGCAGTGTGCTCTTGGACCATGGAAACCGTTCGCCTTCAAATCTACACGCCCCCTGCTAGAGCTAACGGCGGCTAACGCTTGCATCCCCCCACCTGGCTTCGGGAATCTTCCCGGCACAAGCGGGCGATGCCACAAAAAGTTGAGACGAGTATTTGGGTCTTACAAGATGTGAACCTATGAAGCCTGCAAAAGACCCCGAGGTGTAACCAAAAGCTGCACGTGTCTTCCCGAACAGTGCTTGTATGCTACAGAACGTCCTGCTTCTTCTGTGCTGCACTGCCCTATGTCTGAGCCTATCTTTGCTGTGCGAAAGCTGTTTACAAACAGCGTCGATGTCAAGGTCTCGCAATGCGCGAACCTGCAAGCTTCTAAACAAACCCAAAAACTAAAGCTGAAACACCATCACTTCTCACAATGACTCCAAAGCAGCTGGCCTCGAGGTGGCTTACTCCTCTCCTGCATCGTCGACGGATTGGTGAAAACAGTCAGCAGGTTGAAGAAGCGGCCAGCTTGGGTTAGATTTATCAAAGCAAGTTCGTTGAAAATGTGGATCCCTTGAGAAACTGAAAACAGCTCAGCGGAACTTCGCAGAACTTTGCAGCATTTTGCAGCGTGCTGCATTGGGCCTCGGCCGAGCCCCCTTGTACCGGCAAAGCCAGCAAAGGCTGAGCGGCCAGGTCGCGCCCTTGGATGCATTGGATCCCATCAAATATGCCGCTATGCCTATTTGAACCTTTGCCCATTGGAAATTTGCCTTGCATCCCAAGGCTGGAACTTTGGGTCACCGCCTGCCGCACCTGCCTTGCAACTGCATGATGTGATACTGTGTGGCAGGGAAGCACAATGAAGGCCGTGCTGAGTTGGCGGCACCGCCGAAGCCACCAGCCTGCACGCCAGGTCTACCAGCTGCAGGCACGCCTTGGCTTGCGCCAAAGCCGCCGGCTGGCACACCGGACTTGCCAAATCCACCGGCAGGCACGCCCCGGGTGCCATGGTTGCTCCCATACCCAGACGCGCCATAGCGCGAGCCAGCGTTTTCAGTGTACCCGGAGGATCGCCCTCCATAACCACCAGTGCTTCTGCTGCCAGTGCTAGCGCTCGATCCCGTGCGGCCTGCAAGGCCATTCCCAATCGCATCAGTCGCGCTGTAGCTGCTGTAGCTTGATGAATTGCTGGTGTTGTGGGCACCGCTTGGGGTCTTCGCCCTGTCCATGGCGCCACCTTGGCCCTTGCTGAAAGCACCCCGAAGTCCTTCGGAGAAGCCTTTAGCCGTCTTTTCGCTCGCGGCTGCACTTCTCGACGGTGCTTGTGCTTGGCTGACCTGTGTGGATTCGCTGTTGCCAAAGCCACCAGCCGGGACTCCACGAAAGCCGCCAGATGGAACTCCTCGGTTTGAACTGGCATGGAGACTGTTGCCGGCTGCTGCTATAGACAATTGCTACTGTGGATGGAGGAAATCTTGCACCACTTTGAAGCTGCAGAAGTAGCTATGCCCCTCACCCCCCTTTTAACATTGGTTCCAAAAAGTGGGTTGAGCAGATTTGGCCCAATGACAGAAATCTTGCACCACCTGCAGGATGCCAGTGCTCAATGTTAAAAAGGGGGTGCGGGGCGGCGACCTTTGGCCGTTGTAGATGAGAGTTGGTAGGCGGTGCAAGATTTCCTCCATCCACCGTAGTTGTAGGCAAAAAAACGGAGATGGACGAAAAGGATACCATGTGAGGGCCCTGGCTGCGCAAAGGCTCCAGTGCAAGAAACTGAGTTTCCGGCCGTCTTGCTGCAGACGTGACGCTTGCCTCCTAAGTATGTGGCCACGGCGCTGCCCAGTTTTGCACAAACCGAGAACATCCGAGCATCCCTGCGAATGAAACCTTCCGCGAAGGCTATCACTGTCATAGTTTCCCGTGCCAAGGCACTCTGGAAGTAGCGAGTTGTACCCACCTCCAGCCTCAGGCAAGCGCCGTAGAACAGAGCATGACACAAACTGACGGAAAGAAATCAGCGCTGTTATGTATGTTTGCTCATGAGCACCGTGCTCCTTGGGCTGCGTTTGCTCGGCCCATGGGCTGGCTTGGCCGCCTGTGTTGCGCAAAACACGAGTTCTTGTCCTAAACACAGATAGCGTCAGCTCGCAGCCTGTCTCGTTCCATTTCCTGCTTCATCTCCCTCATGATCTGTGCAGGTGCGCAAATGAGATAAGAAGCCCATTGCTACGAAAGTCTTGTTTATGTTTGCCGAAGCAGAACTATTCGCACTCATCACAGCTCTAACAAATGCAACGCGCCTGATCACAAACCTCGATGTTCTCATGCATGCGGGCCTTCTCAAAGATTGCCCGTGCTTCCTGGAGGAGGAAATTCACGAGAATCGAGCTCGTACAAGGAACTGACCAGTTGCTCAGGGCGGGACCAAGTTCGCCCTCTCCGCTTCGTCCCAATTCCGGCAAAGGAAATGGCCCTGAAATTGCGTTTGAGGAAGAATTTGCAAGCCCTCATTGGGAAGAGAAAACAATTTCTGCACATCTCGAAGGCCTGACAAAGTGAGACCAACGCACTGCCAAGGTTTTCTTTCTGTTCGGAAGCCTGTGCCAAGTCCTCGAACAATCTTCCGTCTCAGAGGGGGGCAACGGTGTAACACCAGCGACTACGGCAGCAGCAACTATCAAAGGTGGTCCATGTACTCTCTCGCATAGCGCAGCGAGTTCGGCCCGTCTTGGCCTCATCGTGCAATAGGGGAAGGAGCACGTGGCAGCAATCTACGTAACAACTCAAAGCTGCTTCTGAGTTTTTTGAAAATAGCTCGGCAATCGACTGAGAAGATGCGCATGGAAAATGCGCTGGATGCCGTTGATCTGGCAAAACGAGCAAACATGGCAACATGTGTAGAGTGTATCCCTGCCGTCAGAGCTGAAGCCAACCTAAGCCAACCTCAAAACACATTGGATTAGGCCCCCAATCCAGGGTGCGCCTCACCATTTCGGTCGCCGAGTTTGCGATGCAGCTCGAGAGCTTCTTCGGCAGCCTGCGCGCAAAACGAGTATGTGGCCTTGAATTTTGGGGCCGCCCTGCCCCCCCCCCCCCCCCTTCCAACGAAACGGAATACACCAAACTACCAAACTCAATTAACTCAATTTGCTCAGAATGACAGCCATGACATGCCTTCAAGGCTTCCTTTAACCCGCGCGGTCGGATGCGCGCTCCAGGATTGTTCACCTGACGTTTTGTTGAGCACTGCCATGCTGGGAACTGTTCAACTACCACTCCATGCGCTCGATGTGTCTCTTGCCAACTCTCAGGGAGCGGCATCATAGTGAGCAACTTGCAACTGAACATTTGACATGCCTCAGACTGCTGCTGGATGCTGCGGGGCCAGCGTTATGTGACCAGACAGCACTAGACAGAAAGGCGAGGATGGGACAAGCCAGCGCGGCTGCACGAGCAGCATCTTCCTTCACAGGTGCCTTCAAGTCTTCATGTTTGTGGCACATGGGGGCACACTGCCATTGTGTGTGACCGCTTCCACCTTTTCGACCATCTGCAAAGCTTCCTTGGCAGCATCGATGCCTTCCGTGAACCTTTGCAAGTGGAGCGACATTTTTGCTGTCGCATTGCGCATTTGCAGTGTGACCAATGCGTTCCCTTAGGGGCCCCGAAGCCTGTCAGCAGACGAATAGGCCTCACCCACTGCCTGGCTCTGCAAACAAAATCGACCACATGCATGCCAGAATCGGATGAAACATAGAAGAGCCCTGCGGAATACCTTAAAATCACGCTTGAAAAGAATCATAACCCTGCGAGGTCCTGCAGCGCCGTGATGAGCACTTTTTCATCCCCGGACCTCCGGGCCAGTTCCTGCGCTTTAATGTCCAATCAAGCTTGATGTCAATCATACCTCGCGCTCCATTACCAAACCTAGCTGCGCCAAATATTGCAGTCACCCCATTAATTAGAGTCTCCGATCGTGCTGTCAACTGCCTCTACTCGGAAGCCTCAAGCTTAAACGTGACACAGGTCGCCTCGGCTTGCTTAGCCGTCTGCATGGCATTAGTGTGGGCTTTCAGCCCCAAGTGCCTGCAGGCATTGGCTGACACAACAATCAAGCAGCAGGAGCGGCAGCAAAGGCTGCTGCCGAGCAGGTTTTGTGCTGGGTACAGCTGGGTACATGGTAGCTCTGGCTCTTGTTTGGCAGGCCAAGCATCCACATCATTAATGATCTAGCTCAGCTTGACCAGCCAAGCATTGGCGGTCAATCGCTGCCACACAATCAAAAAGGATGCCAGATGTTCAGCACCCCTGGTCCTCAATGCAAACGAACCCTAAGCGCTAAGCTGAGGTCGTAGCATTTGTGCAACTTGCGACAGAGCACGCGCTTCTCCGGCGGGATCCCCCGCAGTCTCGGCAGCACCGTGGTGACACAAGCTTGGGCAGAATGCTCAGAAAGCGGACTCGAACCGTTCTGAGAAGATTTGCTGTTCTCGGGGGCTGGCACGGAACATCGTGGCCTGGAAACATGGGGGGGGGGGGGGGGGGGGGGGGGGGGGGGGGGCGGGAGGAATTCTTGGAATCTGGAAGGAAGTGAGCAGGCCAACTGCGTAGAAAAATGCAGAGTAGATCGAGACATCCGAATGGGCTCCGGACGGCATCTTTCGCCAGCCGCAGGGCATCCCGTGGTCCCATCGTCTGCTGCGTCCTTTTTCAGCACAAACAGAAACTCAGAGGATGGGAAAAAAATGAGATTTAAAAAATGATCTCTCCCTCTCCGCGCTCTCCGGGCAAGAGGGAGGGCTCCTTTTCTTAAAAGGCTTTTCTCTCGGAGTGAGTCCCCGATGTCTGCGCTGAGTCTGATCCATCCCCCAAGCGTTGTCTTGCTAATCTTGCGAATCCAGTTTGAGCTCCGCACATCTCGGCCAGGCCCAGGGTGGCCGATGCCTGCCATCGTTCAGCATTTCAGCCTCTTTGGGGCCTTGCGCCTCTTCTTGTGCTCTCTCACAGTCCGAACTTGCTGCCTCCTCTTCCTTGTAGCCCGCCTCCCTGAAAAGCTTGACCTGGTCGCGTGCCTTGGGGTCAGTCGCAGTCCAGTAGCCCTCTACGCCCAAATCGGAATCCTCTTGAAGCCTAGTGATGTCGAAGCTCTAAGCTCTAGAAATGTTGCAAAGCAACATTAGCAACTTATGCAATTTAATGCTAATGCTTATTAACATGTGGATCATGTAGCCTGTCCTGGCCACAAAATCCGCTGAGCAACAGGCTGCTTGGACAGCAGAATGAGGGTCCCCTGCCTACAGAGTGCAGAAAATGATCTCAATCATGTTTCTTGGGTTTGAGAGTGAACCTCTTCACCCTTAAGTCTTTCATGTGTTTATGGCGCATGAGCATGTTGTAGCATGTTGACTCTGCAGAAAGGAATGGAGACTCAAACTGGTCCACAATCAGATGGGCTTTGGAAACAGCCAACTGCCTTGCGAGGCGTTGCAAGCTGTGTTTTGCGTAGTACTGTTGCCTTCTGCCGTGCGCCAAGCTAGAAATGCTAGATTTGGACGGCTGCCTCGAGATGGAGGCTCGTCAACAGCTGCAGGACACCCACGCACCCCTGGCTGACATGGTGTACTGACAACGATCGAGCGCATTGGAATTAGAAATGGCCGTTCCATGTGTGCACGACTGCGCGGTGTTCGAGCACTCGCAAGACCACCCGCCTTCATGTCCCCCGCTTCCTTGAATAGACGCTGCGCCTCGGATCGCGCGAAAGTGCCTCACTTCTGTCCTCGTTGCTCCAGAATAGGCTCAATTAAAGCGCCTATCTTGACATGCAAACTCGAAAGCTCGGATGTTAGACCTTGACAAGTGACTAGAAGCACCCTGAAGGCAACACTCTCCAAGAAAAGGAAGCGGCCTCTTTGGCAGTACGTGAGGCCTCCATTGCGCGTCTTGCCTGCGGCAGGAAGCCCGGTCCGGGGAGGCGACTCATCTCGACTAACGGAGGAGAAGCTGATTGACCACCCAATCAGCAAGCGCCCAAAAACCTGAATAACAATTCTGATGACGACCATGGGAATTTGAAGCCGTCCCCAGCCCGTCAAATGAACTCTCAAGCCTCCAACTTGAGACCCGAAACACTGTGAAAATGCCCAAGGGGCGCTGGGATCACTTTGGCCAACGGAAGGCTGTTGCGAAGTCCAAACATATCGCCCCCACGCGCCCTGCAACCCACAGCACCGAAGCACAGCCTGGATGTTGCCGTTGGGCCGTTGGGCCGTTGGGCCGTTGGGCCGTTGGGCCGAAAGTGTGCGTGGCTAAGCCCACAGCTCCACCGACTCCCCACACCAGCACTACGCCATCATCACCCCTCTACCACAAGGGTCTCCCACCATACCCCAACGACACATCCAGCAAGCTGCTGCCACTCTCACCAACCAACGCCCTCAGCATATCCACCACCACCTGCCCCAGCACCACAACAATTGCCATGTCCCTGCCACGTCGGCAGCATCAGACTGAGATGAAGGTGCACGTATATGCAAGACATCATAACATCATAGTGCCACTATGACGATGCTAGTGATGATGGTGGTGATGGCGATGGCGATGACGACCATGTGCCGATAATGACGTTGCGAAGCGCAAGCCTGGGAACCGTTTTACATTGCCCTCCGCCGACCTCCCCCTCCTATGATGGTATCGCTTGGGTCAATTACATATGGCATTGATCTGGAACCACATCAACGGTCGCACTACTGCCCCTGAATCCCTGGACATGCTCTGCTGCAAATCCTAGCGAAATCATTGAGGCATTGAGGCATATTGAAGCCTCGGGTTGCCACGCACCCCGCGACATTTGACGCTCATGGTGTGATGCCTACTGGAACGGTGCCGCTCTGGGCTGCTACGGCAACCGCTCCAGCCTGGCACTGGATTTCGACCAGAAGCTGTGTGGCCTGTGCTTGATGCAGTGCACAGCCAGCTTGAGTTTTTCCCACAAGCTCAAACGACAGGCACGTACAACTGTCTTGCGAGCAGCAAAGTGGGCCGGCCTTCGCCTCCCCCTTCAAGTCACCCATCTGCAGAAAGTGAGCTGTGAGATGGAAGGTTTGGACAATAAACTCGGATTTCGAGAGCTCAGACCGGGGTTGACAAGAGTTGGAAAGCCAGGTGGGAACATGTTGCACCAGTAGTGTCGCTGAATCCTTTTATCAGCCCGGCCGGAAAAGCTGATCAGGAGGCGTTGGGAAGGGGATGCTCCTATGGGAATTTTTGATGCCCACGGCCGACATTCGGGTAGCTCTTCTATGTTCTGCTTGTTTTGCAAAGAAAAAACTCATTTGTCTTGAAGTTTCGGCGACGTCCCAACACATGGACAGGGCCTGGCGACTTGAGATGACTCGCTGCTGTGGCTACGGTTCGATGTTGCATATGGACTTCTGGATTGGGATTTTGTACGTGTTTGTCTTCCTGTAGTGTTCAAAGGGCTTCCTGGTAACCTGGTAATTTTCCTTGCTCGTGAACATGAACATTGTGGAGTTTCAAAAAAGACTCTGAAGACTTCTGGGATCTTCTGGGTCTTTTGCCCGATTGAGGCTGTTGGCTTGGCTCACCCCTTCGGGCTCAACACCATGCCGATCCGCATCCGATGGAAGACTCTTGCTTAAGTGTCCCCCTGCAATTGTAACAAGCCCGTCAAAATGCCGTGCCAGCCGCTTGCCAGCCTTGATGCTGAAAACGGAAGTTGCACGAACATTTGCAGAGCTTGGAGCTGCCCAATTTAGGGCAGAAAAACGGCAGAGTAACGCGGGCAGTGATTCGCTTGATTCGCTTGATTGTTGTACTGCTGAAGTGGCCCATGTTTGTTTTTTGTGGTGGCAATGTTGCAATGTTGGAACCCCAAGAAAGTTTACGCTGGAGCAGGCACCTCGAATTGCTGAGATTTATGAGGTGATCAAGCTCGACATGCTGCCAGTCGCTTTGGAGCTGTCGAACACCTCCAGATGCTCCAATTAGCGTGTGTTTGGAATCGCCGAAAGCCAAGGAATGCTGTGATCACGCGCTCTCACAACTGCAGCTGTTGTACTTCAGTGTGTACCGCCATCCCTTCCGTGTGCTCTGAGGGTGTTCATGAGTTTGCGCCGTTTCTCTGCAGTATTGCAGGTTGGCAAAAGGTTCAGTTGCCAACGGGAAAATGAGGGAGGACAGGCAGTTTTACACGCAAAGTTTTGTGCCGGCACTTGGCTTGCAGTCCGTGCTACAATACGACTCAACTCTGGCTTCCCGAGCAGAACTGCAGACTTGTAGATTGCAGACGCGGCCACTTGTGAATTTGATTGCATTTGATTGCGTGCCGCAACATCCCACCTCTCGCAACTTGTCAGCGGCTTCAGTGGCTCTCCGGAGGGCTTCCCGAGGCCGATCCTGGCTGGGGCACAACACTCCTCTCGGCCTCTCACAGTCTCCAGAAGAACACACTGTACCGCTGGACGGCTGCATGCCCGGACAAGAAAATGATTTGCAGTCGCCCTGCACCCGTCACACGCGCGGAAGAGTTCCTGCCTGCGCGATCATGGACTGTGCCATCTTCAGCTGTGCGTAGGCCTCAACCACCGAGTGCATGCCCCCAACCCATTCGGGATCCTTGCATGTTGTCTGGGCTTGCTGCCTCACGGCGTCGGTCTCCAACTTTCTTCGCCATCATCAACTCCTTTTCAACATCTCGCTTAGATCAGGGAGTGAGAAGCGGGCAGCTTGCGTACTGCTGCGGCTGCATTCAGCAAACGGCCTCCTCTGCAATGGAAGCTGCTTTGTCCTGGAAGCTGCCCAAGGAAACCCGACCCACAACGCTGACAGCTGGCATCCACTAAGCATATAAGTAATCCCCTGGACGCGTGCATCGAAAAGAGAGGGCTGTTGAGTCCTCCTCCCCATTTGCTTGCATCAAGGCCTCTCAATGTGCCGCAGACCACAGCCGCAAGGTTAGCAGAAGTGAGCCAAGACAAAAAAAAAAAAAAAGGCGGAAACAGCCTGAAGGGCAATGCCAATGGTCTCCACATCCCGGACCTCTCGCGCCAAAGTCAGAGCTTGCCGTCCAGCCTTGCAAGCAGCTTGACAGTGTGGACGGGCAAGGACTCTTGTCACAATCTATGCTGCCAGTATAATTAGTGCGGACATCGGGCCAAAAGTTTAGCTTGAGCGGTGGCTTCTTCCTCTGGGTGCAGGCATCACCTACATCCTTCACCTGCCAGGACCTGCCTTGACAGCATCCAGCTTCTGCCCCGCTGCGGAGTGGGCCTTGCTTGGCACACAGCTATGCAGGTAAGAAATGCGGAACAAAGCAAGAATGATAGGTGCATGGTCCCGGACCAAACAGGCACAGTACCAAGCGAGAGCCTGCGGCAAAGGATTGGGCTCTTTTTGCATCGGGATACCGACTATCTCTAGTCGTAGTAGGTGTGCCGGCTGCCTCGGTCTTGCTGTCGCAGGCTTCCTTCGCTAGTGCGACCGCGTTGAGCGCCGCCTTCCGAGTTGCCGCCTGGCTGCCGAGGCTGATGCATACTGGAATCTGTCAATCTTATGCAAAGCACAGTGAGCTTGCACCTGGGCCTTCGCGCCGTAGTAACCCTTCGCCTCTTCACCTCAGAAACTTTGCTCACTGAAGCGTCTCACAAATAAAGCAAACTTTGAAATCGCAAGCTTAACAAGCCACGCATGTGAAGAGCCTTCCTACGTCGGAAGACACAGGCTTAGCGGCTTTCTTGTAGGTGGAGCAGTTTGGAGCACATGAGTTTGCACATCCACCGCATCCACATTTCTTGGAGTCGAACAGGCAGCGAGCGCCGCTCCCTTGGGATCGCCCATGCGCTCGCGCAGCTTGGACGCCTGCGGCGGATTTGATGCCATATGTGCCATATGGGTTCAACACAAAAAAGCCTCCAAAGCACCCAACATCACCCAATCCAAGCCTCCTGTGCTGGCCGAACAGCTTGAGCACCCTGGCACACGACTGGATGCTTTCGCTCATTATCAGCCATGCATCTCGGCAGGTCGTTGGCCGAACTCCTCAGATTTACACCATTGAGCATGACTAATCCATGCCAGCATCTTGCCTCACTCGCGGCGTTGTGCGCCTGACCGGGATCAATGATATCTCGTTGGCAAGGAATCAAGGTGTCACAACATGTGTAAACCACCTACTGGCAGCGTCGTGGCTTGCAACCCGACTACAGCCTTCGCACAAGCCAGAAGAACTGCAGAAAGTTCTCGGGCCTCAGCCAGGTAAAGCACAAAAAAGTAGACACGCATGGACGGCGCAGTTGCGATCATGATCATGCAGCCAGAAAAGGGCAGCTCTTCTCCGCAGGCTCACGCAACAGACTGGTGAGACCGGACTTCTTCTCAATTCTTTCGGCTGCCGATCAGACTGTGCCTCTGCTCAGAAAAGCAGAAGAATCTGGAGCCTCGTAGCTTCCATACGAGACGGGTGTTGATTGGCGTTGGTATTTCAACATGCTCAGTCCTTCAAGCCGTTGAACACGACATCCCCAACAGAATCCAATCAAAAAACATGCTGTGGGCCACCATGGGCTTGATCCCAAGGCACTAAGCGGCTCTTTGCGCCAGCTTGTACCTGCAGCTGCAACTCAGCACATCCCACGCATCTGTTCTCACAAGCGAAGGAGGGCACGCTTGTCACGTTCCCCTGTGCAGCAACACCGCTCATGCAAGCTCTGCACGCCTGCGTGAGTTCTGCAAGTCCCGCGAATGCCAAATTTATTGGGCCTTTCTGCACATATTATGAGGGTTCTTGATTTGCGCGTTATTCCTGCCATTTTCCTTCTGGCTGTAGGAAATCTAAGCATTAGAGTGAATGCAAAATAGAAAATATTCGGAGGATAAAGAATCTGTGCAGTGCTTTTGGTTGAGCGCGTGATCTGTGAATTAGCGAAAGAAAAAACATAACAGGTAACCATGCAGAGAATACTAATAGTTCTTGCAGCCTTTTGTTTGCTGTTGTCTTTTTAATGTTAAGGGCCGCGATTATGACATTTTCATATCCTCGTAACTGCTAGAAACACACTCTTATATTAATATGAGTGAGCCTGCGAACGGGCCTTGCCCGGGGTTCATACTATGATTCTCGGGCCTTAAAGCGAATGCAAGCATGAAGGGCCCTTACACTTCTAGAGCTGATTCAACATAGGCCCCGCACCCAACAAGCAAAAATCCGATTATGTTCCAATTTACTGTAACATGCAGCTTTCAAGGAGGTGTCCAGTTCTCGAAAGGCTAAGGCTGAGCCGAGGCAGAACCAGCAAAACCACTTCGAATCTGGCTCACCAGCACATCCCCGACAGCATCACAATTAACCGTTGTTTACCATCTTTCCTGGCATGGACACAACCCTGCGCCTAGCTTGAACTCCTGCCGGAAGCTTTGTGTGATCCGTGATGGCAAACTCTGTGCGTGGTGAGAGGTCTTTTGCAAGCATGGAATGTTTCCTGCAGGTGGGATGCCTTCATTTCGGTGCGTACTTTGTTACAGCCCGACTTAGCCTGGGGCTCCCACCTTGCGCCGGGCCATGCGCTGCACCAAGCTGCTCCGGATTTCTTGGGGCCTCTCTGACTTCGCCACAACTCTGACTGATGCAATCTATGCTCCATGCTGTTCCGCTGCTTCTGACAGACCTGCAAGGTCGGGGCACGGGGAATGTCTGTGCCCGGGCCTAACCATCTGATTGAAAAGGACGTCGCGAAATGGCGACGGCGAGGACCAGCTGCCGACCCTGGAGAACATGTCCGGACCAACAAAGGGCCAGTCTGTGTGAACCAGGTTTGCAGCTCGTGGAAGGCCAACACCCAGCCAGATCATCACCACCACAGCTGTGCAAAGCCCATAAGCCGTTTGCAGGTGTGTTTCCAGGCTCAGTCCTCCGACCCTGCTCACTTTTCTCGCTTTGGCGGCTTGGGAAGGCCTGCTCGTGCTGCTAGTGCGTGGTGGCATCGGAGGCACGGGCAAGAGAAAGGCATCATCACTCGATGGAACAAGGCTTGGCTCTGCAATGGGCTTGTTGACAAGGCTCGCGGGAAAGTCAAGCACAAAGAGCCTGAGTGCTGACACAAACACAACAGCCACCAACAGCCCGTCTCCTCATGACCTCCTGCTGGCACATCTCTCTCACAATAACCCAACCAGGCAACAGCATCCATACCCAAGTCAGGAACCGGTCTCCGTTCAGCGCAATCAGGAACAGATTTCCGAGATGGAACACGATGGCCATACCAATCATTGGAGCCCGAAGGGACCTCAAACGTGAAGGTATGAGGTATTGCGATGGCATCTAGAGGATCACCCTGGCCAGGATACCTGTTCTATCCGTCCTAGCAAACAATCTTGCACCGGCGCTTGCCGTGCGCGCATGTGTTTGGAGGCAGGTGTGTCACAGATCTGTCCGAGTTTATGATCATACAACGGCACAAGAAGCCGCCAAGCCACGGGTTGAACAGAGCCAGGGGGCAAAGAAGTTCAAAAAGCAGACCGCAGGTGGACAGTACCTCGCAGACCAGACGGGAAAGCGCCGAAGCGCTGAAGGACCTGCAGTCAGGAATAGCAAGAAGCCCCCGCAATCGGGTCACTGGCCATGCGTGAACTCGGCAAAGTACCTGGGCTGTGAGACATGGGACAGAATGGACAAAAACTCGGCGGCACTGGCCACGCTCTGAAAATCGGGCAGCGCGAGGTCCCCAAGGACCGAGCATTGGCGGACCTTTTAACCCGGGTCGTCCTGGGCATGGCCTTGCTGGCCTGCGGCCTTCTGCGAAGCAGAATTGGGCCGGACGCCAGTGCCGCCGACCCCCGCGTAACGGTTTTTGTTTCGTGGTTTTTTGCGTCGCCACGGAGGCCCCCAGAGGGCGCGCATCATGAGCATCAGCGGGTCCAGCCCGGGACCCCCAGGCGCGCATCAGGAGCATCAGGCGGCTCCCGGGGCAGGACCCCGGGGGCGCATCAGGAGCATGAGTCTAGGAGCCTCAAACGCTTAGAGATTTGAAGAAAACGCTTAGAGATTTGAAAGGGAGTTTAGGGGCCTGAAAATGCTTAGAAACATTTAAGGGGGTTGAGGAGCCTCAAACGCTTTGAGATTTTAAGGGAGTTTAGGGGCCTCAAAATGCTTAGAAACTGCTCGCCCCGCGCTTCTGCCTGCGCTGCCCGCCCATGGGCGCAGCCCCTTAAAATCGGGCAGCGCGGGGTCCCCAAGGACCGAGCATTGGCGGACCTTTTAGGCCGGGTCGTCCCGGCAATAGCCTTGCTGGCCTTCGAAGCAGAATGGCCGGACGCCAGTGCCGCCGACCCCTGCGTGCCCCCGGTGAACGGTTGTTTTTTTCGTGGTTTTTTGCGTCGCCACGGAGGCCCCCAGAGGGCGCGCATCATGAGCATCAGCGGGTCCAGCCCGGGACCCCCAAGGCGCGCATCAGGAGCATCGGGGGCGCATCAGGAGCATGATGCCCCCCAAAGGGCGGGCATAAGCGACGTGTCTAAGCCCGGGGCTAGGAAAAAGGGAGCTTATAGGGGCCTTCTAAAGTGCTTAGAAACTTTAAGGGAGTCTAGGAGCCTCAAACGCTTAGAGATTTGAAGAGAGTTTAGGGGCCTGAAAATGCTTAGAAACTTCAAGGGAGTTCAGGAGCCTCAAACGCTTAGAGAAACCCCAACCCTGTGACGGATCTGCTCGCCCCGCGCTTGTGCCTGTCGGGCAGCGCGAGGTCCCCAAGGACCGAGCATTGGCGGACCTTTTCGGCCGGGTCGTCCCGGCAATAGCTTTGCTGGCTGTCGACCTTCTGCGAAGCAGAATTAGGCCGGACGCCAGTGCCGCCGACCCCCGCGTGCCCCCGGTGAACGGTTTTTTTTCGTGTCGCCACGGAGGCCCCCAGAGGGCGCGCATCATGAGCATCAGCGGGTCCAGCCCGGGACCCCCAGGCGCGCATCAGGAGCATCAGCGGCTCCCGGGACGGGACCCCGGGGGCGCATCAGGAGCATGATCCCCCCCAAAAGGCGGGCATAAGCGACGTGTCTAAGCCGGAGCTAGGAAAAAGGGAGTTTAGGGGCCTTATAAAGTGCTTAGAAACTTTAAGGGAGTCTAGGAGCCTCAAACGCTTAGAGATTTGAAGGGAGTTTAGGGGCCTGAAAATGCTTAGAAACTTTAAGGGAGTTCCGGAGCCTCAAACGCTTAGAGATTTTAAGGGAGTTTAGGGGCCTCAAAATGCTTAGAAACTTCAAGGGAGTTTAGGAGCCTCAAACGCTTAGAGAAACCCCAACCCTGTGACGGATCTGCTCGCCCCGCGCTTCTGCCTGCGCTGCCCGCCCATGGGCGCAGCCCCTTAAATCGGGCAGCGCGAGGTCCCCAAGAACCGAGCATTGGCGGACCTTTTAGGCCGGGTCGTCCCGGCTATAGCCTTGCTAGCCTTCGGCCTTCTGCGAAGCAGAATTAGGCCGGACGCCAGTCCCGCGTGCCCCCGGTGAACGGTTTTTTTTTCGTGGTTTTTTGCGTCGCCACGGAGGCCCCCAGAGGGCGCGCATCATGAGCATCAGCGGGTCCAGCCCGGGAAATCCAGGCGCGCATCAGGAGCATCAGCGGCTCTCGGGACCCCCGGGGGCGCATCAGGAGCATGACGCCCCCCAAAGGGCGGGCATAAGCGACGTGTCTAAGCCCGGGGCTAGGAAAAAGGGAGCTTAGGGGCCTTCTAAAGTGCTTAGAAACTTTAAGGGAGTCTAGGAGCCTCAAACGCTTAGCGATTTGAAGAGAGTTTAGGGGCCTGAAAATGCTTAGAAACTTTAAGGGAGTTCAGGAGCCTCAAACGCTTAGAGATTTTAAGGGAGTTTGGGGCCTCAAAATGCTTAGAAACTTCAAGGGAGTTTAGGCGCCTCACACGCTTAGAGAAACCCCAACCCTGTGACGGATCTGCTCGCCCCGCGCTTCTGCCTGCGCTGCCCGCCCATGGGCGCAGCCCCTTAAAATCACGGTGCAATTCCGGAACTCCGCACCTCGCCTTCTAAAGACTTTGCTTTGAACAAACCAGACAACAAACCAGAGCAGATTGCGCAAACAAGCTGCTGTAAACAGGTGCTCGCTCCACGGCTCTGCCTGAGCGAGAAGGAGGTCTTTTCCCAGAATGCTGTCGCTGGTGCGTACGTGGCAGGTGCAGACAAGATACGCTCATATAAAGACGCCTTGGCGGCACAGTCTAGCTTTTCGAGCTTGGAGGTTGCATAAGACTGCGCATCTCACAACAACCAACCAGCACCTCCCCGCTCCACCACCCCTTAAATCGACTGAGTGTCGCATAGTGCTCCAAGACGCTGCCGCCCATCCAGCTCAACCCAGCAGCACGCAGCTTGTAACACCCAGCCAAGAAGTAAGATAAGCAGAGCCTGACACACAAGGTCAGCACGGTGTGGCGGCCATTTTGCCGTCGTCATCACCATGACGATATGTACAGATATATATATATATATATATATATATGTATATGTATATATATATATATATATATGATTATATATGTGTGTGCATGTATACATGTGCATGTTCTGTATATGCATATATCCACCGACCCCAGCCGGGGGCGGCGTCAGTGAAGACCCACTGCCTTTTAGACCTTCCACCTCATCTATGACAGTCCGCCAAGCGCTTGCCGCTCCCACCCCCACCCACCCCGCCCCAACCCCCCCCACCTCCCCCCCACCCCCCCCAATCCTTTCACACAGTACAGGCCTGCTGCCTGCTTCACCCCCCTCACACTTGCAGTGCATGCCCACCCTCGCGCCCCCACCGCCCTTAGCGCCCTGCCCCTAGCCCCAAAGATATGAATTTCGGTTTTATACAGATATAAAAAGATAAAAGACAACCAAAAGATATCTCCTTTGTTTTGGTCTTCATGTTTACCAAAAACTCATTATATACTTTAAAATACTACGTGTATAGACATAGAACTCATTCTTTTTTCATATTTTTTGCTACAGCCCTAAACCCTAAACCCTGCGGTTTGCCGGCCTGCCGCCCGCCCTCCTGTCTGGGGTCGGCGGCACTGGCGGTAGCCGTTAAATCCGGCCCCCGCGCCGCCCGTGGTCCAGGGCGGAGCCCGCGTCGCACTAAAGCGCTAGCTTTAAGGGGCGAGCGCCCGAGCCGCCGACCCCGCCCAAAATTGCTTCAAATTCGCGCGGGGCCCTTCGGGAGGCCTCCAAAACGGCATCCAAGGGGCGCAACACGCGGTGGTGCGAAAAGCACGAAAACCTCGTAAAAACCATGGGTTTTTACGAAAAACCGAGGCCACAAAACACCCGCAGCACCCCATTAAACCCTCACGGGCGCGCATCATCGGCCCTAGCTTTTCACATGGGGCGCGCGCCAGGCCGAAACCACGTTTTTCAAGGTTTGGGGGGGGTACCGGAAGCCCAAAACCAGGCGAGCATCATGAGCATCAGCAGCCCTGGCCCGCGGGCCCAAGGCAATAAAAAACGCTGAAAAACGCTGAAATCACCGTAAATACCGTGTTTTTATGAGGTTTTTCACGCGTGCCTCCGACCCCCACCCCTGTTGCCCTTGACCCGCCCCCAAAGTGCGCATCATCGAAACCCACGTCCGGGGGGGGGTCTGCTGATGCTGCTGATGCGCGGGGTCCGGGCGCATCATCGAGCCATCGCTTCTCTTGGGCTTCGTGGGGGGGTCCGGGCCCACGGCCCAGAGACCCAGCTGATGCTCATGATGCTCGGTTTGGGGGGGTGTTCCAACAGCAGAAAACCTCGTAAATACCGAGTGTTTTGTGGGTCCACGTAAAAACGCCCCTAAAATCGCTCATTTTACGCGCTCGAACGGCTTCGTGCCTACAAAACACCCGAACAGCAGGACCCCGAATGCCCTTCAGGGCATTCGGGGTCTTGCTTTTGGGGGTTTCGTGGGCACGCAAGCGTTCAAGCACATACAATCGGCGTGTTTAAGGGGGTTTTGGATGGCCTGGGGGAGGCCGCTGATGCTCATGATGCTCCCTTTCCTGGGTCCCAAAAGGCTTCCCAAGCCCAAAAACACGTGTTTACAGCGTTTTCTGAAGGTTTTTCGAAGGCAAAACGCATGCATAGAATGCTTTTAAGGCCCCCAAACCAACCCCACTGATGCTCCTGATGCGGGTGCGCGCGCGCGCGCGCGCGCGCGCGCGCGCGGGGGGGGAGGGAGGGGTGGCGAAGGCAGGAGAAAGAGAGACAGAGAGAAGGAGAGGACAAAGACACGGGAAAGAGAAGACAGTGCCGAGGTTCAAGGTTTCGTGCTTTGGGGGGCGGGGGCCGGCCCGTGCCGCTAGGCCTGAAATCGGGCAGCGCGAGGTCCCCAAGGACCGAGCATTGGCGGACCTTTTAACCCGGGTCGTCCCGGGAATAGCCTTGCTAGCCTGCGGCCTTCTGCGAAGCAGAATTGGGCCGGACGCCAGTGCCGCCGACCCCCGCGTGCCGCCGGTGAACGGTTTTTTTTTCGTGGCTTTTTGCGTCGCCACGGAGGCCCCCAGAGGGCGCGCATCATGAGCATCAGGGTCCAGCCCGGGACCCCCAGGCGCGCATCAGGAGCATCAGGCGGCTCCCGGGACGGGACCCCGGGGGCGCATCAGGAGCATGACGCCCCCCAAAGGGCGGGCATAAGCGACGTGTCTAAGCCCGGGGCTAGGAAAAAGGGAGCTTAGGGGCCTTCTAAAGTGCTTAGAAACTTTAAGGGAGTCTAGGAGCCTCAAACGCTTAGAGATTTGAAGGGAGTTTAGGGGCCTGAAAATGCTTAGAAACTTTAAGGGGGTTGAGGAGCCTCAAACGCTTAGAGATTTTAAGGGAGTTTAGGGGCCTCAAAATGCTTAGAAACTGCTCGCCCCGCGCTTCTGCCTGCGCTGCCCGCCCATGGGCGCAGCCCCTTAAAATATATACACACACTGAATATACACACATCAGCAACAACATCATCATCACCATTCTTATCACCATCGCATGTTCACCAATGGGGTTAGCAGTGCCAACTTGCGACTTGGGTGCACGCCCAGCATCAGCTTCTTGCACCAGCGCCCGGCCCAGACAAAGCTCTCTGAGGTGCGGCCCCCGTCCGCCAGCTGCGCAAAGGCGACGACGAGCATGGCCTTGCAAAGCACGGCCACCGTGGCCCATGCGAGGACGTGACGGACACATACAGTCATGCCGGAATGTGCTGGGCATCGACTGCCAAGGCAGCGGTCTACCGCAGTGCTAAAGTGATATATCACTCGAAGCATGACAAGGTGCCCAGGCAGGCACGAGTGGATCTGTCAAGCGCGCAGAGAAGCCCTGGAAGTAGAAGTTGAGACATGCCGCTGTGAGGGTGGCAACCTTGGCTCGTCGCGACAAAGGCCACAAGGACGTGACCAACCTAACATGCCTTGCCCTCTGGACTTAGACTAAGGCTGGGAGCAGATGCCATGACTCGAAGGGAACAAGTCGCCTGCTCCCCGCGCACATGTAGACATAGCAGGAGCACGATGGCGCCCTTGTCACATCTTGTCACGCCCGAACACTCGTGGCACTCGACCCATTGTTTGCATCATTGCTCCGGTTTTATCTTCCTCACTCTCTCCCTCACGCTCTCGCTCTCGCTCTCCAGTTTGCCCTTATGCGCCAAGGGTTGGAGGGTTGGAAGCTGGGAGGTGTGATGTGACCGACATTGCACACGACGATTCACAGGACTTGTGGGGAACAGTTGATGCTGGGGTCTTCTTCCCTGTTTTCTTCTTCCGATCTCTCGCAGCCAACCAAGTCTAGCGGCAAGCCAGGACAGGAGTAAGCAAATTTGCATCCGTCTCAAGCAAAGGAAGATTGATGCCTCATGCAACATATACACATATATCATGCGCCAGCTTCGTGCTTTCTTATCTTCTTGGCAGCAGCTGCTACATGCCAACCGAGTTGCAGTTGCTTCGGGCATGCTGTTCGGCCCACCCGGCATATCAAACGAGACCAGAAACGGCATCAAGACTGCCGGATGGATATTTGCCTCGCGCGACCTGGACTCAACAGATGACAAAAACCTATGGAGCTCGAAAGAAAAAGCTAGATAGAGTTAATCACAAATGCTTAGCCGAGCCAGCGACATTCTCGATGAGAGGTGCTCGGGAAACTCGTGCAGGCCACCCTCTTTTGCCTCCAAGTCCACTTCTCCATTGCTTCCGGTCAGGTCGTGCCAGAAAGCGAGGAAGCCTCTGCCAACACTCCGCGAAAACGCCGCGACTAGTATTGCTAGTACAACAAGAGCTACTAGTGCCACTGGTGACTAGGACTACTGCCACTCCTCTCCTACTACGACCAGCCCTACCTCCCTACCTCATGCCTCCTGCCTCCTACCTCCTGCCTCATGCCTCCTAGCTCCTACCTGACGACCACGACCACGACCACGACGACGACGACGAGGATGAGGACGAGGACGACGACGAGGACGAGGACCACGACCACGACCACGACCACGACCACGACCCCTCTTTACAGATGCTGATCTGCTTAATGACCCAAACAACCCTGCAGTAGAACTCGGAGCAGCCGCACATGTTCAACACTAGCCCTCAAACATGAAATCATTCATGGTCTAGTTTGAAGGCGCAGAAGCACGTGGCATAGCTCTCACACACACACACACACATTTCCACCCCCAATAGGCGATTGGGTGTTTGGGACTGTCTTGAGCCGTGGCTAGCAGGGAAGAGCCGGGATCTGCTGATCCTCGGCAACTCTAGGCCCACACACAGCTACACACAGGATGACTGCAAATGACAAGCAGGCATGGAAAACTCTGTTCGCTCGAGTGGCGAAAGTGAATGCGTGCAGCTAGGACATATTCGCGCATCTCACAGACCAGCCTCCTTGCCAAAGATAAGCATGAATCAAGAACGCAAACAGGAGCAGCCCGCGGCTCCTCGGATGAAATTGCAGAATCTATGGTTGGGTGAATTTTGCCCCCGCAGGTCCCCGCAAGCATCTTGGGGTCGTGAGCAGGCAAGAATCAATGCAGGCTGTGTCTGCGGAGGGAAGTCGCACCACCAAGCAGAAAGGCGCTGCAGAAGCGTCACTGGCAGCAAGCAAAGCCTCCTCAAAGCGGAAAGCGCTACAGCCAATTTTCACCGCCTACGACTATGACTACGACACACACACACACACACACACGGACACACGCACGTGCTTTCACAAGCACACACACACACACACACAAAACAAGCCCACCAGATGCACATGTTGAAGTTGCTGAGAACCTTGCTTTCTCCAGTCTTCGGAACGGATGCACATGACTACATGTAGGGAGATGTTTCTCCAAGCAGCCAGTCTCTGACTGGCTGCTGTGGGCCTGGTCTAAGAAACTTGAAGCCAAACAGGATTGCAGCTGGCACTCGAACACGAACAAAGCTCAGGAGAGCGATATGAAATACGCGTGAGTGCATGAGTACCGTGAGATGGTCTAACCCTGAGGAGGTCGCTTCGGCCATGTCGGCAGGTTTCTGGCTGGCATGCGCTTTGGCTTCATGCGCCATTCGCGCGACCTTACACCGATCAGCGGGTCAACGCTGAAGGCGCTGCAGCGAGGTGCTTTCCTCCATCTTCTGAGGCCGGCACGAGGCTGTAGCGGCCTTGGGCAAAGTAGACGTCCTTGCAGATCAGGACGTTTCTACTGGCGCACATGCTTGTGCATGCGCGTGTGCATCTCTACATGAAATGCATGTCAATGTGCGTGCGCGTGCGGGGTGGGGGTGCGGGCGCAGGCGCGCGTCTGAAAGCGCGCGTGTGCTGGGTGAGCGGGCGGCCAGCAGGCAGGTGAGTGTGAGCCTTCGGGCCCGGCCGATGATCAAACCAGAAGCGGCCTTGTTCTTGCGGTAGTTCATGCCTTCATCTCATGTTACCCCATTATTGTGCTCCTCGCGTGCTCGGTTTTGATTTATGCGATTGCTGGAACAAATTCCTCCAACGTTGCGAGCATGCAGCATGCAGCATGCAAAAGCCGAACATCATTCGCGGGCATCAATGGGTATCAACGAGAGACCAGCGCCTCCTAAATTGAACTTGTCTCGAGAAGCTGCTACAGGCTTCTCTATCCATTGAAGATGGAATGAGGCGTGCTGCGCTTATTAACCACTTTGTGCGCTCGCCTCCAGAACTGCAAGCTATTGCCACCCAAGTTGCTGCCATCGAGCGATAGGCCATGAGCATTCGTACATTCGGGGCAGACGCCTGGCTCGAGGCGTACCAACACTGCAAAAATGGAGGCATGCACGGACCCGAACACGAGTCTATGGAGCACTCTGGCTGACAACATCCAACATTCTGGAGAAGAATGGAGACATGCAAATAGTGAATGAGAGGGACCACTTACCGTACCTGGTTTGCAAGACAACGCCAGAGAGCATCCGAATAAGGCCTTGCACGGACCGACCTGAACCAAATTCAAATTCACACCATCCAGGCTTGCCTGCTGCATCATGGACCTCAGGTAGCACGAGGTCATTCCAGCTCCAACAAGCCTTGTGCCAACGACATTTCCAGTGGTAAGGGGCACGCAAGGCTTGCTGCGCAACCTGCAGTGCTTGCGCATGGCTGTCCTCGCACGGCTCCCACGTGGTCCAGGCAATGCGCTTTTTGCATGGTGTCTCTAGGAAGAACACCACTGAGGTTCGGAGCTGGGGGGACCTGAGATGCACACCCAAAAGCAGGCTGATCTAAAAGACTGGCAACAGAGATGCAGTCCATGGCCAAGTAGATCTCGGCCGAAGCTAGTTGCATGATAGCCTTGCGCAAAACAAGGGTATGCAAACGTATGGCACATTGGCCAGGTGCCTTTGCCACGATTTCGCCATGCTTCTCAAATGTGAAGATCTCGCTATTGGCAGCCTGCCGGCCGGAACGCGACATGTCACATGTCCACTGTCCACAGGGCCCGCCGAGGTTGTTGAGCCTTCAGCGCTTGTTCCAGAACCTCGCAGCAGCAACACTTTTTCTCTGGGTACAGCTTTCCGTCCACAACTTCTTTTTGGGCCTCAATATCCGGCAATCCTTCGAAACCCTTCTCCTCAGCAGCCTTGATCTGCGCCTCTAGTGGGCAAGCAAGAGCCACAACGCGTGAGATGCCGCTGGTCGCCCAGCAGGCCTTGGTGACCACCCGAAGGGCATCTGCCTCTCTCTCTGCGTTCCCATCCTGCGCCTCAGTCAAGCATCGTGACATAAAGATGACATGAAGCCGCCTGATGAGCCTGCACTTGGCCCATTCAGCTGAACTGCAACTCATGTTTGGGACTGCTGGACCGCGAGCCATGCGAGCCAACAGCTCAGACCCTTCTCTTTTCGAGGTCCTGACTGCCTGCCGTTGGACCTGCCAAGTTGTTGGAGCTAAAGAAGCGCTACTGACGTCACTGCCTCAACAACGCGGTGCCTCCCCAGCCAACAGCTCGGCCTCCTCGTAGTGGCCGTCCTGCTACAGTTGAGCTTTGGGGGCTTCCAAGTCTAGTCCCACAAGCTCCATACGGCTGTCGCGACCGAGATTCCAGGAGGGTGCGGCAGCTGACTTCTGTGCAGTTTGTACACATGGGCCCACAGCCGTGGCAGACGCCACAAGACTCCAAGAATCTGACTTCGAGGACATCAAGAGCGTCGTCCAAGTCGTCTTTGCCCCTGGACCCGCCCGGGTGTGATCAAGACAGCGACAGACGAAGAACGCATGCGAACGCCCAACCCTCAGCCCCTTGCGCTATGCGATCAGTTGACGACAAGTCTGTCGGTGCAGGCACTGCCGGCGCAGGCGCTGCCGGCGCAGCAGCTTTGGCTTCCTTGCAAACGACCATGGGCCATGGTTTGAAGCGCGGGACCATGTGGGACCATACCAGTACGAGCAGCACAAGCCCAAGCGCAACCACGAAAACACAAACAACTCGGAGCTAGTCACAGCTAGCTACTGGCTACTAGTTCGCAAAAGCCACTACTCACGCGTACTCTGGCGAACCTTCGGCACAGGGGCGGGTACGGCGCTTCCGAGTCCGGCAAGGCCTTCGCAAGCAGGGATCTGTCCGCGGTCTCTCGAGGACAGGACGTCATCCTTCAAGCGGCCTCTGGAAGGTGGACCTGACGGACCTGACGGACCTGACGCAGACCAAGCAAAGCAATGCCTGGAGAAGCTGACAAAGCCATCGCAGTTTCCGAGGATTGAGCTCGAGGGCTGCGGCTTTTGCCTGACCTCTTCTACAGGTGTTTTTGCCACCTTGGAATCTGCAGGTGCAACAGGCTTTGAAGCCGGCACCTGTCCAGGGACCGAGATTTCATTCCTCTCACAACTTTGCGAACTGTGATGAACTGTGCATTCACTGCAAGCCTCCTCCCGGCGAGCAGGGGGCTCCACTTTTTGTGCTGGTGCCGCACTGCCTGTTGAAGGATCCAAGCCAAATTCTATCATTCACATAGCCCCCTGATGTTACTCGAGTGATCGGGCGCACAGTCCACGAAACTTCTGTGAACTTGACACGTTCATGTGTGCTGCTTGGCCCTGAGCTGATCAAAGGAGGCAGTTCATCATCGTCGTCATCTTCATCCTCCTGCGCCTTCTGGGCTTCCTGACAATTTCGACTGCTAACACGTCCTCATTGTACTAGTTTCATTAGCGGTGTAAACGGAAAAACTGGCCTTGGAAAAGGATGGAGCTTTGTCCTGCGCGTGGCACACCGAATGATGTGTGTTCTGACATGGTGTCGTTACAACAACCGGTGCACGATATGGCCATATGCTCAACGGCAAACACGTGGGCGACCTGTTTTGGGGGAGAGGCTGTGTGCGACGCTGTCGTGGCTTGTGAGCCTGACATCTCGTTTGTGTAGATTAACACCCGTCATACGGGCATATGACTGTTGCACGATGAGTGCTTCGCCACTCCCAACGAGCGGGGGCAGCTCATCGTCACTTTCTACCTTACATCAACATAGCGCTTGCACAGCTGCTTGACATTGTTTGATAAATGGCTCAATGCGAAAGACAGAACTCCAGCCTCCGTAATGACGGCCTGAGGTGCACTGGAGTTGGCACAAAACGGAAAGAAGCCGTGCTGGCACGCTGGACTGAGTAAGGAGCCATGACGGCCTAAGGGCGCTGACAATCGCAATAGAGCCAACCGCAGCTTTGGAAGGGCGCGAGTTTAAGAAAACATTGGCAGAAACGGAGCTCCAGCATACTGTTGAGATGTGCATGATGTGCAGATATGTGCAGTCTGCGAATGGTACGCACTTTTATCTTTTAATCTCGGAGCTGCAGGCTGCCATCACCGACTCATCTCTTCAGGAACGTGCTCTTCGAAGCTCCTGCAGAAGCAAGTGCATGTGCGGTGGAATGTGGGGAACAACGAATTCCACTACGACATCCTCGTTTAGGATCTTGTTCAGCTTCTCCGCGACCATTGCTTCGATCTTCTTCTCCATCCTTGGCAAATGCACTAAGCAGCGCGCTGCTGACGGCAACCGACCCAAGTTCCTGCTAGCTCTTGCGGCCGGTCCTTCACCCAAATCCGCCGAGGCCTTGGGTTGAAGGTGTCTAGGCTGTGAGAACAGGCACACCCCTCCAAATCCTCCCCCCAAGCCCAAACACCCCCCACTTTGTCTGGCAGGCAGGCAGCCCACCCTTTTGTTTTGTAGGCAAGAGTGGGAGCAGACGCTGCAGGACCCGCCTCCCCAACCCCCCCCCCCCCCCTGGGCCAGGCCGAGGCGGGTCGCGTAGCGTTAGAATTAAGTGGTTGAGACGATCCCTCACGTCCAGCCAACCTGGGGAGACACTGAAGAAAACCAAAGTGTTAGAGATTCTCCTCGCAGCTCTACCAAGATTTACAACTTTGACCTTGCCATCCCCATCAACGAAGCTTCTTTAGATTCATCCAGGAAGTTCATGCCTTTCCTGTGTCCACCTTCCACCCCGCACGCTGGGCCACAATTTCAGACTCTGGATCCATGCGCCCCAGATAACTTTAACTTTAACAAATCGGGTGCGAGGGCCGTGCACATCAGAGAGTTCTTTGCTCTCACGTCGAGGATAGAGTTCCGACACCACCTCAAACGAGGGCGGAGAAGGTCATGCTGCATACGAGCTGGACGATTCAAACAAGAGGTCCCAAGAAGATATGCAAGCGATGTCAAGTTTGATGTCAAACTCATAGCCCATAAAAGTGCCGACGGCTTGGGGCTGACTAGTGTATATCTATGCCGGGCAATGACTGACGCTGGCATGTTGAGGTGGCACTCGCAGGAAGTACATGAGACCAGGCAGCCTTCACCCGCTTTGGAATTCTTCGTTCCGTCGTGCCCCACAGTAGTTAAACGGTTTGAACGGCTTAAATGTCAACGAACCCATTCATCCTCGGACCATGGGCAGCCCCACCTGCGCAAGCTTCTTGATTGGTTTCGAGTCGATAGCCTCAACAAAAGCTGATTTCTTGCTCCATCAAGTTGATCCACTGGGCTCCGCCACTTGTTCGCGGAGAAAGGCCATCAACTTCTGGTCCTCTCGCTTTTGGGCGAGAAGAACCACTCGCTGCGCCATCCTGGCCAGTGCTGGAAGCTGAACATTCTCAACATTCTGAAACCCGCATATTGGGCCCTGCAAATTCCCGCAAGCACTTGCGGCCTGGCAGATGCCCACGCATCTGACATGGCAAACGTGTCCTCTGAGATTGTTCCAGTGCCTAAGTACCCAACTCGATTCTCAAAGCACATGCTCAGGCAAAGCTTTGCAAACTCGGATGAGTCCCAAGCGGTGGCGAATCACAGGAAAGTCCGGCACCTTTGGGTAAAAGAATGCACGACCAACAGCAAACTTGTGCCGCGGCATGCAAAGCCCACCCCACCTCTTTGCATGCAATGTCAAACAACTCTTTCCTGGTGAGGGCAACTGGCTGACAGCGAACATGTGCCATCTCAATAAGATGGTAACCTACCGAGGAAGGGGAAGCTCGGGTAAGTATCCGACCGGCTGATACCAAAGGCAGATGAAAGAAGGTACTATATACAGCATCCTAGAATGCTTCACAGCCAATCCACCACCGTTTGCTGCGTTGGGCAGTGAATGGTAAGTAGCCTGCAAAGAAATGTCCGAAATCCAAAGAGCTCAGCAACTCATGGACATTTCATAAATCACAGAACAAAAACATATCAAACCACAATGCGCGTCACTGCCTTGCTTCTTCATTTGGGCCGCCCTTCACCCCCACGTTCAGGCGGCTCCTCCGAAACAACTGGGGCAACTGGGGGATGGACTGCTTTGAACTGTCTTCTTTGCAGTTGGAAAAAGGGTACGCCATCAGTCTGTCCTTCTGGGATGGATGACTTGCGGCGCAGATTTGAAGATCCGCTTGCAGTCCTTCTCACAGGTCACACAAAATTCCCACCATGAGCCAAACCCGTCCACCAAGTCCCCAAACCAAGCCAGACCCACAGCAATCACTAGCCCCTGCAACATCGACACAGTTCGTTGAGCATGGCTTTCCCGAACCTGAGTGCAAAATCAAGGCTAAGCTTGACCAACTTCCAAAAAAAACGGCTCTTTTGCCAAATTGTATTTAGGCCGTGTTCAGCCCGAGGCCGTCTTAGGTGGACCGCGATCAATGGTGGAGTCATCCATGGCGACAATCCACTTCCACTGCCTTGCGGGAAGGTGGCAAGATGTTGCGAGAACATGCCCATCAACAGGAGATCAGCGGAGCACTTGACGCAGCCTGCTCCGGAACTCTTCCTCCAGAACCTCCATGTCCTGCAAAAGGTCTGCAGCCATGAGTGAACAAATTGCCGCGCAGTCGCCAAAGCCAAGCCTCACTCTCACCAATAAGCTGCATTAGCTTCCGCGGAGCCATCTGCTTGCTGTGTACAGACCGGAAAGCAAGTAAACAGACGAAGCTGCTTCACTCCAGCAATCAAGAACTACCGTTTTTGGCCTGGCGCAAATCACGCAAGACGGCCAACACCTCCAATCCTTTCTTCTGCGCCTCACATTGTTCATGACATCTGGCGCTAGACAAATATGAAAAGGCAGGCGCACGTCATCTGCACCATGCTTTGCGTAGTCCACCAAGCCGAACCTCAGATGCGTAAAGACACTTGCATCAGCTGACTGTCAGCTGTGCTTGCAGAAGCAGCATGAAGCGAAACGGCCAGCAAGTTGTGCGTTTGAGTCTGCGATCAACATTTCCGGAATTGGCGTCTCGTGCATTGCGAACCATGCATTGACAAACTACATGTTCAGGCTCGTGGCTCCCATCAAGTGCTTTGTTTCGTTTAGAGGAGGGTGACAACAGGATCAATAGGCGACAACTGAACTTCTCGGGTTTGCCATCTAACGCATAAAACGGCAAGCAGCTGCAATGGCAATGCATCTCGGAAGCGAAGTAGGGCATATCCTGTCTTATGTCGGCGTACCGCCAAGGAAAGAATGAAGTCACCTCAGTGGAGTTCCCCCACTGTTTGCTGACCACATGGATTCTGCAGCATGTCTGGGTGAGGCAAAAGCCCAAATCGTCTGGCGCATGTTTCACGCCTGATGGCTTGGCTTTGCTGGGACGGGAGGCCTGCCCGTGCTCGTAACGAGAACATTTTGCAGCTGTCTCACACTTGTCCTGGCCTGTCCGCTGATGTCGGGCCATTCTTCTTGCAACGACGGCCTGGCGAGACCACGCGAACTGCCAAGCGCAGAGCGGGGCGGGCATTTTGAGAAACATGCATATGGCAGCACCGGCCCAATGCATCCAGCTCGTTTTCCAGACCTTCCTCGAAATCCTTCGGGAACAAAATACTTTGCAAAAACCGAACTCGGACAACACATGTCTGCATCTGTCCCAACTGACATGTACACAGTGTCCGGGAACGGGTTGTCCGCAAGACGTTCCGGCGCAGACGTCCTGCACAGCCGAATAAACAAACACCACAACGCAACGCAACGCAACACAACACAACAGAGCAGCGTTCTGCCAGATGTGTCAGGTCCTGGCGTATCGCGCCGAACGGCACCTGTGCAAGTTGGCTGCAACACACAACTCTCCAAACTGTTAAAGAGGGTCTACCTCAGAAGTAAGTCCAAAACCTTGCGCCCAACTGCCGACCACAACCTTGGAAATGGCCAGCACGTCGGGAACCGCCGATCAACACATTGAATCCAAGCCTCCCCATAACCACCGGCCATGTTGTCTGCAAACTCCGATGGAAGTCCGCATCGTGCCACACCTACTTCATCCCACAGCCACGTCAATTGGTGCAGCCTGTTTCAAATGGAAGTTCGGGTCAAGCTTGTCGAAGCTTACCGTGTCAAATCCACACTGCGTGACAGCTTGTGCCGGCATCTCGGAGAGCAGCGGCTTACGGAATGCCCAGTTGTCCCGTTGTAACGATTTCGTCCAGACACCATTCATGCACCTGCTCTTTACAGCATTTTACAGCGGCCTCCAGAATTCTCGGCCACTAAACCGTGCTATCAGTGGCCTTTCTACCTAGCGGATGATGCCACTGGTCAAGCAATAGCGGTAAAGGCAAGAAGCGCACCTGAACAAAGGGGCACTTGCTGCAAAGCAAAACTCCAAGTGCCGAAATGAGTTCAGTAGAGGCTAGGCGGACTTTCAATGCTTCTCATAGCGGTCTCAAACCGAGGGCGCTTCTGGCCGCTGGCGGAATAGACGGGAACATGTGCATTGATGCCAATTCGCCTACGGAGTGTAATGCAGCATACTGCTGTCAGACGAGCTGCACTTCAAAACCTGTGCTCTGCGATTGAAAACTCAGATAAGGCACATAAGGTCAGGCTGTGCAGGCATCATTTGGGCCAAACGCCTTGTTGTCAAACCAGTGGGGAGGGATGAACTGCAAATCATAGATGCCAACTTCACCCACTCCAAACGCATCAGCGAAATACATCAGGAACTCTGTGAAGGTCTCCCATTGCCAAAAGAAGAAACCATCAAAGGTACCACAGATGTCGCTCACATTCTTCACACCTGCATTGTAGTGCGTCGCAAAGCAATTGTTGGAGGACAGACCTTCGAAGCTGAACATGGGAATCACGGCCTTTCCGGATACTGTCTTCGCCCAGCGAATGTTATTCATCAATGAAACAAAGCCAGGCTTTTCTTGCATGACCTTACATCCACGCTCATGCCTGTCATACCACATGCGCCACACAGTCTTCACAAAACAGCATGTATGCACGTGTATCTCTATGCGGATAAATTCACATTTACAGACGCACATATAACACTCCGTCACAATCCGTCACAATGATTCGGGCACCCGGCCTTGTCGGTGGTCCGCAACCAATTCAGGAAAGGCCATGCCATGTCTGCAAAAGAGCGGTAGCTCGATTGTGTAGTGCAAACCGGCGGCTTCTCCTTCAGCATCGACGGGTCGCCAGTGCACGGCCACAACTCGCCCATGTACCAGTAGGTCTCAGGCATGGTGTAGGTGACACCTCCAGCCGAAAACAGGCCCGAAGAATTGCAGGGACGGATGGCTTGCATCTGTTCTTGACTGTGTGTGAGTGAAATTGAAATACATTGAACATTGGACACTTCACTTTACTGGCAGCAAAAGCCAAAAGCCACTAGGTGGCGCTCGAGATCTCTCAGGTCCAAACAAAGTGTATCATGTATTACATATTATCTATCACGTACGTCATGCACATCAAGTGCCTGGCGTCTGCGGACCAGCGGAAATGGCCTTGGCCATGCCCACGCTATCAATGCCAAGCTCATCACCCAGCAGTTTGAATTGGCAAAGAGCCCAATCACTGGCAGATGCTCCTGAAGAATCGGAAGCACTGAGACATCGATCAAGGCAACCCGAATTTTGTGGCCGTGTCCCACTTGCCTCCATCCTCACCATCAAAAGACAGCGATGAGAACTTCACCCCATTCGCCTTTGCATTCACTGAGGCCAACCAGGTCACCAGCTGAGCAGCCAGGTTGGGGCAGCCAGGTGGGCAGTTGTTGGCTTCCAAGCAAACCGACTGATCAACCGGACAGGTCGGAGCAGAGACTAGGTCACTCCTCAGTAACTGGCCATCTGATTCAGACACGCGGTCACAAACCAAAAAAACCAAAGCCAGCAGGAACGACAAACGAAGAATCCAACTTCTATTGTGCCTAGTGACAACTGTGAACAGCTGCACTTGGAAAGGTCGTGGCCATTACAACCTGGAGCCAAGCCACGGTTCGCACCTCCGACCAACTTGTCCTGGTGGGTGCAACAATAAATCTCAATGCAGCGATACACCTGAGGCAAATGCAACCTCCTTCATTTGCAGCTCTTTCAGAAGTACGTTTGCCTCAATGAGATGGTTCTTTCAAGCATACGATCACCTACATGAACCCGCATTGTCTAGAGCGGGATACCAAAAGCCATATATGTATTGACTGTTGCACCGCCCAAAGTGACCGCCAAGCCTTGTAGATGTTGTAGCTGCTGTTCTGGAAATTCCATCCGGATGAGCCCAGCTTCACATTGCCGAACAACGCACCTGCTTTGACAGTTGCTGGTAGCCTGTCCAGAAAGTTGGCTGCGATCCAGGCTGGATCTTCATAATAAGGAAACTGGGCCGTGCCGCTTTTGCTCTTTGGGATTGGAGCCATGACATTGAGGAGGATGGTGTCAACCTGTTTCTCGACAACAAAACGAAGAACGTCGTCCAAATATTGTTTGTAGCAAGAAGTGCTTGATGCTGCTGCACCGACAATTCCCCCATGATATAGCAGGATTTTGGGCATCTTCAAGCTGTTGGCTTGGGGTACTTGTAGCAGTTTGCCCAGGCACATGCCACGCAAGCAACCGCCAGCCCCGCATTTCTCCTTCAGGCTCGTATCTACCTCACAAACGTCTTGGTAACTTTGAAAGGTCGTTCCTATGACTTGACCCATTCCGCCAAGTTGGCGTTGGCAAGCGCCATGACTCTTCAAGCTCACGTTGCCGTTACCTTGCACGCAAAGCAAGCCGTCAGGTGTGCAATTCGTGATCTTGCTGCCACCGAGGTATGTGAAAATGGGGGACACCTGCTTGTCGACAAAATTCTGCATGGGCCCTACAGGCACAGGACGAAGATCTGGGTTATTGAAAGTGCAAGCGCCAGCACCAAACCCCCACAAACTGGAGTTGCTCAGGTTTTTGCAAACATCGATTTCCATTGCAAATTGCGAGCAAGGCGTAGGTGGCAAAACCTGGTGAAAATGGCATATGTTGTTGCTTTTGCAATAAGCACTCCAGCCGTTCTTCGCCCAGCTCTTGCCCTCACATTTCTCAAGGACCTTGTTGCACGTCGCGTCACTGCTGCAATCTACCACGATGGACAGTATCTTCTTGCAGTCGATAGAGCCCATAGCAAATTCGTCCACACCATCTTCCACCTGGTCGTCGGCCTCCTGCTCACCGTAATCCGCCTGATCGTCTTCACGCTGGGTCTCTACAATCTGCAACCCGAAAGTTTTTGGCATTGGGGGTTTGGGGAGGGGTGCTGCAAGAACCTTCGAAGACTTATGCCTAGGCCTACTACTTGAAACGAAACCAACCTTGGAGTGAGGGCAAAAAAATTTGAGGGCGAAAGCAGTGCCCCCTTTTCTGCGTGAGAATGTGCTTGGCAAACACATGCACCAGCCTGATGGCGCTTTACCGCTTTCCTCCTCCACCAGCTTAACCATCCGTACTTTGGGCGGGCTGAACGAAGCTCAACTGACACAGCCGGCGGGACAGTGCCAGGCAGCTCGTCAGCCACGTGTGCCGGCTGAAGAAATTGGGTCTGCAACATCCCGGAAACATCGCACTCGGACTGCTCAGACTTGCATCCATCTGCCCCAGTACGGGCAAAGCATGTGAGCACGAGAAGACCCCCGAAAAAGAGAACCATTGTGGTATATTGTGGTGGAAAGCCCCGACGCATCTAGCCGCCCGAGCCTAGAAGTTGACGGCACGAAAGAAACGAGCTGATTTACTCAGCCAGAATCACTAGTTCGAAAACGTTTGGAAACTGTGCGAAATTCAGAACTCTGCAAGTTCATTGGGACATGTTATTTTTGCCGGGTTGATATGTTTAATATGTTTAATGTCGAAGTATCCAAAACCACTGCGAAAACTTATGCTCGAGCGACATCAATTGCCCCCGACGCGGAACTTTTTTGAATAACCAGACCAGAACACTAACACATCTGTCTATCATACACCTGTTCTGCGTCTGTACCAGGGGTCCGCATCGTGGTTCCACAGCTCGCCGAGGGGCACCTTGCTCCGTCACTGGGGTCGACGGAGCGCACGGGCTGTTCCAGCAAAGTGGTTGCGTGGGCCCTTAAGAAGCCGAGCTCCTCTGCTCCAAAGCGGCCGCCCAGTTCAAGTCCGAAAACAACGAGGCGGCACGTGCCATGCCGGTCAAAACGACGACCTCGGTGCGTTTTTTCCTCGCACCTTGTTCAGCCCGCAGGGGAATGCCGGGAGTCCGCCCTTCAGCGCAGCCTGCTGTCCAGGATAGGCTCCGTATGGCTCCGTCCTGCGCGAGCGCGCGTCCTCACTCGGCGGCGGGTCACCTTCGCCGTGCTCTGCCCCCGCCAGCGGCAAAGCAGCGACATGGCATAGTTTCCCTGTCGAGTCGGCGTACCCATTCCACTATTCCACTTCGAGGACGTCGTCTCGGAGCCACCCGGGACCTCTGCGCACCACTTGCCCAAACCATGCCAGCCCCATGACCGACCAACGTCCACGAATCTTGCAAGCTCTCAGCGGATGAGCCCTGGTTCGCGAACCAAACGCCGGGAGTATTAATTATTATCGTGTGCGGCGGTGACAGTGCACATGTTTCCGCGGCAATCCTCCAGAGCCCGTCTTCTGCCTCCGCTGCCGCCTGGATACAAGCAGCAAGGTGAGCGGGCGCCTGAGGCTCAGCGTCAGTGAGCGCAGCCGCTTGGCGGGGGGGCATGTGAAGCCACGAGTTAGTTGGTGGCAGCGGCCCAGTGGCGGGGGCGCCCTGCTATTACTGGGACTGTAGCGGTTCCGGCTGCGCAGGGACGGGCATGCCAGGCGCCGCCTCTGGCGTTTGTGCATCCGGCGCGGCGGGCGCAACGGTGCCATCGCAGGTGCAGCCCCAGGTGCGCGCTCGCCGCCGAAGCCGTGACCTCCAATTGTTTCGATCGTGGGTCTGCCGCCTCAACCGGCTGCTCAGCGGCGTCGGTTTGAGGACTGCGTGCGAGCGCGGGCATGATGGCGTCCAGCGCGCTCACGGATGCTCACGGTCTCCAGCTGCCCCGTGGCCGCCTTCGGCGCACACCGGGGGTATAGGCCGAGCCCGTGGCTCAGGGCGCCCGCGCTTTCCAGCAGGCGATGCCCCGCGGCCATCCGTCGCGCACTGGAGATACCGAAAACCCGCGAACATCGTGAGCGGTTGCGGGCTACGGCTCCTGCCGCGGTCGTGCCCCACTCCTCTCCATGATGGCAGCCATGCCGACCATCTGCCACGCGCCGGCCGACCGTGCGCGACCGACGTGCTGTGCTGCGATGCCACTCTGGTCTCCCCGCTGAAACGGACGGGCTTGTTGTGACGCACGGCGCAGTCCTGCGGGTAGCGGAGCGCCGCAAGCGCGACGCGTACCAGGAACTGAGCGCGGGAGGGCCCCAGACACTGGTGGTTCTCGGATCGAGGTGGGTGGACGGTGGAGCCATGGCGCGCTCCAACTCGTGTGCGACCTGATCCGGATCTGTGCGCAGCGCGCGCCGCCCGCGTCTTCACAAGCAGCCGCTTCGGGGTGGGCGCGGCTGTGGAGCCAGCTCTCGGTCGGTCCAGCAGGCCGTCGCCAGCATGGCCTTGGGCTGTTCCCGCCCTGTGTTCCACCCCAGCCGCGGGTTGGTCCCGACCTGGACCAGGTCCTGCACCTCGCTGAAGCGCCGGGCCCCAGCCGGCTGCCGCTGCGCTGACGGCGCCGCCTCCGGCGACTGCGGCTCCTAGCCGCTCGGCACACACCCATCGCAGCAGAACACCCGAACGAGTGGGGAATCGAGCGTCAAGTGGGGCTCGCCGTGAGTACCCTGGCAGCAAATGGGCTGGCCTGTGAGTCAAGCAAAACGATGGAGGAAGAGTCGGGCTCACGCAGGAGCGCGCGGTGGCAGAAGTTATCCACGGCCCCGGCCGCCAGGCACTGCCATCCACGTGAGGTCGAGCTCAAGTTCAACATCCGGGAGCTGGAGCCAGGCCGGTGGCTCGAAAATAAAACAAACTGCGGCGAGGGAGGCACGAGCGTCGCGGAACGACTCAAGGGAAGCAGGCACTGACTCGCCAGATTGCAAAGCCGCATCGAGAGCGGCGAATCGCATCACCCCATGACGCCAGTATAGGCGGCAAGCGCGTGACGGGCAGCGCCGCAGCGCTGTGCCGCACAGGGAGCTGCGCGCGGGCGACAGCCAGGTCAGGCAGCCAGTCGAGCATGGACTGCCGACTGACCGTATCATATGCAGCGCTCACATCGACTGATACGACAGTGATCCTCAAAGTTGAGGATCGGCCTCAGTGCGGGCTGCTCACGTCGCCACTGTCGGGAATCCGCATTGCGAGCAACAAGGAGTTCGTAGCAAGCGTCATCCCTCCAATCCGGCTGCGGACGCCGGTTGCCACCAAAACGACTAGAAGCGTGGCTCTGCAGCTTGCCAAACCACAGCGACGATTCTTTTCACAAATTCAGCATACAGCAGGTCCAGTGCGCCACGCCTCTCAGGAAGGGGGAAGGGCTCCATTGCAGGGCTCGGGGGTTGGGGGGGGACGGGCCTCACCGCCGCGGCGGACGGGGCTGGCGGGCGGGGGCGATCCCAGCGAGGCACCTCGTGCAGCTCAGGCACGGCATAATCGCCGTTGCTCTCGCCCGCAAGGGGGGGCTCGAATGCCGCATCTTCACAGGTCGGGCCACACGCGGCGCGCGCCTTCACCGCTCTTCCGCGTCTTGCTGCTACGACGGCTTCGCTTGCCGCTGCCGTCGCACCGCGCGCGTGCGCCTGCCGAGGTCGCCTGGACCCCCTCGGCGACCACAGGGTTGCGTGTGCGACTTCCGGTGCGCTCGCATCTCGAGCCCTCCCTCGCGAGAGGGCAGTGGCGAGGGTGTGCCATGAAACCGGGGCGAGGGTCGCCCGCAACGTTCGCCTGGCTGACATGATGTCCCGGTCTCGGATGACCGCCGCATCGACGTCGTCGCGAACGGGTTGTCCTTGAGGCATGGTGCGCAGCAAGCTGTTGATGCCACCATCATCAGCTTGTTATTTTCGCGGTGGGGCCTAGCGATTTTTGCGAGAACCCAGCAACGCTCGTAAAGTCACTGACGAACAACCGTTGTCCAGGTTATTCAGCCAAAAATGTGTGAGCCCATAAAAAGAAAGTCTCTGTCTCGGCCAAGCGCCAAGAGTCGGTCGGGCATGGTGGTGGCCTTGTGGAACATTTGCTCTCTCTACAAAAACATCCGTATTTATCGGCGAAGCCTCAGAAACACCAAAATTTCCGATTTTCAGGAAAAATCCTGAAATGCGCCTAAAACACCAAAACAGCCCGGAATACGCCATTTTTTCGGAAACTTTGGGGACCCAGTCAATTCCCACAAAACCCAAAAAAACAAGAAACCCAGGAAAATCGCGGAGAATCGCGGGCGGGTCTGCGTCAATGAAAAACCACTCAAAAGCGTTCGCGGGCATTTCGCGGGCCTGTCTGCGTAGATCAAAAACCACTCAGAAGCGTTCGCGGGGCATTTCGCGGAGAATCGCGGAGAATCGCGGGGAATCGCGGGGGTCCTGCGGGGGTCCCGGAAATCGGATTTTTGCAAATTTCGCAGAAAATTGATTCTCAAGAGATTTTCGTGAAAATCGGAAAAAATTGGTGTTTCGAGGATTTAGCGTTTGTCTTCGAGAGATCGGACAAAAAATACAGAAATTTGGCCAAGTAGCGGCGGTTTAGAGTTTAGGGTTTAGGATCCTCAAGAAAGCCCTCGTTGTAACGCGCTGTTTCTCATGTCTGGATCTGCAAGCATTAGAGTCATTAGAGGGCCCAGCACCACCGTGTGTCCTTTAAACTCTTCGACTTACGCTTGTGGATGTTGCATTCTGGCAGAGCCAGACAATTCATGTTTCTTCCACCCAAAACCAAAACCCTAACTTGCACCGTGAAAATAACTATCATCAGCTATCCAGAGTCCCGGCGCCATCCGGCGCCGTCAGTGCCTACCTGGCCCTGCGGAGGCGATCGGAGGCGCCAGGAGCTGCCAACGCACGTCTGCGAGCACTTCGTGCAGCTCGGGCGCCTTTCCGGCGACGTTGCACTCCCCCGCGAGCGGGAGATGTTTTTCCAACGCACTTTGTTTTTTTTCGCGGACCTTTTTCCTCCGCTGCGACGTGTGTGTCCCTAGCGGCTAAAAGCCGCAGTCGCCGAAAGCGCGGCCCAAGGCCGTGCTGGCGACGGCCTGCTGGACCGACACCGACAGCTGGCTCCACCAGCGCCGTGCCCACGCCGAAGCGGCTGCTTGCCGCAGCGCGGGCGGCGCGCGCTGCGCACGGATCCGGACCAGGTCGCGCACAAGTTGGAGCGCGCCCTGGCTCCACCGTCCGCCCACCTCGGAGCCCAGGACCACCAGTGTCTGGGGCCCTCCCGCACACAGCTCCGGGTATGCGTCGCGCTTGCGGCGCTCCGCGACCCGCAGGACCGCTCCGTCCGTTGCAGCAGCGCCGGGCTGCGGCAAGCCCGTCCGGGTCAGCGGGGAGACCAGCGTGGCGTCGCAGCACAGCGCTCCGCCCAGAGGCGTGGCGCCATAGATTACCAGGTCCAAGCGGCGCCTGTCGGAAGGGTCCAGCCATTGCTGCGGGACTACTTGCCCGTCTGCCCCAACTGCTTCCCGAGCCGCCCGCACCCACGCCCGTTCCACTATCTTGGCATGGCGGGGGGGAATGCCAAGGCGTGGTCCCCGAAAGTATCTACTTGCGCGCCGCACCCCGGAGAGGGCCCACAGCGATCGGAGTGGAGCGGGAGTGCGAGGCGGAGGCGTCGGCGCAGTGCCACCGGGGTTCCAAGGTCATGGCGGGCTCCGCGGGCACTGGTGTTAGCCAGGCTCCCGCACGCGGCCCAGCCTGCGAACGCAAAAGCGCAGAGGCGGCGGGCGGCAAGGATGGCAATAGCACGCTGTCGCGGAAGTGAAGGTTCCGGGTACGCGACGCGTGGCTTTGCCAACCATGCGGCCAGTCGCCCAGGCCGGCGTCCGCAAGGGGGCGAGGGCGGGCTTCCTCGGCAAGAGCTCGCCATTCGGGGCATGTATGCCAACCTTCGGCCCGGAGAAGGCTGCGGGCACCAGCCGCGCTCTGTAAGCAGGGCGCGGTTCCACCCCCGGCGCCCAAGTAATCCACGGCACCCGCGCTCGGAGTACCGGCAAGGCATCAGCCCAGGCAGCCCAATAGGCCGCCGGTGCCATGCGCGCAGCCGACTGCAAACCCAGGCCTCCGAGCGCAGCGGGGAGCCCCGCCAGAGAGCTGGAGGAAGGCCTCCCAGCAGTGCGACCAAGGTCGGGGGGGGGGGGACGGTCCGCAAGAAGCGCACATGGCCAAGAGCAGCCAAGCGCATTGGAGGTCTGGGAGCCGGGGCAACTGCTCTAGCAGGTGGCGCTCTTCGTGCGCTCGGGTCGTTGCCCAGGCGCGCACGTACTCCGAGTGGCCGACCGGCGTGCCCCACACGTCCGTGCCCAGCTCGGCCACTCCGGGCGGCGGCGGGCCCCCTGCCAGGCTGTAGACACGGGTTTTGCCTACATTGGACGCGATGCAGCACTCGTCCTCAACACGGTGGACCACCACATCGCGGCACTCCCTGGCACGATCCCGATTGGTGACGACGTAGAGGTCGTCGAGGAAGGCGAGGGGCTCTCGGAAGGTGCGAGGGCCGAGGCCGCGCTGCTCAAGGCACCATGCTGGCCGAGTGCGTACAGGGCGGGGGCCAACGGGTCTCCCTGCTCGCAGCCCTCACCCTGCGAAACCTCTCGGCAATTACCTGCCGCGTCCCACCACAGGTACGTGGACGGGTCGCCATACCACATGCCTACAAAAGGTACCAGCTCCGGCGCGCAAGAGTTCAGCGCGGACAAAAAAACCGCCCGGGACATGCTGTCGTAAGCATTTCGCCCGTCCAGCGACACGACTACTGCATCCGGCCGCATATCGAGCGCCGCGCGCCGCCAGAGCGGCAGACATCACCATCTACAGCTTGGAAGACTGTGGTTGGATTGAAACCACATTCCTTCGCCAGCCGTCTCCCTCGAAGCCCGCTGTGTGAGGCATGCGCATCCTGTGATCAGGGCCTGACAGCACCAAGGGGGCCGAAGAGCAGGAGCCAGAGGGAACCCTAGTGGTTTCAAAGTATGCAAAGGGATACCTGTTCGACAAGGGATCGGGGGGCGGGACGAAGACAAAGGAGGGGGGGGGGGGGGTTCGACGAAACATACATTAGAGGTTGAGTTCTTCTTCGTCTTCTTCTTTCCGTCGCGTTTCGCGGGAAGAGCTTTGTGAGGGCTTTCGGGAGCAGGGAGTCCGACACCTCCGTGCCCCATTTCGTTCGCCAGCTGGTGCAACTGGCTCAAATTTCCGCTCTCTCCTGTCACGCCGTGCCTGAGGAGATGGGCTTTCCACTCCAAACTTTCGTCGGCTTTCTTCAGCTTCTTGCAATGAAAAATCCCTGCGTCCCACTGTTCGTTCGGACATCCGGCAGGGCACCGGTGCAAACTGAGCTCCACAGTCCCCCCTGCTGTCATACAGTTCTGGCATTGGCTGCGTAAGGATCCGTCTGGCGCTCCATAAGGAACCACTTTGATCCAGGAGCCCCCCCGATCTGTCACTTTGGATTTCACTTCGGCAATCACTTCGGATTCCAAAGCGTTGTACATCCCCATGAAATGCCAAACTTTGCCGATCTCGAAACATTCCTCTGGCACTTCGCTCAAGGCTAGCTCGGCTCCTGAGTCAGTGCCTTGTCTTTCCGAGAAGGTTTGCATGGAGGTATGTTCTTGTGCAGGTTGGGTTTGGCCTTCGCAGCCGCGGGCTTGCGCATTCGCTTCATGTTGCTCTCTGTTCTGAGTCCTCGTCGTCGTCGTCGCCTCCGAAGTCTGGTTCCGAGTCTTCCAACTCCTCTTTGACGTTTGTCTGACGCGTCGCTTGGTTGTCGGCCTGCCTCGCGCGTCGGGCCTCAATCTTGTTTCCGATGAAATTTCTTCGCTTGATTCCTCTGTTTTTTGGGTTTCCTTTTTTGCTGAGGGATGTCCGAGGCCGGAGCTGAAGCGCAGCTCCACCCGCTCTCTGGACGCGAGAAGTTGCTCCGACTGATTCCTGGCTCGAAATTTCGTCCAGTCCACTCTCTGTCAAGAGTACGGGCAGAAGAGGGAGGAGAAATTTCGTCGGGCCAATTGGACGCGGCAGATGATCGTGATGCGTTCGGGATTTGTTTTTCTGACCCAAGGGGTGAAGTTGACTCTTCCGGAGCTCGGTATCTACCGGGCACCTCCGTAAGTCGAAGTCCAGGAACCCAGCCTCCTTTTGACTTGGGAGCTGGCTTTCCAGAAGACCACTCCGATTCGCTTTGAAGGGGAGGCAAGAACTCTCTTGCTGGTGAAGTAGCCCTCGGCACAGCTGGGACCAGCTTAACAGCAGGAGAAGAAACAACAGGACGAGGTTCAGGAGCCGGGGCTTCTGCCAGCTCCTGCGAACCTTGTCCTTGTGTTGGGGAGTGTACAACTCCAGAAGAGCCTGAGCAACCACTCGAGAGCAAAGGCGCACTGAGGGTTCTGGCCGCGAGCACGTCCTCAAGTTCACTTGCCAAAGTCCGGACGTGACTCCGCAAGTTTGGAAAGTCAGCAGGGCGCCACAAGGGGTTTCTTAGGACAGTTTCCAAAGCAAGCAAACCCCTGCAAATCCCACAATAGGGACCCGCCGGAGTGTTGCTCAAGAGCTGATCCCAAAGGCTGCACCTCGCGCACACTCTACTCATACAGACAAAAGGCTTGTAGCCGAAAAAGCCGCAAGCTTCGTCCTGAATCATGAGGACATGCAATCAAGGGATACCTGTTCGACAAAGGCCCGGGGGGCGGGACGAAGGCGAAGGAGGGAGGGGGGTTCGACGAAACATACATTAGAGGCCAAGACGAAGCCCCGCAGGGTTCAACGAAGGTTGGACGAAGGCCGGAGTTCGACAAAGGCCGCAAAGGCCGGAAGGGTCTCGGCATCCGTCCGTGCAGTTGTCCCCCTCGCGCGCTCCACTGCTTTCAGAAGCGGGTTGGGCCACGCTTGCGCACGTCAGGTGAACTGCTCCCCGCGATTGCTGATCAATGTGAGGGTCACTATCTGGCGGCGCTTTTGCAGGACATTGCAGGTAGTTAGGACATTGCAGGTAGTTCGCCAACGGCACGGCACAGTAGCGCAGAAGGAGCCACGCAACCTGGAGTTCCGGCTATCTGGCGGCGCACGTTGGCGGCGGCCCCTTGGAAGTGAGAGATTCGAGATAAGGCGACTAAGGCCTCGCCCTCGTGCAGGCGCTGCTGGACTGGTCGAGCGGGCCGTTGCCCGTGTGTGCCAAAGGGGCGCGTCACGCGCAACGTTCGGCTACGCACGACGCACACCGCATCGAAATTGTCGGCAATGGCTTGACATGGCATGACCATAAGGCATGGGCCAGTCGACACTACGCTTGTCCCCTCTCACACGGGCCAAGGGGAGGAAACCCAAAACCCAGCACTCGCTAAACCCAAGGTTTTCTTTGCATCCCCCTCCCTCCCCCCACCCAAGAACGCGCCTCGGGACTCTGGGAACCATGAAAACAAAAGTGCCCAGCAACTACGGAGCAAGCACAACACGAGATACCCGCTCACCGTGCTCCCAGGGCCAGAAACCGCGGCGCAGAGCAAGAAACGAGGGATGTTTTTGCTTGGGCTTTTAGGTTGGGCAACTTCCAGATGCAGGAGGGGTCAGGGCCCGCCAATGAGTCGAAGACGTCAACAAGGATGGTGAGGGGCTGACTCCCGCCCTATCACCGCTTTCCAGGCCGCTATACGCAGCGGAAACGATGCGACTACCCCGGCCCCGAACTCCAGCTTGCGCGCCGGCGCCGCCTGGTCGTGTTCGGGCATGACCGCCGAGTGCGGCGTTCAAGCCGCGGCGCGTGCTTCCACAGCTGGCGCGTACATTTGCGCCCGGCCTGCTCGGGTTTCCCCTCGATTGCTCGATTGCGTCGTCTCCTCCGCCAGGGTCCCTTTGTCTGCACGAGGTTCTCTTGCATGTGGCGCTGGGACCGTGCATCGACAGGTGGAAAATGTCTGCGCGGCTGCCCGCGGCTCGTTCACTCCCTGGGATGGCGACAGATGAAAAACCCTGTAGGTGGGCTTGTACATTGCAGACGAAGCGCGGCGACACGAAAAGAAGGCAGTAGACATCCTGTTCATTATTATCGAATGGAACGGCCTCATTGCAGGCGAATGCAGCTCTTGCCCCGTGCAGCTGCAAAGGGCAGCGAGTAGATGGAACTATCGCATTCTTTGACTAATTATAAGCATTAAATTCTTATATTCCCTCTATACCGAAGTTCCCATAGAGTCCCATAGTCAATCAACTAGTTGGACCAAGTCTCCTCTTCAGACACCGCCGGAAAGCATCCAAACTCAACCACCAAAGACTTCAGCATTTGAGCAGCTTTTTCAGAGTGGCTGCGAGCTGCTCAGCGGCCTTGAGTCTTACCACATTTTTGAAATGCAGTAGCAAACTGAAGATAAAGTGCACGCATGGCTGAACTGGCCAGACGCACATGCAAACATCCCAGTTTGGAAAAGCTGCACGCGATGGCATGGCACATGGGTGATGAGTTACATCGCAGCAAAGCTTCTCAAAACTGGGCAACTGCACAGAAAAAGAAACATCCTGGGAGGGTAAGGCTTCTCAGGCTTGGTCACAAACAAGCATTTAGTTTAAAGACAGGTCACAGAAGCAAACCCTTCCACGAGGAAGTCCATGCCCCTTTGGCGTGACTTGAAAAGGTTTATTTCTGCAAGAGTCCGGCACTGGGCACTCTCGGGAAAAGTTGTGCCACACCTTGTGCCATGGATAAAGGCCAGGGCTTTGCGCACAAGCAGCTTTTATGCGGTAGCTGCAGCATAGCTGCTTCGAAGTTGTATGGCGATGGCCTCATCAACTAAACTGTAAAAATGTCGCGGCCGCAAGAGCCTTGCTAAGCTGACATGGTTCTGCCAGCCGCCATAAACGTCACGCAGCGTCACGCACCAATGGCACCCTCTGGCAGAAGGACAGCCTGGCTCTGGCTCGCATTGCTCATTGCCCTCGGCCCTGCTCTAGTGCTCTAGACTTCCCCCCTCAACATCTCGAAGGCTATGCAACACCGACTTCAAAGGGAAGACACCTGGAGAACAAGCGTGATTTAGCGACGTGGTTTCTCGGCTTTCGCGTCCAAGTAGTGAAGTCTTGACGAGCCGCAATGAATGCACAGTGGCGTGTGCTGGGCCAAGAACGTTCAAGAACCCCCTCATCTGCCGAGCGTCTGTGTCATCTTTTCCAGAAGGCCTCGGCATCATGCTGTGACATGCTGCAGCCTAGGTTCTGCTCTGGTTCTGCTAGTCCTGCTCTACAGGGGTTCACCAGCAAAGGGGTGAAAGTTTACGACATTGGGGATGCGTGGCCCTTCTAAAGCAGTCTCTTGCGAGGCACACGTCTTTGCTGTAGAACCTCCGTGAGCGAGTCTTGTGCAACTTCTGCACTGAATGGTGGTCCTGCACAAGGGTCCCATGCGCAAAGCTTGCCATCATCATCCGCTTGGACACACCCGTCTGTCCTCATGAGGCAGTTTTGGAGGAGCAACTGCCTCCGAGAACAACCAGCACAAGGCCCAGCAAAGCCGTTGAGGTTTATTGTGCTTCACGGAAGGGGGGAGGGAGCGCGGCAGGGAGAGAGGTAGGGGGAGAGAGAGAAAGAGGGAGTTGAGTTCATCAACAAAGATCATCCCGGGGACCGATGCTAATGTAGATGGGAACTTGCTTCACAGTGGTTGACGCCATTATTGTCTTTTCAGTTTCTCTGTAGTCGGCAAAGGGTCTTCAATACTGCTTCCTCATGCTTCTAGCCGGAGTCGTAGACTAAATAATGCCAACCGCTTGGAGGTCATCGTCTGGCCAAACCAAGACCCACAATCCTCACAAGCACGACAGCCTTCTGGCTGACTGTCCTTGACACACCTTAGACAAACAACTACTTTCTCAGCATGAGGAGATTCATGACACCAGTGTACCAAATAGCATGCACAGCATATCATAATTCATTTCGCACACTTTCCACCCCTACAGTGTATCAGATGTGTGTAACAGTGTACTTCCCAAGGCTTCCACGAGGAGCGTTGGTCAACAACTTTGAGGCCGTCTCCAAGTCCGCGCCCCAGCCTTACCAAACTGGTCTGTTGAGGGCTTTTGAGGGTTTTTCACGGAAAGGATGCCATGGAACGTGGAATTGTGTTACTGAGCTTGCACTGCGCATGTAAGGTGCAAACTTTCAGCTTTGCTTTCCGTGGCCAGGAACATGCGCGCCTGCGCAGGCACGTCACAGTATGCCACCGGAAAATCCCAGATATGTGTTGGCTGGCTCTACTCCAAGAACTGGCCACGGTGCGCCTGTAGCACGCCATCACGCCTTGGTACAAGACCATGCAACCCTCGACGCTTGCTGACATGTTACTGCAATGGTCGCCGAGACCTAGGCCACACCGATACAATGGCCTGGTTCACATAGTTTTCGGTACCTGAGGCCAGGACGAGGGCCAGGGTTTGTAACATGCAGCGCGACTGCACTCTTGTGATCTGTTCTCCCGAGCAGCTGCCTGCCAGCACGATTGGCTTCTCCATGTTGCCATCCTGTCATTGACTGCGAATGCCCTTTGACATCTGCTAACATATACACTGCAGCAAAGGTGTAGGGTCTAGGGCAGCACGAAAACAGAATGCTGGCCTCGTCGAACACGAACAGGGTGTCGCCTTTGATTTCGAGGGTCCTGCTCATGTGAAGGGCCTTGTGCTGCACACCAGAGTGTACCAGTGCCGTGACAACAATGCCAGCGCGGGTCCTTTCCACAGGTGCTTGACGAGCATCTGCACGGCGGAAGAAACGGCCTTTCTGGACCTTCCCAACCTCACAATTGACACACAACATCTTGCAACATTCTCAGCACTCTCGTGCTATCACAGTGTGGGAACAACAGAATGCGCGTGCGCATCCCTCAGCACTGAAGCTCCGCTTGCATCCGCTTGGCTTGTATCTTCCCCAATTTCCAAGTCCGCTGCCAGGCTGGACTCCGCGCGGTTTTTCTCGCTGCGTCTTTGCGACGTCTCTTGCCAGTCCATCAGCACCTCTGCAAATTGTAACAATTTATTTGAAGATCGTTTTGTTGAGACATCCTTGAACCGACTGTTGCGCAGGTAGCGCATGATGGGGACGTGACGGGCGTGATGAATAGTCGGGGCCGTGCCACGTGCGTGATCGGCGGGGCGGGGGCCGTGGTAGGGGGGGTGGGGGGCATGCATCGGGACATCAACAGGGGGATGGGTGCATGATGGAGAGTAAAAGCCATGTGGGTGCGTGATGGAGAGTGAAAACCGAGCGGGTGATGGAGAGTAAAAAGCAAGCGGGTGCGTGATGGAGAGTAAAAGCCAGGGGTGCTGGACAGTAAATGCCAAGGGGGTGGTGGGGGAGGGGGGGCAGACTGATTCGAGCAGCATGCACCTTTTGTCGCCTTGTTTTGGGGGTCCTGCTCTGACCATGTTTGCAGAATGTTTTTTGAGAAATCCCTTCACCGAATGATGGATCGCTCCAGCAAACAAAGCCATATCACCGGACCATGTTGTACTACAGGGGGACGACTCATCTCCGCAACCCTCCTAATGCCTCTACGAATACAAATCCAAACAACATGACAATGATGACAGTGAGAGTACTTCCAGTAATATTCAACAGTGACACTAGGAGACCTGGCAACCCCATCATCAGCCGCAACACTTTATACTGCCTGACCAAGTTTAGACTTGCCCGCTGCTGGAAGTGGGGTCCTCGAACTTGTTTCGATTAGGAGGGGTTTACGTCCTTGAAGATTGGGACCAAGGTCTCAAAACGGCCTGCATGGCGCTGCGCTGCTCCGAGTGGACAAGACCTCCGCAGTACTCTTTCTAGCTTGTAAGGCCACATCACACACCCCAGTTCTGGTGCCCAGACCCCCCCCCCTCACTTCTGTGCGTCCCAACAGATCATCTCCCAGAGTGACGGAATGTAAGACGTATCCCGAATTCAAATCCATAAAGAAAGAAAAAAGGTGGAAAGCACTATGCGCCTTGGCACGATCTCCCTTCCAAAATCGCAAAGTCCACTTCAATCCCCTGAACTAGCGGCCGTAGCGGCCGTAGCGGCCGTAGCGGCCGTAGCGGCCGTAGCGGCCGTACTTCCACAATTCACAATCTGCATCTCTTCTTGCTACAGTTTTTCCTGCTGGATGATAAACTCTTGCGTTCCTTCCGAAGCTGACGTAGGGCGCAACACTTCGCAGAGGCAATGACCACTATGAGCTCCCAAGCAGGATGTGCTGCAATCGTCTGCAATCGGGCTGGACTTGAGCCTTCGGGCTTCTGAGCTTCCAGGCCAGTGAGCTTTGCTGGGAGGTAGATCAAGCGCTCGCCAAGGTTCCTGGAGAAAGAGGACAGAGAACACTTAGAGGATCGGTTCCGCAGGGGGTGGAAGGCCTGCTTAAGAGCCTACTGTTGAAGGGGCCTACTGCCAACTTCAGCCAAGCCAACGTCTCCTGAAGCGCCGGCTACGAGCCAAGCGCCGCACCTGACAAAAGGATTCTGAGTTTCGAGAACATTTCGAGAACCAACGAATGGCTTACGACCATGCTGACTCAACATGGCGTCCCTCTCATTCTACCTTGGATGATGTGGTTTTCTCTTTCGCCAGGCTAGGCACCTCCTGACAGGTTCCTGGCTGCGGCATGCACAGGGCAAGCATCGGAAAGGAGCATGCTGGCAGAATCCTCCGGCTCTCCACCCCGAACCCCCGATCCGACTTGTCCCCCTGCCCCAGCTCCGTGTTGCTCCGTTCGCCTGACCCTTCCAGCTGGGCGGTTGGGAAGGTTGGTAGGGGTGGACAGCGAGACGTACGATGCCAGGACACTGCGCCTCTGCCTTTGCGAAGGCCTCAAACTTCTCCGCCTTGATCATGGCCTTTTGGAACATGACGCATCCCAAAGTGGAGCGAAGCACCCTGAACTCTCAGAAGCAATCCTCCCACTTGCTCAGGCTGGCAGACTGCTTGCCCGCAGCCTCCAACATGGCAAAAGGAAAAATGATGCAAGGCACATGGCACTGCATGGCACTGCATCAGGGATGACAGAGCAATGGGAATCTCAAGCACACATAGCACACGCCTGGATTGCCTGGCACCAATCCTTCGGAGCGCTGGCCGATGCATCCGGCCAGAGCCTGGCACAGAAGCTGGGTCAAGAGATGTCAAGAGTGCAGCGGTGAACCGGAGTCTTCTGGCAGCTGCGTAAGCAGCGAGGGCTGGGGGGGGTTCCCACACCCAGGGAGCGATGAAACAAAACATGCAACAACCCAATGTTTCAGATTTCTGATGACATCTGATGACGCTAGGCACTTCGGCCAGCATGCGCGCTTGTTTCGGGCACCTATCGCTGGTTTTTGCGACTCTCCGGCGGCTTCTCAGAAACGCGTCATGAGCATCTGGTTTCCACTTCTTCCCCTTGTACACCCACCCTCCCTCCGTCAGTAAGTATGTCAATCGGCGCCTCCTACGGACTGGAGGCACCAACTGACTTACTTGCTTCAATAACCTCTACTTCGGTGGCATACTTACTTTCCTGGAGCTGATCCCAACGCTCCAAAGCTCGCAGCTCGCAGCCCCAGAGTATCCCGCCATATCCCCCCCTTCCTTGCCGGTTTTGAGGTGCGAAAAGCCACCATACAACGTGTCGGGAAGATGTATCCCCCTTTGCCTGTGGACATCTCCGTTCGGCGCATAGATGGCCACCATGTCATCGACAGCCGCGGCGGTGGCGCCGATCACGCTGAGCACCTTCCCCGAAATATACTATCTACATTGGACCATGGATGCCAAAGTGTCCGTACAACGAGCGAAGAGGCCACGGACGACGCCAAAAGAATCTCTACCAGAAGGGGGGAAGGGTAGAGAGAGAGAGGGAGAGAGACAAAAAAAAAAACAGAGAGAGAGAGAGAGAGTCAGAGAGAGAGAGAGTGAGAGAGGGACCGAGCTGCGATGTCATGGTAACTGTACACAGGATCTTTTTGATGGGCACCTGGTCGCTCACGCTGGCCCTCTCCCCAAACCACAACATGTCTTCGCGAAGCGTGGCATGGCAGGCCCGAGCAACCTAAGCATTCGAAGTGCTCAAGTTCTGAGGAACTCCGGCGAAAGTGGCAAAGCACAACGAAGGACCCCAGATCCCCACGAACCAGCATGATGCTCAGGTTAACAACACGTGCGAACACTGACTGGTCGAAAGAGTGGCGTTGCTATCTGCTGAAACCCTGTGAGTGCTGCTACAAACTTGGAGACCACATGGCCACGAATCTTCAAATTCCTGTAAATCTGACCCCGAACAACTCTGATCAGATCAGTGATGACAAGTGTCTGCATCCTTGTGGAACAGAACATGGCACTTGCCGTCCAAGCAGAACAAGCCGTTCTCAATGCGGCCAGTCTTCGTACTGGCATGCGCTTTGACTTGGCAGCCATGGCATGCTGGATGTCCGATGCACATATCATGGCTATGCGCAATTGAAGGAAAGATACGGAGTTCACAATGGAAGGGATAGTGTAAGGCATGTGTAACCCGGCTGCACCTAGTTGTGCCTCGTCACAAGCAAGAGCTTAAGACAAAGCGGTGCGCCTTGGCTTCTCGCTAGAGCCTGCAGAGCAGGTCAATGTTCGGTAGATGGCTCGGGGCACTGTCCAAGGTGCCTCGCGCAGGTTTCGCATTGGTTGACTGATGGGCACATTGATGAGGACATGTTCACGCCTAGCTTATGATTTAAAGACGTATGACATGCATCCCACGGTGACAGAGGCAAGCATCAGCTACTGAAGCACACCACTTCGCACCTGCAGCGCACAACTGCAGACAGCAACAGCGGCCGCGCCCATCTGTCGCCTGAAATGTGTTGAAAAAAGGTTGGAATGTGGAGAATTGCGGAGAGCACGGGGATGATTTCCGGCTAAGGCAAAGCCCCCACAATTGGTGGCCCCGGCTCGGGGGCAAGCTTCCATTCATCTCAAAAGCATCGCACTTTTCACGACATTTCAGGACGCATCCGTTAGCCCAAGCTTTGTACGGGCCATGAAATGGAGGCAAGCCTACACCACATGGAACTTACATCATACTCAGAAATGCGTGCCTCATGGTGGAGGCACTCGGCGCAGGCTTACGATGGAGCAAGTCAGCAGAAGCCTTGGCCTCGGCTCACGCCGTCTATCGATATGAGCAGGGTCGAACGCAACCAAAAGCCACCAAACTGAGGAAAACACGCTCTCCTCAATGGCCTTTGCCATTTCTTCTGCCTGCACATGAAGATCATGTTGAGAAAAATTGCCCAGCAGATGTGACGGAGAGAAAGTTGATTCCATTTCTGCCTCCTCCGCATCGTTCATCCACAGCCGAACCATGGCAAGCCCGTTCGCTCCACGAACCTCGGCATTGTCCCAGGGAGTGACAGGATGCGCTCTCACGTGTCCGTGATCAAACATGCGAGCGCGAATGTATGCCTGTGACATCTCTCAAACCCTGACCCCTGCCCCCACGTGTTCATGTGCACCCAAGTTCGGGTGTTCCTGATACGCCATTTTGCCCAGAAAGGATACACGCCCGACAAGGGTTCCTCAGCACACCTTTTTCCGCTACGTGATTGACCCCTTTTTTTGCTTGCGGCTTTTGTTTCAGGTGCCAGCTTTTTGCGACCTTTTGTGTACACTGGCCAAAAGCAAATTGATGGCATGGCAATACAAGATTCTACTAGGAGCTCAAAGGTTCCTTAGGATCCATAAGCAGTTTACGCACCCCGGCGGATTCCGAAGGTCCAAAAGGATAGGACGCTTTGAAGTTCTGGGCGTCGCAAACTATCAGGTTCGAACCCGAACAATGTACGGAAGCCAGTTCCGTGCTGCTCAAGCCATCGTGCCAGTGGTTGGCCGTTCTGCTGCTTGATGTCTGTGAGGCCCTAGACTCAAGGCTCGAGACGGTCCATAGATGCCCATAGCACATTCATTTGACAAAATTGCCGTGCTGCGCAACAACCTGTTAGCGTCATGCTTTGAAAACCCGGGCGGCAGTGCCCTGTTGCTTGCTTCCCCTCATGATTGAAGGTACCGCTGTGCAATTTTACCGAGAAAACGTCACCGCAGAATACGCTCTCAACTTGGGGCCTTGGGCATGTCGCTTGTTCCTGTTGCTTGACAAGCTGTGGGGGGTTTGTTGTTTGCTCCTTATGTGGATCAGCGCTTTCTCGGCGATACTCTGCGGTGACGCGGTGGAAACTGGACATGCTCAACGTCATTTGCCGCTGGCCAAGAACAAAAGGGAAGGCATCATAACCGCAGCCACCGAAGATGCTGCACTCGAACAGCAAGGCAGCGTCGATGCCACGCGAGCGCATCACCAACTGAAAACAGATGCGATATCCGACTGAGCCGGGGTCCTTCTCTGCAGAGGGAGGGAGGGAGGGAGAGAGAGAGAGAGAGAGAGAGGGGGAGAGAGAGAGAGACACACTCAGCCTCTGTTTCTTTTGGAAAAGAATTAAAGGGAAGGTCCCGTCTTGGTCCGCATCCCTTCGAGGCGAACGCACCTTTCCAAATCAAAGCGAAGGCCTGGCCCCCCCGGCTTTGGTTTCCCCCAGCTTTTTTGAAGCCTCAGAGAAGCGGGGGCCGAGCCCCGAAAGAGCTGAAAGAATGTGGGGCAGAGTGAGGCACTTTCGATGTCTCAGGAGGCTCTTTTTGGATGCTCGTGTTTTGCATTTTCCCCATCTCTCGTGCCAACTGCCTGCCCAGCCGTGTCCCGCTTCAAAGTCGGGGGGCCCGTTTCCGGGAAAGATGAGGGTGTATGTGTGTACACACGCATGCTCGCTTGATGGTTGTGTTCTCCGTCGCGAGTGACATCTCAGCTGTGGATTGAGAACCCAACTGAGACCATGAAAGTGGCAGTTGTCGCTGTTGCACCTTGGCACAGAAGTGAGACACAATCTGAATCACCAACACCACCAGCTTCCCATTTCTTACAGCAAGACATTAGGGCATGACCCGTCAGGACGGCCGCTCTCCGCAAGACCTTCCATACATCTTGTGACAGGCATGCTCTGGCAAACTAACAGCAGCAAATAGCAGCATTGCCGCTCTTGCAACCAGTCCCTGACCTGACCACGCTCTGCCCACTGCATGATCAGGGTATCCCCGTGGATGCATACTCGGCCAGCACCCTGGGCGTACGTAGTCCAGAAGAAAGATTCGGCAAGATGGGCGTCTCTGGTCTCTGGAGGCAACATGAGGAAACACGAGGAAACATGCAAGGCATGTTAATAGAGGCCATGGCCTCCGTTTTGAGGTCCTTCAGGTAGAACCGAGCGGGGTAGACATGGTGTTCCTGAATGGAAACGGGAAACGGGAGAGAATCTGCCGCTCTGCAAGACATGCGAATCGCACGAGCCCCGCACCCCTGGAATTGGAAGTGGGGCATTGTGCCTCGGGGTCCAAGCATCGAGCCTTTATTAGCGAATATCACAAAAGTGCTGCCGTGTCACGATGGAAGCACGGCTTTCAAGCGCGCTTCAGCTGCAGCTGCAGACCTGGCAGCTCTGCAAACTTTGAAGTTACTTGCAGTTTGTTGGGTGGGGCCTGCCGTGACACTGGCAAGAGCGGCAGAGCGGAGCTTTGAAGGAAATTTGAGGGCCGTGGCCTGGATGAGCACAGCCTTTCCACGAAGGCACCAAACGAAGCGGCTTGCTGTGCCCTGCGAGCAGCCTGGACTTCGTTGTCTTCGTTGGGAGGTGGGGAGCCTTCTCATAAGGAGCCCTCTCAAGAGGAGCCTTCTGCTGCTTCTGCATCTTGATGTCCAAGTGTGCTACGTACCTCAATCGTGTTCAATATGTCTTTCACTTGCACTTCACTGGTGTTCCCATCTTCCTGCGACTTGCCCAAGACTGGACAGCCCATCCCATCCACAAATGGGGAGGCCACTTGTCAGAAGCACGTTTGAAGCTGGCAGCCTGGACAATCATCTTGGTCAGTTTGCTAGTGGGCTCTGCGAGCACATCGAGCACTGTCTGTCAAGGAACCATGCTGCTGAGATGCTGTGAGAATCTCTGCCCACTTGTCGGCATCAGAAGTGGATGAGAGGAAAAGCCGCAGTACAATGTCTTGTCCTCACTCAGCAGTGTGTCCCACGATTTCTGGTTTTTCCTAGCAAAATACTTGTTGGAACGGGAAGTCCCAAAAGAAAATCAAGGACTCCGAGCGGCCTCCGGAAAGACACACCATAGGACCCATCACTGAGACCTTCAAATGCGAAAGGTCAATGTAGTCTTTGACCACCTGAGTAGCTGTTGAACTGAATTCAACACCCAAAGAGTGCAGAAAACTTGCAAACTTGCTCAGCTCACCCAGTGATTTGGTGAATTTAGCCGCGGGCATTCCACTTCGGCCCCATGAGCAGCAAGTTTGCGCCTGAAAATTTCGCGCACGCGCGCACACACAGACACACAGACACAAAGAAAACCGATGTGATCACATTGATCTTCGATCTCTCGTGTCCGGGAAGTATAACAAATCTTTGTCAGAACTCATCGCACCAAGCTACCGGTGCCAAAGTAGCAGGCTGCAACCTGCATGATGCGGCATGCTTGGTGGCAGGCGACTACGTGCCAACACAACGGCAAAGGCAGGAGACGACACCAACCGCTGATTTAACATGCTACATGTTGGGACTCTCCAGCACGCGCTTGACTTGAGTGTCTTTTCGGCCTCCTTGGAGCCTGCCCGCATGTAGTCTATGGGACCCTCCAGGCTGAAGTTATGGCACAGTAACTCCTTGCAAGGCGGGCAAAGGCAGCATGTCGAGTCAAACCGCGGCTATTGTCGAGCTGAGTGCTGATCTGACCAAGCCTATTCACGGCTCAACCCTCTACAAATTTGATCAAACTTGAGACAATGTCTTCCCACTGTTTCTATAAGTTACCCATGTGCGCTAGGACTATGCTCACGACCATGCGAGTTCTGGCTAACGACTCCACTCTTCATGCGCACACAACCTATGTTCCCCAAGAACCGCATGCTGGACACGTGCTCTACATTGCGGTGGTTCCTTCTTAGGCGCTTGGAGTTGCACTCGGTAAGTCGTGAACACAAGAACTCAATCTGCATCCATCTTAAGCACCTGAAGTTGACCTAGAATGCAAAGTTGGCAAATTCAGCCCCAGGCATCCGCTACTCATACAGCTAGCACATTCTTGCGAAATACAATATGGATGTCCAGCGGCAGTGATGTGAAGGCAGCACGGGTTTTGTGTGTGTGTGTGTGCAGGTGTGTGCAGAGCGGATTACACGTGATGCAATCGCATACGTTCCAGGCTTAGAGCTCAGGGCCTGGGGTGCAGGACCCAGAGCTGATTGCCCGGCTCCCGGACTGACAAGACCCATAGAAACACCAGTATACCATCTGGCAAGTAGAGTTGCTTCACGCTCATTAGCTCTGGCCTCGCTAGACTTCTGGGGCCTTGTCTCGACCTGTCAGGTGCAACTCACGAATCTCAAGGTGAAAGTAAACAAGCCCGGTGCAACAGATGCGGTCGAGCTGAGATGCCTTCTTCTGCGCCTGCCATTCGAGCCATAGCGCCATGGCGGATAATGGCTGGACGGTTCCCATCCTTGACGTTCTCTCCAATTCTCTCCTGAGTCGGGATCACAAAATTCGTGTTCGGCGCAAAAGACGCATGAGACGAATTGGGCTGGCTAAGCGGAAGTCAACAAGCACATGCCCACCTTCGGTCATGCTGACCATTGAAGAAACATGAAGCCTTCAAGCCATCATTCTGCAATCTCAGGGTCCGTCCGAGCGGGTAAATCCGGTGAATGTAAAATAATGGCAGAAAGTTTATCCACCAAGTGCCAGAGCCAGAACTACAGCATCCATGGAATCTGGATCTACTCTGTGGAATGATAGCTGCTGTCACAAATAAGTTGACCCAGCAAAGCACACGGCTCTTACATGTATACGAGCCTTTTCGGCGGTGCACCGACCAGTATGCCACAGCCACTTGTGCACACGACTCTGCATGGGTAAGCAACCGAAGTGTACTGGTCTCTATCCAGATTTCCTTATCGTCATCATCAGTCGAAGTTCACCGAACTGTTTTGATGGCTTGAAGCGAACTCTACTATCTTGGCTTTCGTTGGAGATCCGAGTTTTGACCATTCAACACTTGAGGGTTGTTCCTCATGAAATTTTGTGCCCCGATCCAAAATCCGAAAGCTTTCATGCACGCAATTCTGCAGACTGGCCGTTCCGGCTTCATTTTGGATGACATCTGACACTCAAGGTGAAGGCAGCCTCAAAGCTTGGCGGCTTGTTGACTTCGACTTGTACGTGCCGGTCAATGAATCACAGCCGTGATGAGTTTGGTCCCCATGATTGTCTCGCTGTGAAAATCACAAATAACGTCAGATAAATCACGAAAATGGCCACCACAAGCGTGCAGGCAAGCGACAACTAATCTCGACACCCAGAGCATTCCTTTTACGAGTAGGTTGTGTGGTCTGAAGTTTGAAGGCTCTGGTCTTAGACATGCTCTCTCCGGCTCCTGTTGCCAAGTCGGGGGATGATAGGATTGAGACGGGGACACAATTGGCGGGCCTTACACTTCCAGTCACTTCCAGCCTTCGGCCCCAAGCTTGCAAGCAAATCAAAACCCTCGGGGAGGGGGGGTCACACTACAGCTTGGATGAGCATTGGCCTTCGGGTTCTTCCTCACATTCGCCTTCCTGCACTTCCTTCCTGTAAAGACCTGCATGCGCCTGTGAGCCTTTGTGACATCAGCTTTGAAGAAACACCATGAACCGAAGCATCGTTGCTGAGCCGCGGCCAGCATTGTGCGATAGTTACGCGCGCGTCGGGGAGGGGTTCCGTCATCATCCGTCATCTGTTTTGGGGTGAAGGCACCGTGCTTTGCTTGAGCGTGGAACCAGCCAGCTGACTGTGGGGGCTGTCGTCTTCTCTTCCGTAATACGTTGGTATATGCCCCCTTTGTTTGACCCACCAAAAAAGAACTGATCTTATTAAGCGCGTTGATGCCTGCCATGGGCCCGGGGTCCACTCTGCTGCGGCAAATCTCGGCTGCTTATTCAGCCGTGCGCAGCCCTATCAGTACCAAGGTGTTGCGGACCTGTTCTGCAAAGATCTTGCCGCGAGCGCCGAACTCCTGCGCGCTGATGTTCACTGAACCACATCGAGGGACCCCTGTATTCGGGAGGTGCATGAGGCCCAGGTTCTTGAAAGGAACTCGCCGGACCAGTGAAGGGGAATTCAGTTCTCGCCGGTCGCCTACTGTTTGGTCTTCGTAGCAATCTTTACATGCGCCTGTCGGCTTTGCCGCAGTTCACCCGGTTCAATGTCACCAAGAGGAACTTGGAGGAACGGTGTGAGTGGTTCTGGGGCAAGGATATCGCGGAGCGCAGCATGCCTCCAGCGGAGCAGACCCTTGTGCACAGGAATGCATGGAGGGAGACTCACAACGAGGGTTCTCGAAGGGTCCACCCTGCTGGATTTTCAGGGAAATGCCTTTTCTGGATGGGACGCGGTCAGAGACCCCAAGGCAGAATAAGGAACGCTTCTGGGTTGCAGACCTTGGAGCCAAAACGGCCGAGCCATTTTTGCATGATATTCCTGACATGCGCCTTGCTAGGTCATCAAGTTACACCGCAAGAATCAAGTGTTGAGGTTGGGGGGCTGCCTTCTCAGACACGAGTGCATTTGCACAAATTTTGGGCGCTGCCGACTGAAACGATGGAACTGCGCCCGTTTAAAAAAGAGCAGCAGAACGAATCGGCGCTGCCTCTCCTCCGACTTTGGCCTTACACTGGCTCTCGCATGCTTTGACTGCTTGTGTTTGTGCCGGTCTGATCCGCACTGGGGCTGTATCGCTTGACGTGCTTGACGTACAAGCAGAGTGGAGCCTTGCGAATGCCAACCAAGACTTCTGCAGAATTTCAACTGCTCAACCTCTTGTGTTGCGAACCTATGCTGTCCTGGGTGACTGCAGCGGCATCTAGATCGAATTCTGCATCTGCCAACGCAAGCATTGAAAAGCGAAGACTTCTGAAACCACATGCGCTGCAGAGATGGCTACTCAGAGCTGCTGTTTCGGAATATCTGCTGGCTGACTGAAAACTGCGCACACGAAGCGGTTGTAGAAGCTACCTGTTCATACGGTAGCTTTATGCCAGTTCAACGGAGATTGAGCACGATAGCTCTGGCCACTCAATTTTTGCTGTGGTGCAGAATGCGGGCTGGGCTTTGGCCACATTTGTACACATTAAGGCATTTGAGGCACTTTGGCCCAAAACTTCCAGCAGCCTGGGAAAACGATCCCTATCCTCTTGGAAGCGAGCGCAAGGCTTCTTTTGCCTTTTTCAGATGCCGCCGTCGGACCCTGAGCGCCGAGTCATTGAAGCGCAGGGGCAGGGCCTTAGGAAGCCAATGAGTCCAGCACAATCATACATAATCCGTTTTTGCCAACACGGAGAGAGATTCAGAGAGATTCGAAGAGACCAGTGCGGCAGAAGGTGCAGCAGCGAGGTCGCTCCATGCGGAGAACGCCTCCACGGCTGAGGGCTCTGAATCAGAGAGGTTGCACAGCCTCGGATGCAGAGGCAGATGGCTGTCGAGACACATGGACAGAGCACTCTTTTGCTGACTGTCTCGGGAAGCAAGGGTGCAGAGGGGGAGAGGGTTCTCAAAGTCCGAGTGGCTGCACAGCCAGCTCCGCAGGAGAGCCTCCAGCTTGTGGCATGGCCACTTTGATGTTCAGCGTGGTTTGGACCCGAGAGAGATTGTAGGGCCTCTCGCTGTACTGGTAGCCGGTGGCAAGGCCCACCATGCTGGGCCCCGCTTGGCTCCCTTGGCTCCCTTGGCTCCCTTGACTCGCGCCGCTCCCATTGTTTGGGAGGAAGGATGCCGGCACGGCCACAGCCACTGAGGTAAAGATGTCTCGGAGGATCGTGTCTGTCTGAGTCGTAGATCCTCCTGGGGACATGAGGGCTTGCGCCGGAAGCCTCTTCAAGACCTGGGTGATGTCGCTCCGAGTTGCAAAAAGCTTCCGAACAGCTTTTGAGGTGTCGCCCATTCGATCGAAGGAGGCGCTGGAGAGTTTGGACTGCGATGCCGTGGATGCACAGAAAGAAAATGTGTCCTGCATGCCAGAGACTTTCTCAAGCCATCCCAAGCCCTCAAGCCCTAAGATATGCGCAAGGCAAGGCTTCGACCGCGAGCTTCGGCCAGAGGCTTCGGCGACAGGCTTTCACAGAACGGGCCTCGCTCTCCGCCTGCTCCTCGCTGTCAGCGCTACTCCGAGCCGCACCTGGCAGATAGGCGACACACGGAATCGTGAACCGTGTGGGCAAGGAATGTGCAGGAGTTGCCTCATACCCCAGTTAGTTCGAACAGTCTTCACTCGTTCGTCTTCTCAACATCTTCTGCAGTGGTTCGTGACTGAGGCAGCATCAGATCAAGCTTGCACAATCGTTTGGTTTGTATATTAGCCGCGTCGCACTTCCCCGCCCCGGCGTGATGGTCTCGATGGCGAACTCTGGCTCAATCTGGCGTTGGTCGCCGACACGCTCGAGAAGGCAGTTTGGCTCGGCCAGCTTGCCCCTTTTCCTTCGCTGGCTCGCTGGTAGTCGCTCGCCGTCCCGAGCTTCGGGAAGCTCCCCTCTTCCCCTTTCGACGTATGGCTGCTTTCGCGGACTGTCGCGCTTCTGGAGCCGAAGGGCATGAAAGTCTTAGCGAGCAGGCTGCAGCGGCTGGCCCGCCCGAGTCCGGTGAGAGCGGTCTATCGCTGGCTCTCTTTCTACACAGCGCAGAGTCGCCCTCCTTTTTCTCTGTCTTTCGTTCTTTCTCTTCTTCTCTTTCTCTTCTTCTGCTCAGTGTAGAGGACCCTATCGTGGAGGACTCTCGGTCGCCGAGCCCCGCTGTGTCTGTCGGTCCGACGCTCGCTTGTCCAACGTTGTCTGCCCTCATTGGGTGTGTGTCGCTGGCCATCTACGGAAGTTGCTCGATCTTGGAAGCGACATCCATGCCCCCCTCATCCACTATCAAATTGGCTCTCCAGAATCGTTTTCAGGGGCATCGCTCCTGTCAGTGGATCCCGGCAGGCCTGGCAAGCTCTCGTGCGTCTAGGATTCTTCTGTGCGGGCCATCTCCAGCTGCAGAGGCCTACGGGTCTGTTTCATCAGGGTACCGAATAACCTACAGCTCTTCATCACGCAGTTCAACAGATACGAGACAAAGACGAAGCCGAGACGGCCCCCGCAAGAAGGAATCCACGACCTGCTCGAGGTTCGAAGACCACGTTGACATGTCTAATTCCTTCTCGTGGCTGGGAGAGAAGGAACCTGTCCCTCGCTCGAGGAGCTCGTCGTGCTGAGGGTCTTGTGGTGCTCATGATGCTCCTCCTCGATGTCGTGCTCGTCCTCGTCCTCGTCCCAGTCCTGTTCCTCCTCCTCATTGGTCCCCCTCGCTGTGTCTTGGTCTCCCTCTCCGTGTCGTTCTTGTGCTTGCTGCTCGTGCCAGATGTTTGCATTTTTGCCTTCGTCTCTCGGGACCCCTGCGCTCGCTTTGCCATCCGTTGTAAGCATGGGTACATGAGCTGCAAGCCCGAAGGCTCGTCTTGACGGTCTTCGCCACTCCTGTGGAGGAAACCTGGAGATGGTGGTCGATAGCGATTGCGTCGCAAGTTTTTGCACTGACGGAAGGACGTGTTTCGTCGGCCGTGGTGTCCGCGATGTGGTGCTCTTGCTGGGCTCGGTTCTGCTTCCCTCACGAGGGCAGGCATTATCATTACTATTCCTCTGCTTATTATTGCTATTGCTTGTTTTTGCTATGGTTGTTCAGATTGTTGTTGACTTGATTCTTGTTCTTCGTCTTCTTCTGGTTGTTCTTCTCCTTCTCCTTCTCCTTCTCCTTCTCCTTCTCCTTCTCTCCTTCTCCTTCTCCTCCTCCTCCTCCTCCTCCTCCTCCTCCTCCTCTCCTCCTCCTGCTCCTTCTCCTTCTCCTTCTCCTTCTCCTTCTCCTTCTCCTTCTCCTTCTCCTTCTTCTCCTTCTCCTTCTCCTCCTCCTCCTCCTCCTCCTCCTCCTCCTCCTCCTCCTCCTCCTCCCCCTCCTCTCCTTTTCGTCCCCGCCCCTTCTTCTCCTCCTCGTTCTCCTTCTTTTCCTTCTCTTCCTCTGTCGCGCTCGAGTCGAAACAGGCACTTCGCAACAAGCGGGCCAGTGCCCACTCGAGGCAGCGCCCTTCGCAGATCCCTGCTGATCGGCCTCCTCGCAAACAGCTGCACTCAAATCCTGGACTAAACTTACCGAGAACTGCCAGTGCATGGAATAAGAGAGTATAAGCCGAGTAAGCTCATCTCTATGGCATTGGCATGCAACTGCTGTATGTGCCACCACTAGCAGAATGTTGGGTGGAATGATTTCACGACAGATCGCAGCAGCATGGATTTCGAAGCAGCCCGTTAGGCCTCACTCAAGTCGTCGCCACCTGCTTCAGGCGTGAGGGTGGGTAGGGGCACAATGTGCCAGAATGCAAGGCTTGCGCAGTCCCTCCTCCCCTCTTCTTGCTGTCTTCCAACATAGCCTCAGCACTCGGTCAGCACATGGTGCCTTAAACAACAGGCCAGCTTTGGCTTATCATTTAAGACGCTGGCATGAGAACTGGACGATGGGCTTCCCAAGGCTTGGGAGTAGCCTGTGGGGACGCGGCGTTCGACCTGACAAAGAACTCGCGTTGCAAAGCACTTCGTGGAATTTGCAGTCCACCAGTGGCACATGCAGCGTATTGCGGCTGATGCCCCGAGACTGAGAAAGCTGCCAGCACCGGGCGCAAGTAGCTGTCCACCAGGGCCGACAGCTTTCCCTGCACCTCACAAGAGCACCGCCACACTTTATCCGATACTTCACCCCGCTTCTTTGCGTGCCTCGGTGGGTATGGCAGAGCTGAGGTGGACCATCCGGAAGAGCCTCAATGCAGAAAAACAAATCCGAAGGACAGATTCCAACCAAGGCAAGCGCGCGTCCAGATTCTGCTCCAAGAAGCAGCCACAGCCGCTTGCGGGACTCCACGTATCCACTGGACAGGATTTCCGAAGCCACGGGTGTAGCAAGTCCTAAACAAGGCAAATCATCCATCAGACTATGCGTCAAAATCAAAACCTGTCCTCTGCGCCGCACGTAGAGCAGCGAGGCCAGCTCTGTGCAGTTTTCGCCTCATGGGAAAACAGCATCGCCGTGCCTGCCATCGCTGCCAACTCCATCTGTGCCTCCCAAGGCTTCCTGCTGCCACTGCGGCGGGCTGTGGGGCAGCAACGCCAGCCTCGTGTCAAAAGGATTCTGTGGGATCCTACCACTTTCGTCAAAAGCAGACGTCGCATACGACGAGGTCCATGCAGCAGCTGCAGGCCACTGGAAGCCAGCCTCAGCAACACATTCAGACCATGTGGACACAGCGTAGAGCAACAGCTGCATAGAGCAACAGCTGCATAGAGCAACAGCTGCGTAGAGCAACAGCAGTGTAGAGCAGAGTGCAGACTGCTGTCCAGCCACCGGCGACGAAGCTGAGCCTTGCGAGGGTTGCGGTCTGAGGCCAGGCGCTGAACCTAGCAGGAAACTTCCAGAATCTTTCAAACGTGTCATGCTCCGTCATTCTATTCGAGCACTCTCCTCCTTGCATCCTATCTTGTGATTCTGGAACCGCAGCCCTGAAGCAACTACGTGACCAACTGCGTGTGAGACATCACACGCAGCAAGGTAGCCAATTGCGTTCACAGCTTCTCTTGCTAGCGCATTTGTAACACAGCCTACATTTGAGAAGGGATGTGCATCCTGATGGCCCATGGTCGATGGGATCCCTAGCCGCCCGGATTGTGCCTCTGTCTTGATGCAGCGAGTCAGGTAGTCGATGTTACGAATCACGTTGACACTTTGCAAGAAAATGTGGGCCCGCACCTGCACCTCACTCTGCCGCAGACACTGGCATGATTCCAAGATATGGTTAAAGTGGTTCGAGATTAGCAAGCTCCCAGCCAT